TCCCATCATCCCTGGTCATTGACCATGATGGCTGGACTGATGGGAGTTGTAGTTTAACAGTTCTCTACACCTGATCCAACCCACTTTCACATTATTTGCTCTTTGGTCCATAAAAAAATAAAAATTCAGAGGTATCACAGATAAAATCTGTGGTGTATATGGAAAACATGTGTTCTGCTACCACCCCTTCTCCTTTGACCTAACACCTATCATTTACTGCTGTTACATCTCCCAGCCTAAATCTACATGAACTAAGAAAGCCCAGTACTTTAGTACAACTAAAACGAAATCCAGAGTTCCAGGATGAATCTTACACTCAGTTTGCCATTTTCTCAAAGCACAGCCCTTTTATACATCATCATAAGGAAAATGAAAGCACAAATGATGTTTCACCTTAATCCTGTGGACAGAGGTCACAATCCTGTAAGAACTCCCAGGTGGTGGTTCTATATCTTCTAGCCTTTTTCAGTGTGGATTCAACATCTTCATCTTCTAGCCTTTTTCAGTGTGGATTCGGAGAACCCTTTGGATCAGGGGTCCTCAAACTTTTTCAGCAGGGGGCTGGTCCACTGTCCCTCAGACCTTGTGGGGGGCCAGACTATATTTTGGGGGGGGATGAATGAGGGACGATGAGCAGCACACGAAAGGGCTCCGGAAAGGGGCTGCTTTAGATGGTGGTTGCTTGAGAGGGGCGCTCAGCGAACTGCGGCTCCTCTGTCTTGCGAGCGGCAGGGGTTGCTGGTGGTGGCGGAGGGACGATGAGCGGCGTGTGAAAGGGCTCTAGAGAGGGGCTGGCACCAACAAAGCCCCGCCCCCTTCCTCCTCTAGGCAGGCGGGGAGAAGCCAGGAGGAGGGAGAGAGGAGGAGCCGTCGCCACCGTGTGAGGGAGAGAGAGGGGGAAAGAACGCACACGCTGGCGATCCGCGAGCTGGCGATCCATGCGGCGATTCCCGGACCGCCCGCAGGCCGGATTTAGAAGGCAATTGGGCCTGATCCGGCCCACGGGCCTTAGTATGCCGACCCATGCTTTGGATGGAAGTGACCCAGAAAATAGTTGTGCAGGAAACTGTACTATTCCCCTAACTGCAATTCTGCTTGAAACACAGAAATAATCCTGCCACTGGTCAAGGCCTCTTGACGGGTATTGGAAGACAGTGACTATAAAGAAATAGAGTATTCCTCTGCTGATTTCCAGATGACCTTCCTACAGTCTTGATGCAGGAACAGGAACTCCCCAACAATAAATTATGAACAGTTGCCAGAAAGCTGCCCAACAGCTCTTCTGACTTCGGAAGCGTCCGAAACATTATTGGACGAAACAGACTGTCATCCTGTCCTGCAGTTAAAATTAGGCCTAGTTCCCACTTTACAGGCAGGAGAAACTAGACACCTGCTGGAGGCAAAAGCATTGGGGGCCAAATGTTTTCACTCACAAGCCAGATATAAAATTTGCACAGAGCTCCCTAAAACACTCAGTTCCAAATTTTTACCTAGGCTCAAGCCAAATAGAGCAGGGATAAGCTCATTCACTGATGGTACCTTTTAAATTCCGGACATGTGTCAGAATTCTCATCTTTAGAAAGCTCTTCAATACTTAAAAGACAGAAGGGCCCAGAGAACAGTGAACAGAGTAGGATGCTTATTATTATTATTTTACATAGGACATGAGTTGATCTAGCCCCAATATTGGCTGCTCTGACTGCAGCAGTTTCCTATAAAGACTTCCATAGTATTTGGCCCTGCTAGATGATGCAAATCTGACTGAAGCTCAGCAAGTCTAGGCCTGTCTGCTGCCCAGATGAGACACTGCTAACATACCAGACCAGATCACAAGGAAAGCTAAGCCAAACCTCCTAGAGAGGTTGCTACTACTTTGATGCTCCTCCTTCTCCAGCTGTTCCATGCCAAGCAATGGCTGGGCTTAGCGTGCTGTACAAACCCAGGCTCATGGTTTCGCTTGCAAATTGCTACCACAATTTGTTGTATGGTTCACAGCTTGTGGCTTGTTTGGACACACTAAATTACAAGCCTGGGCTATGATGCCACACTAAGCCAAAGCACAGCTTAACTCAGGGCAGGGCAGGAGCCAAAGCACCGGGAAGGAGCCGAGTTTCCTCTAAGCCATTATTTGGTTTAGCATTGTGTGTCAATGTGGACACTGCAGGCACTGTAGGCAATACTTTGGAGATGTTTTGTTCCTGTTTGAGAGACAATAGCGGCCATCTAGGATGCAAACCAGAGGGGATCTTCTTCTACCCAGCCTACATGGAAATCAATGAGCTATGCAAAAAGCACAGCTCTCCCTCTATTTCAGTGGGGATTGTGCTCCCTATTTGAGACTGAGAAAGGCTTAAACAGCTATCTTTGACTGAAGAAAGGTTAATCCTGATTAGTCAGCCCACAGGGTAGAATTAGTTGAAGACTGCACTGTGTTGCAGAAAGGAAGGTCATGCTCAAGCTCTGCTTCAGGAGTTACCCATTTGCCAATATTTAATCCTGGCCATTTTACCAACTTTTTATCAATGATGCTACCCACATTTCCCTTTCTCCTCCTTTCATCCTGGCTCATCATGGTCATTTGGGGTAAATTTGCTTCCACTCCTCTAATTTCACCTGCCTGTCACTCTGCAACTGGGAGATTTATACAGAAAAATAAGGAAATCAATGAGTTGCCATGGATACAAACTTCCATCCAATGCTCCAACATCCTTGTACCAAGAAATTTAGATGGTGAGGGAATTGCGGTGGTGATATTGGGCAAGGTACATCTCCCCTTGTAAAAAACCTGTAAAAAACTCAGTGGGCCCTTTGGCAAGACACAGATAGGCTCAGTTGCTCCTGTAAAACAAGAACAGCTACTACTCTATTTACTGTTGTTCAGAAATTCTGAGAGATTTAAGATTTAAAAGGCGATAAGGTCATTTGTTAGCTGTGCACATCAACCCCGCACATCAGGCCAACCCAAGGAACACCTGACTTGGATCTGGCCCCGAATCAATTGGGCTAGTTTTAAAATTTATAGAGTCTGGTGGGAGCAGGGAAAGGAGATACTATCTCGTCCCCACCAACCACACTGCAGAGAGGAGTCTCCAACCATTCCCGAGAATGCCACAGGAAAGAGGGAAGTTTTCAGAAAGACTTGATTTAAGACCCCCCAATGCAGGCAGCCAAGTGAATGCTAGGGATCATGCAATAATGATCTCACTGAGTGCCCATGGGGTGGGATGGTTTGGGCAACTTCCTTCCCACAACTTTCCCCAACCTGCTGCCCTCCAGATGCTGTTGACCTCTCATCAGCCCCAGCCAGAATGACCAATGGTAGGTGAAATCCCAAACTTCTGGAGGGTACCAGGATGGGGAAGGTTGCTACACAGCAAGCCCCTGCATGGCAACTGGCCTGCATCTGGTCCACCAAATCCCCGCTGACACTACCTTGCAAACATAAATTCCATTATAGCGCAGGACTTCAGCCAACTGGCACAAGTTAGCAACTGAGTACGATTTCAGGAGACTTATTTCCATGAGTTTCAGTTCTGCAGAAGCTTCTTAAACTGAAGACAAGGGCCCGATGAATGTTTCTATTTAATCCTATCATTGGATTACTGGTAAATACCAGGCTGCTTCAGAACCAGGGTTCACAGAAATCACAGTGCACACAAAAATTGTCTTTCTTCACTTGAACTGAAATAGAAAGGTGTACAACTTTAAAATGGTCAATTGCCCAAAATTCAATTTCTTCTTGTTGTTGTTTGGTTAACAGCCAGTGTCAAATCTTGGGTGCTGCTGACACTGGTGTAATGGGTCTATGTTAGGGCTGTACACTGTTCCCCCAATCCAATTTGAGGCCTGATCCAGTGCTTCAGAGCAGCCCTGCTCCAACCCAGGCCCTGATCTGATCTGGAGGCCTTGCAATGTTTAATTACAGTTTTAAAATCAAATTAAACATGTGGCCCTGGAGGTGGGGGAAGATTACACAGGCTTCCTGCACATTTCCTGTCACCCTTTCAAGCCACCACACCACCCCTCCCCCTTTTGACAACCCCTGTTTGATCTGGGTGGCTCAACCCAACCCCAGGTGACCCAGGGCTGCCTCAACCAAGAGACACATCCCAGGTCAACCCTAATCTAACCAGTTTGGTTTGGGACCCAGCCAGATCCAATGCACTGCTTGTGCTCTCTGTTTATGGCATCCCACTGCCTAAATTGTGTGGGTTTTTCTGTGGCATTGGGGGTAATATATTCTGTCTGGAGCACATAACTGTCCTATTTAATTATTCCTAATTTATGCAAGATCAAAAAGACCAAGTTTTGTTTCAAAAATTGGCGCTTTCAGTTAAATGTACACCCAACCTCCAATACGGAACATTTAGAAGGTGTCAAAGCAAGATTAAAACTTAGATCCCAACTTGCCAAATTGGAATTGGTATGTAACTCTCTCACACACAAACCAAATTAGTCACGCAGCTGAAGGCAGGGCCTCCAGTTTAAAATGGACTTGGAGAAAAGTACAACTAAATGTGAACAAGTCCAAGAGATTTTTGTTCTGTGAACCGCCCTGAGACCTCCAGGTATAGGGCGGTATATAAATTCAAATAATAATAATGATAATAATAAGAATAAGAATAGTCCAAGGCATTTGGCCACCTCGGAAAACAGGAGCTTTCCCTTGCCACTCACCCTGTCTCCCGCTCAGCAGCCCTCTCCAGCTCTACCAACATGCAGCCTTGGGTGAACTGGCTCCTTGACACCTGATCTTTTCCACGGACTCTTCCAACTCAGAAAGGTTTTGTTCCAATAAACACTTCAAATCAGGTTTTTAGTGCAAGCCTGCCCATCCAGCGTGTGACCAAACCAAACACCACACAGCAGATACATGCAGTTGCCCACCAGCCTTCTCCGCCCCCCAGGTTGCTCAGCACTGCAAATCCAACATACACCATGCACACAAGATTGGCAAGTAATAAAGGAGTCGCCATGAATGGCTAGGCAAATTTGGGATTGGTGGTTCAGAAGCTGCAGGGGCCTGCACTAAAAACTTTATTTATTTATACCTGAAGAATTCCAGCTTATGATCAAACCTTGCAAGAGAAACAACAAAATGAGATACATACAAGGAGATGTCAAGAAAGAAAGGGACAAGGTCAAACCTATGATGTTTAACAGGTGAGGGTTTTTTTTTATTCTTCTTGCATAAGAGAACTCGAACACACTCTCTCTATACAGCTATATACACACACAAAGCTTGCTTGCATCAGACCAAAAGTGAGGAAATTGGTAGGAACCTTACTGATCTTAGTAAACAGAAAGCAACGTAGCATAACTGAAAGGGTGACTTTACAGTATTCTTAAACCACAAATGAATCATGACCTGCCTCTTTGAAAAAAAGGAAAAGGGGGGGAAAACCTGGAAGTCTATGTCTAACGGTCTTCCTTTGGGATGGCATTTCAACAGCAAGAACTGCACACAGGAATGGTTAACATACAATTAATTGTAATATCATTTTACACAGGTATAAATTTGGGGAGGGGGAAGAGCTGAATGGGAAGGGCATCAATGGCTAAAGTCTTTGCTTGTCCTTAAAAGGCATCTTCAAGTTTTAAGTCAACATGAAAACATACTGGAAGCCAACATGACAGGTTCAAAGCTGGGCCTCCGGATCCAGAGCCCTGGGCATGCTCAGACACCCGCTCCAAATTCCCCCCCCCCAAGCAGTTCTCTTCCATGCACTTCCATGAAGGGGGCAATGCCACCTGCACATCCCTTTGCACACATGGAAAATTCCCCCTCTATGGAAGTAAATGGAGAAGCCCGGTGGGCTCCATGCATGGATTATCATAGCTCAGTTAGGGCACTGTATAAATTATTTGAATTCACAATTCAAAGGGAATCTGCCAGGCCATACTGCAGAATAATGGCTTTCATTACGGATCCAAGAGCAATTTAGCAATGATTGGTCAACTGTAAAACTCAATGCCCTGAATTCCAAGCGAGAGAAGAGGATAGGGGTGGGGTGGGGGAGGAGGCATTACGTTTTAACCTAAACAAGGGCAGACACTAGTGGAATATATTTTCTTTCTATCTAAAACACCAAGAGCTAAGTTTTGCCACCATCAGTGGAGCCCTGTAATAAATAACTCTATTACAAGTTGGATGTGGAGAGAAAGCGTTGAAGTATGACCCTGCAGCACAGGCGCGTCTCCTGAACAGGAGAAATCGTCAATATCAGACTCAAGTGGCTGTGGGTTTATTTATTTATTTCCTTTAAAACATCCTCCTCACTGTGCCTATGAAAGATGCTGCTGTCTCTTAGTTTCAAATGCATTTTCTGCCTCGGCTAACCATGCATCTCTACAGGTGGGGAAAGACATTGCATTGAGGTGCCAAAGGAGGCACTGAGATATGGAAACAAGGGGTGTGTTTTTCCATATATAAAATAAAAAAACAAATGAAAAGCTAGATATGGAGTTTGTTCAGGGATAGAGAGCGCACAGAGGGGTTGGAATAAAGGTTCTCTTGTTCCTTTTCCCCACCACCCTTTCCTTTCCAAGTGTGTCGCGCCAAGGCACTTTCACTCTGTACGCAGGATGATATGGATCCCTGAATCTGTGAATACTGGTCCACTCATCTCGCCAGGCCTCAGCGCAAACGAGGCATCTTCAAAGGGTTTCTGCATTTGACCTGTCAGATGGAAAAGAGATTTCAATTAAACACTGGAAGAGGACAAAAGACATCAGATCAAGTGTTACCTTGAAACAAGACGCAAGAACACATATAAGGGATAGCAAATTTTGTCATTGTTGGCTCCTCAAGAGACCAGAACAAGGTAAGAAAATAAAGCAGACAAGCAATTACATGAGCTCAAGTATTTGGGTGGCCAATGTGTGCCAGTGACCACAGGTCCCTAGTCTAGGATTTGGATGTGACCTTTGCTCTGATCTTATGAACGAGCCTGAAAGTTTGGGGACAATCTAAAAGATCTTCATCAGGGCTAACATAAAATAATTAATTCTTCATTATTGGATACATATGCATGTTCTCTCTCTTGGCAAGTCTCCAGCTTGCCATGTCTCTGATACTAGGCAGACAAACACACACTCCACTCTGCAAAAACGGTCCAACGTTTGAGTTGTACCAAATTGACATGGTGGGTGATCCATAAATGCACACACACTGAACAGGCCAGCCTTAAATGAGCTCACCGGCAAAAAAGGGGGGGAAGTATAGTGCTATGTGCATCCTCAGCCAAGACTCAAATATCTGAGAGATATGAGCAAACACCTTCTAAATCAAGCACTCCAAGTCATTTAAAACTAGTCCCGAGTTGCTCCTGTCCTCCTTTATTTGCACCTCGTTTGCTACCCAATCTCTCCTTGTTACTCACAGTCAGGATGGTCCACAAAGACCATCAAAATGAGGGGGAGATAATGGGTCAGGATGGAGTGCACCAAATGGGATGGCAGGTGGGGGCGTCTATGTTTGAATGCTCTCCCTGCATAAAAACTTGCCAATGAACAAGGCTTCCTACAAGTAGAAAACTAGTACATCAGGTAAGAAGCTTCTAATCTTATCTTCTTCCTGTTGTGCCAATTAGCTGCAGAGGTGTGGTTTTTTGTTTTTGTTTTAATAGGAGAGGATCTTGAAAACTGATTTACCCCCTCCCCTTCCACAGTTTATCCTACCACCTCATTCAGCAACATTTATATATAAAAATCAACCATTTGATTTATTACCAGCCCTTCACCATAATGTCCCAGGAGGGTCGCAACCATATAAAACATTACTAACAGTTGGAAACAAACTGCAATCACAAGAACAGGGTGGGACTCAAAAATACTTCTCTCAAGCATCGAAGGAAAGGGTAAAGAGGTGAGTCATCAACATATGACAAAACCTGGACAATTAAGGTGCCAGATGTACCTCTTGTAGGCCATGCCTCCCCCCCTCCTCCCTCTCACACACCCCTGCGTTGTGCAACAAGCCCTCTAGACAAAGGACTCTTTGCACAGGGTTGACTCAAACTGCTAGGTTGCAACAGCAGCCTGGAAGAGGGTGCCCCTCTGCTGTAAAGATGGAGCATTTGAGTCAGAATGCCACTCTGCTCAAGTGCCCTTGGAAACTGGATGCCCTGGACGTAGCCATGACAGCTGCTCAATGGATTCCAGGGAGAAATGATCTTACTTGAGATTCTCCTGCTTGCCCAGACCCCCATTGGTCCCCATTTGACAGCAGAAAAAAGGAAGGAGGGCCAAGACTGGTCCCAGGATAGTCGCAGGACTAACCATTCCCTCAAATGGCTCTTGCTCTGTGCTTCCACCTTCCTTGACAACTGCTCCTCCCTGTCCAATTTCTTTTGTAGGCCTCTCTGTGAACAGCCCCAGATCAGGCACCAGGCCTGCTTTTTGGACCCAACTTCTGCAAATACTGCCCTGCAACAACCCAGATGCCACGGGGTTCATTTTACAGCAACAGCTCAAGAAATGCTTGGGTAAGAAAGCCAGCTCCCAAGCTGATGCAGCAGACCAGAAGAGCAAGCATCTTCTGCATCCAATTTAAGGCGGTCCAGAAGTCTGCGGCTCCCAGCTCAAAACAATGAGGCTTTTAACTACAGAAAAGGGCACCGCTCACAGCAGACTTGCATGCCCAGAGTCAAGAAGGAGGAGAGGGCAGGGAGGAGGGTGTTCTGTTGCCTGATCTCAGCACCAACAGCCTTCACAAACACTTGCTGTTTTGAGATGCCCAACGTGACAGGGATCAGGTCAGAAAAGGCCAAGTAAATCTCATGTAAGTTTACGACCCTTGTAAGTCCACTGCAGAAGGAATGAGATGGGCACAGAAAGCTTAATGACCATCTGACAGATGAATCTTTGAAGGGCTTTTTTCTTGTTTGTCCTTTTTTTTTTTTTTTTTTTGAGATGGAAGACATTTGGGTGATATACTAATGTCTTTGCAGGCTCTGCACAGGGCCATGCATTGCGCCTCTGAGGTGGCTGGGTGCAATTTATATATTTTACTTTAGGCTTTAAATCCACAGCCTTTTCTTCCAGCTGCAGCTCCAAACTTCCTCTTCCAGGATTAGTCATTACAACTTCGGCCCATTGTCTTCCACAAGTGTCATTCATGAGAGGGCTGGGGTGGTGTGGGGAGAGAGAGACAGCAATCTATCCAAGACTCTAAAAATCAGAGGTACATAGTGCATGGGTATTTAAAAATGGGTACACAGGATGGGCCACCTCCAAAAAGGTGATCCCAACCCCCGAAACAGTAATATAGAGCAGGTGGGCAGAAGAAAGATAGGGATTATTTATTGCACTTTTATACTGCCTTTTCTTCCAAGGAGCTCAAGGTTCATGGTTCTCCCCCTCCTCATTTAATACCCACAACAGCCCTGTGAGGTGAGTTAGGCTGAGAGCCAGTGACTGGCCCAAGGCTACCAGGTGAGCGGAGATTTGAACCCTGGTCTCCAAGATCACTGTAAGCAGCAACCACACCCAGGAAGCCCTCAACAACACAATAGAAAGAGGACCCACAGAGCTAAGATGAAATTTCACACAATAAAAATCCAACATTTGCAGGGGTGGGTTGGGGATAGATGGGGCCTAGGATATCACAAGAGTTGGGTTAATGCAGTTAGAAGATGTTTTACCAGCAAAAGGCTTATGGAAAAGCTATGGTGCCAGGCTGGGGTCTCAGACTGCTGGTGGCACTGAGAAATGAAGTAGCATAGCCAGAGGATGCAACAGAATTGTCAGGAAGAAGTGGTGCTCCTCCAACAGGTGGGGAGGGTGGAGCCCAAGTGCAAGACATGGGGGATCATGGTTGGCTGGCAAGGAGGTGATCCTTAGAATGCTTCCAGGGTGCTGCATATCCATGGACAAACAAGTCTGGTGTGTGGGTGTGGGTGTGAGAGAGAGATTCCTTTTGCCTCCAAGAATGCACATTCCTCTGCCCCATTCCAACCCTTCCCCAACTTGATCTTTTTAAAAGCCAATTTCACTCTCAAGCCAAGAAATCTTCATTTCAGAATGAGGAAAAACAGGTTTAGCCTCCCAGCCTGGGCTTCAATAAAGCCAAAAGAGGAAACGTCAATTACCTGGAATATTTTTTGAAGAAGATAAATTGGAATGCTTGAGCCGTTCCATCTCTAAACGTAACCAGAATTCATAGCTCTCATAAATTACGGTTTGCAGCCCCCCAAAATGAATAAGGAGAAGGAGACTGGCAGTGTTGCCTGGGAAGAGCAGACCAGCTGCTTGTGCCATTAGTGCCACCCAGTGGACAAAAGGGACTCCAGCAGCTTCGCTGCATATCTAAAAGCATCTCCCTCTGTAAGTCACCCAGGATTATGCCTGAGCTGACAGTTCCTAAATGAGACCAAACAACCCGTCACCAGCAGCCCAAGATTAATGGCTGTTTCATTACTTCCCAATCCATAATGTGCCAATATTAGTAACCATCCTTTTTTCTTTTTCTTTTTAAAAAAACAGGAAATATTTGACTGAGGAAGAAATTCTTGCCATTTGTCGTCAAAACAGCGCCCTGCATGGAAATGAAGATGAAGAGCACATAAAGCAGTGTCTCCATGCAAATCAAGACTTCGGATTCCTGACAATAAGTTTTGGCTAGATAAAGTTAGCAGTGCCTTGGCTAGCAGCTAAACAAACACAAACCAATGCTAGACAGGCAAGGCAGAAAAGAAGTTGTTGAGCTTTTTAGACAAAAATCACAAAAAATGCTGTTTTTTAGCAACGTGGGCTGCCATACATCCAGATTTTCCAAGGCATTTTTCAACCCTATTAGGGATTATGGCATTGGGAGATGCCCACAAGAGCTTTGGCTATATAAATGTATCCTGGGTGAAGCCAGGGGCTCCCCCCACCCCACCCCTATTCAAAGATGGACTCCTTTCCATGGCCACCAAAGTCTTGGAGCTGGGCATTTTTCTTTCAACTTTGTCAAAAGCCAGAGAACGCTTCCCCCACTTCATCAAAGTTACAGTTCCCAAAATGGGGCTGAGAGAGTCTGAAACAGCCTCTTGGCCTTGGAGTGCTTCCACAAATGACACTGGCAACACACAGGGCCAGAGGGACCTCATAACTTGCCACCCGTCTCCCATCAGGCTCCCGACAGAAATCCACCCTCCCGCTCTGAGGTCACTTGGTCACTTGCTGTGGAGACGCTTTTACACCCTGCTGTGCTCCTGAAAAGCTATCACTGGGAGAATGCCAAGGTCTACTGACTCACTGTTCTGAAATCAGTGGGGGTCCTGGACCCCTTGGAGAATCTGCCGAAATCTGGGGACTCACTCCCCAGAATAATGCACAGACACACAAAACAAATTTCATACTATTTTATTGTGTTGGTGGTTCAGTTGCCCCTTGAGGACAAGCAACCCTATGGACAGGCTCGTCTTGCTCACTGAGACTCTCAGAGCCTTATCTTTCAAGTTTAAAAAGTAGCAGGACAGTTTCAAGATACAAACTCAAAAGCACCATAGATAGATAGAGGAGGTCCACTGTCTACATCACTTTTCAATAGTGTTGCTCTTTAATCCTAAATCCCTCTCACTTGTCCAGTGTAATCCAATGTCATTCCCCACCCAATATCCAGAAACTGTGCCAATGCAAGAACAGAAAATGGCACCAGTCACAACACCCATTTTTTAAAGCCAATTTCAGGCCTTTAAGCCTGCAAGCATGACTTCAGAAGCTCAGGCTGCAACAGAACTGGCAAACTGGAGGGCTCCGGCACTCAGGATTGGTCTCTCCTCTTCCCCATCATGAGCAGAAGCAGAACGTACCATTTACAAGAAGCAAACGTCTATGCACCCGCTTCCCTTGCTCCTGGCGCATACATGAAGATGCAGGTGCTGAAGGGGCAACTCTTGCTCTACCTGGCCCTGTACGTCCCATTGCCTGCTCCCTGTGGTCCTTTCTCATGGAAGATGCTGCAGGTTGTGGGGGTGGGGGAGGGACGTCCCCATAGAAACAACGTACCCTCTTCCTGAGCTACAGCCCCTTTTAGTGTGAAGCCTAAGGGGACTGGAGGCACATTGATGGTTAAGAGACCTGTGGGGCTCTTTGGAGGGCTCCAGGGGGTGGGGGTGGCGTCAGGGGAATTAAAAAAACAGCCAGTCTTCCTGCTCCAGTGAATTAAAGTGCCTTTTGTCAGCACCACGGGATACAATCCATGGCATACTCAGGTCTGAAAATAAGTAATATTAAAAGTGAAAGACAGGAGAGCTGTGCAAGGCATTGAAGATCTACCTCTGAGCAACAGAAGCTGCCCAGTCACCTCTGAGCACTACTTCGTTTCCCCCCAAGCTTCTTTTGGCAAACTTGAAGAATTTGGGGAAATAGCAGAAGCAGCCCACGGAGGATATCTCATTTCTTCAGTTTCAGGATGAAACTGCAGAAATGCAGGACCCAGCAGCCTTAGGCCACATGCCTAGGGGCAAAGTTATATAGCCCATAGTATCCCTTCCAGCTCTATGATGCTGGCCAAAGGCAGATGATCAATGAAATGTATAACACAGCAGGGGGGTACGATACAGAGGAGGAACAACCTCCACGTGGCAAAATCGTTAAAGAGCAGGTATCCTTTAATACAAAACACACAGCGGAAGCCTGCTGAAGGAAAGAAGCCATGCCTCAGCTGGTGTGATGCTGTAGACAGAAAGCTTAATCATATGGAACAAAGTAGAGAAAGGCCTTAAGTTGTAACAGATGGGAAAGACCAGTCAATTCCCTATGATCCTTTGGGGAGCAAGAGGGCAGACGATGAAGTGCTCAGCCTACAATGCCCTGGAACACCACAATAATAGCAAAAGAACTTCTGTGAGCGGCTTGTTTGAGGCCAGAGACCCCAGTTCACTTAACCAGGATCCTTCTCTTCCGAAACTGCTCCAAATTCCTTTCAAGAGCACAGCAACACAGCATGACCACAACACAGTCCAGATAAGAGACTTGGAGCAGCATGCGCACACAGCACCACCGTGCCCTCTCTGCGCATTTCTCTTTGTTATAGTCACAGCAAGTCAAGCACAGGCAAGAGGAGGATGTAAACAGCCTCACCGTCTCCAAGGTTGGCCTCCAGCAGGCAGGCAGAGCTAACTACTCTGAGGACACTCAAGCCAAAGAGAGAGGTAAGGGGGAACCCTTAGTAAGTCAGACTGGAGAGCCTAAGAAGGCAAGGCCAGCCATGGCGCAGGGCAACCACAGCAGTGGAAAAACAGACAGGGAGTGGGAAGCTATGGGTCAAGGTGTGGCTTTTAAAATGTGCCCCCAGCATTACAACTTCAGAACAATTGGAAGGGGCAGTATATCATTGTCCCCCAGTAATTTTAAGAACAACTTGAGAGACTTCTGCCATGTGCTTTTGTGTGGGGGCAGCACACGAGGGTCGGAATTACTCTCACTTAGGAATTACTTTCACTTGTATTCCATGGCAATGGATGTATTCGTCTGCTGTAGGAAAAATATAAAATCCCCCTGTATGCTTATTTGAAAGTAGTCCCATCAAACCCAAGTAGGCCAGCATAGGATTGGGAATTCTAATCTGAGTTGACAGTTGAAAGAGGGCAATCTTTATTCCAGATGAGTTAATCCAGAACACTTTTGTCTCTGCTCATCATCAGCTCTGCACAACACCTGTATGCAGTCCCTGCCATGGGCATGTGGCCCTCAACAACAGCAGCCCTGAAGGATATAAAAGAGTTGCGGCTGGTGCTGAGGAAAGTCTCTCCCTGTCAGCGTGCCAGGACTCTCAGGACACCCAGGACTGAGGCTGCCTCCTCCACGGTGGCTGAGGACAAGAGAATGGAGAGGGGCCCTCACATTTCATACAGGGGGCGGGGAAGCAGGCCTTTCTCTCTACAGTGCTATTATCAAGGCCACATCAATTGTGCTGGGGAACCTGCTTCCTAATGCACCATCTGTCCAGCAAGGTCTGCACTGTTATTAGCCAAGGCGGCTGAGGCTCAGCACAGAGCTATTTTCAATCAGTGTGTGCCTCTTCAAACCGGAGAGCCAATAACCCAGTGCTTGCGTACAACGTGAGTGATTTGAAGCACCATCACTGACTTCATGATTCACTGTATTCCAAGGCATCCAGCTCCATTTCTTGTAAGGTGTGTGCAGAAAGAAACCTCTCATCAGAGAGGGGCAGGCTTGCAGTCCTCCTTTTAACACCTCCCTCTGCTTGGGGAGTGGTATTTATCATTTGTTGACTGATTAAGTTTTATAGTAGTATCTCAGGGCAGTTCACACAATGCACCATGTGAAACCCTTTCTCTACTCACCCCTTCCAAAAGCACCCAGGTCTCCTCCTGCCTTGGCTGAGCTGCAGTCACTGAATTGTGATGCTAAGGATTCAAAGTCTTCCCCAGATTTAATCTTCTGGATGTAGCCTGTGGATAAGAGAGCAATTTGAGACTAAGGCAAGGCAACAGAGAGTCATGAAAGCTCCCACCTGCTGTCCAAAAGGGGTAAAGCCCAGAGAAGTGGTTTACGATCTCAGTGTGTATTACAACAGTGTTAGTATACAAGGTTCCTGTGTCCAGTTAATAACGGTACAATTTAACTATATCATCATCATCATTTAATGTATATCCAAAAGGACCCCAGGGCAGCAACTGATCAAGTTCTGAGTTCTGACAATTTGTTGTTTTTAAAGTTTGCACATAGTTTACACGTAAGCACAAATTGTCTTGTCCTGATGACATCCCTAGTTTGTGTTGATTTGCTTTTGTCTTTCCACCCAATGGTGTTCAACCTTTGTTAGCAGATATGACGAAGATACAAAAGCGAGACTGAAAGAGCTACTTCAGGCATGCCCAAAGGCTTCATTCCACCCTTGGAGATGCTCCCTCCTTTTGAACAGCAGAGACACATACCTGTTTCACTGTATGTTTCAGAAGCAATCCACTGTGCAAATGGCAAAACTTCTCAAGAAACTCGGCTTTTCTTGGGAGCACAAAAGCAATGGTGCAGGGGGGTTTGGATACTGGCTTCTGCATTTTTCTAAGTATACCTTGATGATGATGATGATATTTGTACCCCGCCCATCTGGCTGGGCTTCCCCAGCCACTCTGGGCTGCTTACAGCACATAAAAAATTGTAAAACATTAGACCATAAATCAGTTTTTTTAACCACATTAAAATTACTACACTGTCACTGTGTTAGCTGTAGAAACCTGGTTCACATTTGTATCCTTCTGCTCCTTCAAAGAGCTCAGGACAGTGAACAAGGTTATTCTCACAGCAAGCCTATGGAGTTGGATTATAGCCTGAGAGAGGGTAACTGGCCCACGGTCACCCAAAGAGTAGGGATTTGAAGGGCTTTTGTAGGGATTTTGAGGCAGACCCCAAAATGGTGCCAGGGAAGAAGGGATGAGGGAAGATCTATATCAGGAACCAGGGGGAAGGAAGAACAACATTCAGATCTGCTGCCCTGGTGGATCCTGCTGCCTGAGGCAGTAGCCTCACCTTGCCTCATGGGTGGCCCAGCCCTGGGGATTTGAACACAGATTTCCCAGCTTCAAGCCCAACACTCCAACCAGTGCACTACACTGCCTTTACATAGACTTAGGACTGCAATCCTATACACCAGCCTTCTTCGACCTGGTTGGTGTTCTGGACTTCTGCTCCTAACTTCACCCACCAGAGCAGCTATACTCCAACATCTGGAGGGCACCAAGCTAGGGAAGACCACACTGATTGGCAGTTGCTCTCCAAAGGTTGAATCTGGGACCTCTGCCATGCACAGGATGTGCTCTGCCACTGCACATCTATGCAATGTGTGGCTAAGAGGAGCCATGAGCAGAACACAGGAAACAGATTCCGCAGGGGCTCTGTGCCTGGATAGAACCACCCAGCTGTGGGACTGAGAGGAACAGATCCAAGCCACCTCCACATGAGGAGCTCCTGGGGTGAGGGTAGCGCTCACTGGGGCTGATGAAACTTCTAGTGCAGGACACTCAGTTGGCAAAGTCTGCTATACAGTTAGCTGGCAGGAAGCCCCACTGAACTTAAGGGGACTGGCTTTCGTGTAGAGATGCCCAGGATTGTGCTGTAGAAGATTCCTTTCAGAAACAGGGAAATCACTACAGCAAAACAGCTGTAGCCCTGCTCACTCTTGCCAGCCTTTTATAAACCACAGACAGGGCTAGCTACAAAAGTGGACAGAACTGTGTTTTATCATCTGCCCAACATTGTATGCAATCCTCAAAAGGGGAATCACAGCACAGGAGGATCAGAACACCACGGGGCCTCCAATTTCTCCTCCCGGGCCATCTAAAAATTTCACCCTGCTGCTTGTGACCTGCAAGGGAGTTGAGATGATGTTACTAGAGCATAAGCTGTAGAAGTGGAATAATATGCAGAAGACTGAAAATACAAAACATGCTACTGTCCCAAAAGATGAACGGAGGTTTCTGAGTTGGATTTTACAACCATCTATTCTAGAAGTGGGGTCTGGAATCACTCCCTGTTTGCTTTCCTACAGTGAAAACTGTTTATGTAGATCAGCAGCACCTGCGTAGAAGCCAAATGCCTCTGTGATATTTTGGGTTGACTAAAAGCAGGCATTTTGAAGGCGGGAGAGGGGAGACACTTAGTAGCTATATGCCAATTCAGGCAGCTCACGTGAGCAAGGACTGAGGAGCCACCTGCTTCTTCACTGCAGCAAATTTGAATTACATGTTGGATAGATTTTTCACACAAGAGAAGCTTAAGAGAGAACCAGATTAACCCAGCCAGGGCAGAGCCAGGTCCCTGGGTTTGATTCCCCTTTGCACCAAGCTGCAGAGGGCCTGGGGCTGGCAGGCTACTCTGGTGCAGCCTGCCATGGGTTGCAGAAATTATGAGTGTTTCACCCAGAGCCATCCATGCCCCAAGCTCTCCTGAGATGACCTTCAGTTCTAACTTGTGACCTGTCCTCGGTTCCTGCATTGAAGGGGGGTGGACTAGACGACTCTCGGGGTCCCATCTCTACTGTTCTACAATTCTAGGATTCTGGACATCTTCAGCTCCAGCGCTGGCCTCGCCCGCAGCTGCCTTAAAGCAGAAGGCAGAATGGGAAGGGAAGGGCAGAAGAAGCAAGAGTCCCTGGGGAATGATCAGAAGTGTGTCTTCCTCCCTTGCCTCCCTGTTCTCCCATTAGCCTTTACCCAGCGTCAGCGCAAGACATTTGGACACCTGAGTTGAACCACCAAATGGCACCCTCTTCCTGCCAGGGAAAAAGGGGTGAATGAAGATCTTATCAGAAACAAGCAAGGAAGAAGATCTACATCGGAAATGGGGGAGCAGGGGTGTCAAATCAACATTACCCATTGGTCAAAGTAAAAATCAAAGGCAGCCATGGGGAGAAAAGAGGCCCACTGAGAATCATGCCAGGCAACTGCAGGGCCCTGGAGACCTCCCAGGGCAGCCCCGGCCATTTCCTCCCTAGGGGTGGAAGGAGACCAGAGCCTCTTACTCAGCTAGAGACAGCTGTGGAGAAGACATTGCACAGCAGCCTCTGGGCAAATCCGACGCACTGCTGGTCTCCACCCACCCCTAGGGCTGGGGGGGGGGGCTGCCAAGGAGGCAGCAGACCAAGCCTCCAAGGATGTGCCACAGCCATGGCTGCCACCTCAGAAACAGTAGCAGCAGTGGGCAATGTATTCCTTGGAGGCCGAATCTGCTGCCCCTGTGGATCCTGCCACCTGAGGCAGTTGCCTCACCTTGCCTCACCTAGCCCTGCCTTGACCAAAATACTGGATGAATTTTCTTCCCCTGCTCCCTGTCCCATTCAGTAACGGGAAGTCAGAAGACTCCTTTGCTCATGCTCATTCCCTCTTGCCAGTTTTCACTTGTTCCATTATACAGTTCCAGCAGGGCCACCTCCCACCATGGTTTGGGGAAGGCCATGCCCAGCACTAAGATGTCAGCTGCAACAACCTAGATGCCAAGCACTTTGCTTCACAGGCAATCTGCCCTGTTGCCTTCCAGCCCGGTGACTTCATGGGCCTGGACACAGGATGCTGATTTTATGTAGCACAGCAAATGAGGAACGCAGGGTTGCGGCCTCTCAGAAGCATCACCCCTCTATACTTGGGCAGGGAAGAAGGCAGAAGAGATAATGTTGAGTCCCTAGTTCACAGCTGAGCCATGTGGTTTGATTTGCCTCCCACTTAACATAGCAGGAGAGTCAGAGGAGAGGAGGAAACACTTGCAAGAGCAAGCAATGCAGCAAACTCAGGAAAAGGGCAGCTGTTACCGGGGCTAATGACTTCTTGGTTTGTCTTGAGGCAGCCAAGCTGGTTGCCGTGCAGCCCCGTTCAGCAGGAACCACTCTAGAACCCTGCTGCCATCTGGAAGAGCAGGTCATCTTTGAGAAAGGAGTCGTGTTTGCCAACCCTGCTATCTAAGGAGGAGGAGTTCAACTCTCACCTGACTGCCTTCCTGTGGACAATTCTGGTTTTTCTGGCACACAGAATTCCCACCCAATGGGATGTTTGGGCCAAACAAACACTGCTAACAGTCCAAAATATCCCTTCTGAAACATGAGCAGAAGAGGAAGCTACTACCAAGCCAGGGTGTTTGTAGATCTAGCGCAGCTATCAGCAACTCTTCAATATCTCTGAGGAATTTTTTCTAATTGTGCATCCAATACTATGCATCCAATAGATGCTACATTATTTCAGTGTGTTATCTAGTATTCTCTCATTATTTGTTTAATTCTATATACTAAAACAAAACCAAACAAAACCACCCACAGAAGTCCTTCTATGAGATGCCGCCTATAAACAGAGGTGCTGAAGACCTTATTCTTCTGTTGAGGTCCAACTTCCCTCGGCATCAGTGGTTGAAGTCTGCATGCTGGTGGTGAGAAGGACCCAGGCTTTCTTCCCCATCGCTCTCTCCCTGACCCCTGACCCAGCTGCTAAGGCAGAACAGGTCACTCTTGCTGGAGTTCTGAAGGAGTATGCAGGAAAGCAGTCAAATTTTTTCAACAGGACCCCTGGGGAACAACACATTAAGACTAATCTGCCCAGTGATACAGTTTTGGAAAGAAGTCCACCAAAGAAAAATCAGTAGCCCACAAACATTTTCTACACCAGCCTCCTGCTCACATATATGGGGAGGGGGGGACACACCTGTGTGTGGTCACCTCCACCAGATTCTTACTCGCCGTAGGAGATCAGGTAAGAGGCTATTTACAAGCCCAGATTTAAACACAACAAAAATCTAACACACACTCACAAGCCCTTTGACAACTCTCAACCTCCACAGTGTTTAAGAAAAACATGGCAATATCAGAGTTAAAATTCTCTAAACAATAACATCAAAGGCGACGATGATATGCCTGTCAAACTGATGCTTCCCAGGGGATCTATTTTAACAATTCTAGGCTATAATTATGTTCATCAGGTATGGTAAGCTTGTTCAGAGAAATTCAATGAGGCTCAGCTGTTTGATTGCGGCTAAGGTGGGCATTCATGCAATAAATTCTTTAGTGAGATATTTGTTGTTGTTCATAATTTCACCTGCTCATTTTTAGGAAGATAATAACAGACTGCTCTTGCCAAGTCAACAGTATCAATCTCTCTTTATACCGTTATCAAGCCAAAATGCACACCGCCATTTTTAAACAATTATATGCAAGCTCCTATGACCTTTACCACAAATGGTGTTTATCAAGGACAGATGCAGCTGTTGACAGAAAATAGATTCTCCCCATGCCCAGCTCTCCTGATCATGGCATTTCATATAAAAAAAGAAACAATGATAATAAAAGAGACAAATGAATGAATTCCTAATGGGTTTTATCAACCTCACAGCAGGAGAGCTAGATGAAATAAGTTTTAATCACGCCTTTCCCTCTGTCCTTAAGGTGACACAGAAGATTGCTCTAACACAAAAATTATCTGATAGGAAAAGGACTCCCGTCTCTGGGGCTATCAAACCGGTAGTTTAATACATTTTAAACATCACTTGAATATAAGAATTACATCAGAATCCCATACAAAACAAGATTAAAATGTCTCTCTCCATAATGTTATCAGATGATGGAAGCCTTCTGCTGCTGCACCCAGCAACAAATTTTCATTGGCTTAGCCTTCTATCCAAGAAAGATAATATGCACAGAAAAAGCTGGTTATCGGAACTTCTAATGAAAGATGTGGTTCTGGGACAGCGCTTGGCCGATAAGCCTCTCAGGGTCTGCATCCAAACGGAACTTCTCAACAATCCCAAGATGCCACAGTTTGCTCAAGGTAAAGGAAACAATGGCAATGTGTTCCTCCTCTACAACAGCATACCATCTTGTATGCTCTAGGAGTTCAAGAAAAGCCAAGCTGAGTAGCAGCCCGACTAGAAGGAAGGTTGCCCCAGCTTTTGGGAGCTGTGGTGAATCTTCACACACACCAGGTTGCATTTCACACAATTGTGCTGCTTGCACAACAGGAGGGCTCTTGTGCTCCCTCTCCTTGCGCACACCCCAGGCTCCCCCACAAATCTGCTCCAGACTGTTGGAGAGGCAGGGAAAGTTGTGGGAAGTCCTTGCACCAACAGGACAACTTTGTTGGATACAATCTGTTGGGCAAGGTTGCTTGGTGTAACTTTAAAAGTTCAGTTTCCTTTCCTTTGTTTAAGAGGGGATGGGGAGAGAATTACAACTCTCACTTGGAAAGCAAAACAGATTTCTGCCTTAACCATCCTGGTTACATCAAACAGCCAACTGCTAACACTTACCCTTTAGAACTATTTTAAGGGCTGTTTGGATCATCAGGATAGTGAATCATTAGCGTAGAAGAAATCATCCTAAAACTCGCTTTCCAAACAGGCTTTTCATGAGCTCTGCTTCTTGCAGTTAATATGACTTATAAGGCATTCTTGGCCCCATGCCATAAAGGGTGGGTGGCAGTCTTTTTCTCAACCTACTGAGGTGTGGAAGATTTTTTAAGTGAGAATAAGATTCCAGTTTTCCTGTTTCACATGCTTCTCTGATGGTGATGTTCATGGGGACAATGAAGACAGCCATCTCCTTGGACCCAAATTTGGAAATAAATCTGGTCTCTTCAGAAACACATAATGGAAGTATGGCTTGTATACAGGGCATAGGAAAAACATTGAGAAATAATTCCTTGGTTTTATTTTCTAATGAAATGGCCCAATTCCTATTAAATGTTGATTTTGCTCACATACTATCAATTGGCAGTATTTTGTTTCACAGAAGGCTAACGAGTTTCCTAGAAGCAATTAAGGTGAGTTATTATCACCTAGAACAGGGAGCAGAGGGAATGTTGCATATCAGAGTGATGGAGGGTTCTAGAATGGGAAATATTATTTACTTAAATAATTTTTAATTGTACCTGGGAAGGCACGTCTAGGGGCACAAGGAAAGTCAAAGGGACGTCTAGAATAGCTCAGTTGATAGAACATGAGACACTTGATCTCAGGGTCATGGGTTACAGTCCCAAGTTGGGGGAAAGATTCCTGCACTGCAGGAGGTTGGCCTAGATGACCCTCATGGTCTCTTCCAACTCTGCAATTCTAGTACTTCACCTAGAACCAACTTAACAGGCCAGCATTTACGTGACCAAAGAGGAAGAGAAGGGAACAAGACAAACAATCTGAAATATTTTTCCCTGGAGGGGTGGGCGTAGAAAGAGGTATCAAACCAGAGCTCACCTTTGCCACCCATGCTGTGTGCTGAACACAAACCTTGAAGAGGGTTAAAAGCACCATCCCGGCTGCTGCACTGGCCCCAGCAATCAGTTTAGTGTGCCATCAACCAACCAACCATCCCAGCCCAGAAAGTCCTAACCCTGGGATCTGCTCACTTGTCAGAGAAAGCTCACCCGAGAAGACTTTGCCTGGCTAAGATCCAACTCCTTTTCCAGAACCTGATCCCTTGCCTCTGCCTCTCGGGTTATGCTACCTACCTCGTGGCTTTTGCTGCTGCCTGTGGGACTGTCTTCATTGCCTGTCCTAGACTACATTAGTTGCCAGAAAATGCTCTGAACATTAGCTGCTGCTTCTGGAATTTAGACCCAAAGCTGTCCTCAACCACACTACGTTGGTAACTCGGGATAAGAACTTAATTCGTTCCGGAGGTCCGTTCTTAACCTGAAACTGTTCTTAACCTGAAGCACCACTTAAGCTAATGGGGCCTCCCACTGCCGCTGCACAATCTGTTCTCATCCTGAAGCATAGTTCTTAACCTGAGGTTATATTTCTGGGTTAGCGGGGTCTGTAACCTGAAGCGTCTGTAACCTGAGGTACCACTGTATTTGCTTCCGATTCTCTTGGACTGAGAACTGGTAGATCCCAAAACCTGATTGCATGGGGGCCTGACTCCACTGCATGCTGTGAACCTTAAATAAAGAACAGTCCTGATTTTTGTACCCATGGAGGGTGTTATTTGAAGATAGAAGTGGGAATCTTAGAAGGATGTATCAGTAGGAGGTATTTTGTCGTATATTTACAAAACAATACCTTCACAATACCAATTTCTATCTACCCCATGTATGCTACTACAACAAATTTAGAAGGCATAAGAATTACAAAGTTATCCAGGTGGGTTCAGTAGATGAACCTGGCATGGATGACATCTCAGGGATTCTAACCCCCTCAAAGCCTGTAACATCTGATCTACAATGCTAACCTCAAAAGAAAATTTCCTCACCCCTATTTGCTATTTTAAAAGCCTTCTTCAGTGCTGCATTTTATAGGCAAATGGATTCAACTAGAGATGTACTTTTAATACATTTGCATTAAAATCAGATTTTAAGCACTTTATGATTCACATACATGCTCCCGGTTTTTTTTATTATCTAGGTTCAATTTATTTATTTTTAAGCTATATTTTGTCATCAATTTTTCTACTCCCCTTATTAGCAGCTTTGCCACCTGATGGAACATGTCTTGTAAAATTTTGGTAACATCCTCAGTTAATTACAGGTATGATGTTCTCCCTTTTAACAATTGTAAGACTGCTCCAAATATGCAGCGAGGACACCAAGTCAGACTGTAGGAGGGGCAATTGCATGTAGGATGGCTGTCCCCAAACCACACACAGAAAGCCCCGGGCAGGTGTCAAGTCTGCCTTTCTCCTTAACATGCAGACTTTTCACATGCAAGTATATCTAACCCACAGAGCACCATCCCACAAGATGAAGTGAAAAACTGCTCAGCTGAAACTGTGTCTGTGTGTCTGTGTCTGTGTGCAGTCAATGCCAAAAACAAAAAGCCATTTTTTAGAAGTTAATTTCTTTTCCCACTCTCATAACTACACACTTGAAGGGTTTTTCCCTCCAATCTAAGAATAGCAATGCACAATGCATCCAGCTGAGGAGAGCCATGTTCTGCACTTATTAAAAGAGTGCAAATAGCTTTGACTAAATACAGGTTCACTGCAGTTTTTCAACCCATCATATATTTCTGATTCAGTCCTAAGGATGGAAAGTCATACAGTCCAATAAATATTCCCTCCAATTATCTGGGCAATTCCAAACCAAGTGATTTATTTATTTGGTCACTGACAACAGCTGAAATAAGTCTAGTGCCTTTTCTACCACAGGCTCTACAAATACTGACTGGTATTGGAAGAACGGATAGGATCTCATTTTGGGCATCATGTTGGATTTCTGAAGTCCAGCACAGAATCAAGAACAAGATATGTTTGCTGGACAAAAATATATGGCTCCCTCCAGTGATCTGGCAAATACATTTTGTGGACCCCTGGCTAGACATATGAATTCTTTTAAGTGGCAAGAAATATGCATCCTTCTTTTCTTATTTTATTTTATTTTATTTTAAGGTTATGTTTTCTAGGATGGGGAAGTTTTTAAAGAAAGATTCTACTCAGAACAAGAAGTGTATACAGTACATTGCTTTAATCCCAGATTGAATGAATTCAAGGTCTCATAAGAGAACCTGTCCTTAAAAGCCAGGGAGGAGAGGAATAAAGGTACGATCTACCTGAAGTTTGTGTATTGATTTCAATGGGGGAATTAAGCACCCATTTAAACTTTCCCCAACTGCGATCAGATTTTCTTCTTTTTTTAAAAAAAATAATTTTTATTAACCGGCCAATCAAATCAAATTAAATCACATCACATAAATTCCGAATTACAAAGCCGAATTTTAAATTTTGTTGAGGGGACCCATATTTCAAGATCCGAAGGGGGATTCTGATCATCTTCTTGCTACTGCGTTAATGTCCAAATCAGTCCAAACAGAGTTCATAATTCTATCCAGTCTTATCTTGCTGTTTCCACATCACATCTTGTTCATATATTTTCTCTTTTTTCTTTATGATCTCTTCTGATAGTCTCCTTAAGCCGATAAACACCAATAATAATCCTGTGTGAATTTTCCGTTCTTCCAATCCTCAAATCGAGATGGTTTCCATATAACATCGCCTTCATAAATAACATCGCTCTTTCCATCATTAATTACAAAACTGTCGATCTTAAGTCCCTCTGAGGAGTTTCATCCACAATATAAAAACAGCTCTATTTCTCCTCTCAGACTTAAGTCCTCCGACAGAACTTCCCAATATGGCGACGATATTTTTAACTGTGTCATTCCAAAGCCCTTATACATTCCACGCTCTTCTTAAAACATGCTTTGGTTCGAAAGTATATCTCCACACAGCCTTAAATCCACAGCTTAAGTCCTTAAATCGACATTCCTGACGTGAGGGGGGGGGATTCTTGTTTAATCACATAAAAGAAAGAAAGGAAAGTTTTTTTCCCCCTCCCCCATCAGCCCCTTTGCCATACCGAGTCTTGGCGTATCTTCTCATAATCTATGCTTGTTCCTCTGACTCGTCTTAATTTATCAGAGATCTCTTCTGTTAGCAGTCTTTGCTCCCCCTCCTTCCTCGAAATATGTGCATTCCTTCATCCAAATTGTTTCTTTTGAAGTTCTTGCAGCTAGTGGCGCGAATCAGAGATGGCGTCCAGGAGCGCCGAAATCCCACAGGAGGGCTTTGTGCCTAGTGCCCCCATCCCCACAAATTCGGGGGTGGTATAGGGCACAGCAGGCAAGGGCAGTCCCCACCATCCTGGGGGGGGGGAGGCTAATTACTCCCATCATAGCCTCCAAATTACCTCGTGTGGGTCGGAGAGATGTTATTGTCAGCCATCTTCTGATGCGCCCCTAGTGGCCCCCCGCGATCAGATTTTCTTCTGCTGGGTTATGTCCAAATCCCACCTGACACTTGTGGACTAGTGTGGGGAGGGCGACTCAACTGCTGTTAGCATGGAAACTACACCGGTTGTACCACCTATGTTGCTAATCCACAGTTCCAGCATCAAGTTCCTCTTGCGCTTCTCTAACAACCTGAAACCTGGAGGGAAATTCTGCTAGAAATACCAGAGGCCATGGCTGCCAATACTGCATAGCCTCATTCCTTGACTGAACCAGAAGCTACAATTCCAAAAAGAGAGAACTCCCCAAAGGCACTACAAAAGATGAGATTCCATGAAGGCATAGTTCTCCCCTTCCCTCTTCTAAACCCAGGCAGGCCAGTTCTCCTGCTGCACAATTTGGGTAGGAAAGCATGTGGAAGGGTTCATTTCCTAGCAACGTGCATGCAAACCACCGAATGGGTCTCCAGATCACAAATACAAAATGCTGCTGCGTGAGGAGGCCATGCCTGGAGACAAATAACTCAAACCCTCGCAGAGAAAGGTTCTGTTGTTGCCACCCCTGCGGCTCAAAAAGAGAGGAGCCACGGAGCAATCGAAGGAACCCACTCTTCACGCTCTACTCATTGCTTACAATAGCAAACACTGAAGAATGTCTAAGTAGGAATCACTGTTCTGTGCCTGCCAGAACAGATGGCTTCATGGATGCCAGAAACATGGAGCTCAGATGCCAAAGGATTCCTAGACCCTAACATTTTTCTTTCTAGTTACAGGTAGGTAGCCGTGTTGGTCTGCCGTAGTCGAAACAAAACAAAAAATTCCTTCCAGTAGCACCTTAGAGACCAACTAAGTTTGTTATTGGTATGAGCTTTCATGTGCATGCACACTTCTTCAGATACCAGTAACAAATTAGTTGGTCTCTAAGGAGCTACTGGAAGGATTTTTTTTATTTTTTCTTTCTACTTACCCATACTGGCACCTAAGGTTCTTCCCACCCTGCTAGGAGCTGAACTTTTATTACTGTCAAGGACAAAAAAAATCAGGAGTTCGGTGTTTCCAGAAGAACATGTTAGTATTTTTAAATTAGCTTAATCCAATTCAGCTGAAGCCAAGGGTGGCCAACGAACAAGCCCTGCACCAGATTTCATGTGGAAGATATGCAGGTGGTATCTTATTCTCCCACCCACAGTTATGTTGCCCTCTTGCCTCCCTCCCACCAGTGAAATGAACATTCAACATACATGAAAATGTGTTAAAGAACATTGGTTTTGGCTTAAAATACAAATTTTATTTTCAATATAAAAATACACATTTTTACAAAGAAAATACAAGCAAACCTCTCAGGTGGCTTTACAAAAGAAAGTGCTAAATGGGAAAATAGATAAGGAACAAGCTCAAAATTGTGGCAACTGGTATTTGAGGCACCAAATCATACAAGAGCGATTTTAGACCTTTCCCCCAAGTGTCTGTGCTACATGAGAAATGCATTTGAAACCCTCAGCTCCAAAATGATCCAAAATACTAGCAAGTCAGGGTTGCCCCAGTTCTGGTTTGATGAACTGAGCTAAAAAGAAGTCTGGCAACTTTGACAATGCTTGTCCTTTCCTGGAGCTCTACAGACTCTAGAACAAGGACAAACGATGCAAACTGGCAGACATTCTTCCTTCTCCTACCAAGCATCTTACCTTGTCCAGAGGTTTGCCAAAGTTTGATACAGCTCCACCTATTTTCTGCTCAGTCCACCCGCAATGCATTACTATGACCACAATCTGGCACTGTGTTCTCAGAACAGGGTGTGCTGGGCAGCACCTCCAACTCTATTTTGCCCTTTGGGGCATATATCGCACATACACCAGATGAGATGGTCACGGGTTTGTAGACAGTAGAATTTCAGACTGCAGACTGGGAAGGGGAATGTTGACAGGACTGAACACTCCTCCATATACCTTGTTGCACATTTTAAAAAGAACTTGTCACCAAGGCTTTACACACATTTGTACATGCAAAGATTATATAGATATATACACACACACACACACTTGGTGAATCAGGGGAATGCTGTGGACATAGTGTATCTTGATTTCAGAAAGGCTTTTGACGAAGTCCTCCATGATATTCTCGCGAGGAAACTGGTAAAATGTGGGCTGAACAAAGTAACTGCTAAGTGGATTTGCAGCTGGTTGACTGACCAAACCCAAATGGTTCCTTGTCACCCTGGGGAGAAGTGACAAGTTGGGTGCCACAGGGTTCTGTCCTGGGCCCACTGTTGTTCAATGTCTTTATAAACGATTTGGATGAAGGAACTGAGGGGATGCAAATTTGCAGACGACACCAAACTGGGAGGGGTAGCTAATGTCACAGAAGACAGAATCAGAGTTTAAATTACCTTAACAGATTGGAGAACGGGACCTAAGCTAACAAAATGCATTTCAGTCGGGACAAATGTAAGGTTCTGAACTTAGGCAAAAAGATCCAGATGCACAAATATAGGATGGGGGACACCTGACTTGCTAGCAATACATTTGAAAGGGATCTAGGGGACTTGGTGGACCACAAGCTTAGCATGAGTCAACAGTGTGAAGCAGAAGCAAAAAAAAAGCCAATGAAGTTCTAGGCTGCATCAACAGATATCTAGTGTCCAGATCAAGGGAAGTCATAGTCCCACTCTCTTCTGCCATGGTCAGACCACACCTGGGATACTGTGTCCATTTCTGGGCACCACAATTTAAGAGGGATGTTGACAAGCTGGAAGGTGTGCAGAATAGGGTGACCAAGATGATCAAGAGTCTGGAAACTAAGCCTTATGAGGAGCGGTTGAAAGAGCTGGGTATGTTTAGCCTAGAAAAGATGAGACAGAGGAGATATGATAGCCATCTTAAGGGCTGTCACATGATGGATGGAGCAAGCTTGTTTGCTCATTTTCTGCGGGGCGGGGGGGGCATGTTACAAGAAAGGAGATTCCGATTAAACTTCATGAAGAACTTTCTGACAGTAGGGGCTGCTAGACAGTGGAAGGGACTCCCTTGGGAGGTGGTAGACTCTCCTTCCTTGGAAGTTTTTAAGCAGGGGTTGGATAGCCATCTGTCAGGGATGATTTAGCTAAGATTCCTGCATAGCAGGAGGTTGGACTAGATGACCCTTGGGGTCCCTTCGAATTCTAAGATTCTATAGCAGCCCTGCAAAACTCTATTCCACATGCAGAAGAAAACAGGAGTGGCTGAGTCAAGTTTGAGTCTTGGCAGTGATTTCAGCCCTGGCAAGTAGTAGATACATTTCATTAATAATGGTAGAAGGTCCAACACTACAATTCTATGATTCTATATATTGAGACATAGATATATATACTCACATATTACAGGACAGAATAAAACTATTATAAACTTCTCCATCGCAGGATGAAAGTCCAGGAGCAAATTTTGTCACCTCATCAGCTGTTTGTATGAAATAGGTCCTAAGGCTCTAGATATAAAGCCCAACTGAACCCTCTTCTGATTATGCTGTTCATGCATCAGACAAAAAGCTATCTACACCGCATGCCACCAACCCCACCTTATGCAAATTAATTTTGCATTATCGCACTCCGTCCGCCTACTTTATACTGAACATGATAACTGAGGAATGTTTTGCAGCACTGGAAATTCTTGGCAAGGTGGGATGGATGAGGCAGCCAGCTTCTATGGACTAGGCTGCTACAGATGGCAATGAAGGAAGGACACTTAGCCATGCAGGGTTTGAAAAGGGCAGTCTTTCAGAGGCAGTTCCCACTTCCATATGTTTCTCCATAATCTTAAGAGCTGGAGACTTTATATGTGAACCATATGAACTGACCCAGACCATGCAATCATCATCGAAGGCCCTTCTTTGTGTGCCTCATTTGCACATGACAGAGGGCCTTTTCTGTGGCGGCCCTGCGCTTCTGTAATCTTCTCCCCAAGGAAGCTCACCTGGCACCTTCATTACATATCTTTAGGCGCCAGGTAAAAACTTTGCTCTTCTACCTAGACCTTTGGCTACTGAAGCAATCTCTGGCCTTTTAAACTGGGAGAGCAGGGAGTATTGTTTTTGTTTGTTACTATGTTACGTACTTTTGTGTTTTTATACTGTAAACTGCCCTGTGATACACAGATGAAGGGAGGCATATAAATTTAATTTATATGGTGCACAGACAATTTGTAGAAAAAATGGCCCTAACAGGCAACTGAAATGCCCCAATCAAGAGGAGTGAAGTGAGTCAACAGGTTCCTTTTGTCCAGAGGCTGCTGGCTTCATCACAATTTTGAAAGGAAAGCACTGCATTGGGGGCTGGACTGTCTGGTATGGAAAGCAGGGCTTCAGTACATTGAGCTCTCGCTTTCCTTTGCTTTTACTTGCCATTAATTAGCTCCAGGGCCTCCTCCTTGCTCCGGGTGATCTTATCCTCCCTCCATGATGAAGGTCTCCTAGACTGGTTATGTTTCACCAAGAGATGTGAGCATCGCACTTTAGTCGGCTCTCCCTGTCCATTCTTGCTGTTTCCAGTGGGACGTTCCCATTGGCTGGCATTTGTAATATGGTTGAAATAATACACACGCCCTGTGAGATAAAACAGGAGAAAAAGACTTTAGTTGTAGGGCACAACATATCAGCTTCTTTCTAAGAAGCATTCTCTTATGACCCATCCCACCCAATTATTTTAGCTTACAGCCTACCTACCTGAAATTCAGCCCATTCCCTCTCACTTACCTCCTTCAAAATTACCAGTTTGTGGTGTTTCTGCTCAATCCCCAACTGCTGCAACCAAGCTAAGGGCAAGTACCTCCCAGGACTATGTGATACCAACTCAGGCAAAGCACTATTATAGCTCCTTTGTGATGTCAGTAACATGCACAAGATGAAAATGACTATGAAAGAACAATATAGATCTGATGGTAAACCTTCCTGTGTACATTTCACTGCAGGGTCGCAGCGACAGGAACTCCAAGCAAGAATCAGAAGAGCCCTGCCAAATTGATACCAGTTTCTCGGGGAAAGCCCAACTGCATGGTCACTCTTTGGAAAGAGCCAAAACACATGTGATATGAAACACTATACGGGTAAAAAAGCTCAGAGTATTTTTTGGCTTTGGTAAGCTCAGCCATGATTATAAGCAATGCTAAATGTAATCTCTGGCAGCTTTAGAGTGACTGCCAGTAAATCAGGAAGATTCAGCCTCCGTCCCCCCACCTTAACACACTTAAAAATACACCCCAACAACAATATAAACCATCAGGGTGCATAAAAGTCCATTTTAAAAAAGATAGAATCATAGAATCATAGAGTTGGAAGAGACCACAAGGGCCATCGAGTCCAACCCCCTGCCAAGCAGGAAACACCATCAGAGCACTCCTGACATATGGTTGTCAAGCCTCTGCTTAAAGACCTCCAAAGAAGGAGACTCCACCACACTCCTTGGCAGCAAATTCCACTGTCGAACAGCTCTTACTGTCAGGACGTTCTTCCTAATGTTTAGGAATTGCTTTGATTTTCTCCCTTACCTTTGAATTACTATAATCAAATAGGCATTACACACAGAGACACAGACATTAAACCAACTTTTAATTTAACATGACTATTTAAAAAAAGCCTGGTTTAAAAAGAAAATGTGAAACCTATTAAGCTTACATTTGCAATCTCCTAAAAGTAAACTCATCTTTGTAAGGCACAGTTAAAAGCCTAATTTTCATATGCAAAAGAGCCACCAAAGGATAAAACTGATTGTGACGAAGCATAGCTATAAGCCAAATTGCAACTGCTAAGCATACTTTTCCAGGACTTAAGCCCAACTGAACTGTGTAGGACTTACTTCAAAGTAAACACATTTAGGACTGGGCAAGGGTTTTTATTTTCTGTTTCAAATGCAAATGTATCACCTGCTTTTCAATTGCTACAGCTCTTCAAGCATCAGGTAACAACACAATTCATAAAAATACCGGGACATCGTGTCCAAGATGAGATCCTATCCATTCTCTGCAATTTGAACGTCCAGTACCAATCAGTCAACTTTGTAGAGGCTGTGGTGGGAAAGGCACTAAACTTATTTCAACTGTTGTCATGGTCAAATAAATAAATCACTTGATTTGAAATTTCTCAAATAATTGGTGTGGAAAACTGGTGGGGCATGTGACCTTCCACTGCATCAGAAATATAAAAATACAGAAATTTTTAAATTCACCAGATAAAAATGGGGAGAGAGAACACAACACTAAAACAAGAAATCCAATTTTATTCTCTCAAAATACCTTCAAGGAGATCTCATCACTAGTCCTCCATGTATGGAGGTATGTAAAGGAGAAAGTGTTCCCTCAAATTCCCTCAACACCTTGCATTTATCCTAGTAACCAACAAAGTTCTTGCAGTATTAGGTGATATGCTCTGCACAGCTAGCACTGCTGCCATATTCTGGAACAACTGATGTTTCGAAATTGTATTTAAAGCAACCCCACATGACCGTAATTTATCACTTTCTCTTAACTGCCCAAGCTGTGCAGCATGTTCCATTCTCAAATATTCAGGACTCTGCCAAGCAAACTACATGCATTAACTTTACATCTCATAGAAACACACTGTTCTGCCAAAAAATACAGACCCTCATCTCTGAAAGGTTCTGGGTAACTTTCTTTCAGGAAAGTGATCTTGCAGATTGTCGTTGCATAGGGATAGAGAAGGCCAAAGAGTAACTCAACAGTTTCACAATGTTCCCACATATTACAAAATAAGATACAATTCTAGAATGCAAAATGGCAAAATCATCGAAGTGTCAAAATGACCAATAAAGTTTTAGCTGCAAACGTATGTTTAATGGTTGCATCAGCTTATATTTCCTGCACAAATATGCATACATGAGTCAAAGGGTGGCCACCAGGTTTGCACTCATCTCAGGAGGTATTTTGTCCCACTCCTCTTTGCAGATCCTCTCCAAGTCAGTAAGATTTCAAGGCTGATGTGTAGCTACTTGAACCTTTAGCTCCCTCCAGATTTTCGATGGGATTAAGGTCTGGAGACTAGCTAGGCCACTCCATGACCTTAATGTGCTTCTTTCTGAGCCACTCCTTTGTTGCCTTGGCCATGTTTTGGGTCATTGTCATGCTGGAATACCCATCCTCGACCCATTTTCAATGCCCTGGCTGAGGGAAAGAGGTGCTCACCCAAGATTTGACGTTACATGGTCCCGTCCATCATCCTTTCGATGCAGTGAAGGTGTCCTGTCCCCTTAGCAGAAAAACACCCCCAAAGCATAATATGTCCCCCTCCATGTTTAACGGTGGGGATGGCGTTCTTGGGGTCGTAGGCAGCATTCCTCCTCCTCCAAACACAGCGAGTTGAGTTGATGCCAAAGAGCTTGATTTTGGTCTCATCTGACCACAACACTTTCACCCACTTCTCCTCTGGTCATTCAGATGTGCATTGGCAAACTGCAGACGGGCCTGTACATGTGCTGTCTTGAGCAAGGGGACCTTGCAGACTCTGCAAGATCTCAGTCCTTCACTGCGTAGTGTGTTCCCAACTATTTTCATGGTGACTATGGTCCCAGCTGCCCTGAGATCATTGACAAGTTCCCCCCTGTAGTTCTAGGCTGCTTCATCACAGTTCTCCTGATCACTGCAACGCCATGAGATGAGATCTTGCAATGGAGCCCCAGACCGAGGGAGGTTGAGAGTTATTGTTTCATTTTCATAATATTTTCTCTTAAGGCATTACATCCCGTAAATTTCATACCTGTGGTCCACAACTGTTCCCAGTCAGCAAACATAATGTTATGTCCAACGTCTTGTGCCCATTTAATCATAGTAGATTTCACCGTTTCATCCTGAGTGTTCCATTTCAGCAGCAAGTTATACATTCTTGACAAATTCTTAGTTTTGGGTTCTAACAGTTCTGTTTCTAATTTTGATTTTTCCACCTGGAAGCCAATTTTCTTGTCCAAATTGTATGCCTCCATTATCTGATAATAATGAAGCCAGTCTCGCACTTTGTTTTTTAATTTTTCAAAACTCTGCAATTTCAGTCTATCTCCATCTTGTTCCAAAATTTCCCAATATTTCGGCCATTTGACCTCCATATTGAGCTTTTTCAGAGCTTTCGCTTCCATTGGTGACAACCACCTTGGAGTTTTGTTTTCCAATAAATCCTTGTATCTTATCCAAACATTAAACAGTGCTTTCCTGACAATGTGATTTTTAAATGCTTTATGTGCTTTGACCTTATCATACCAGATATGCATGCCATCCAAATACATTGTTAAAACCTTCTAGATCTAAAATGTCAGTGTTTTCAAGAAGCAGCCATTCTTTCAATCAGCAAAAAGCTGCTGATTCATAATAAAGTTTAAGGTGATATACAGGTGGTACATAACCCCAGTCAAGCTTGCAAAAATCTACCATTTGCCTGATAATAAATGTTGGAAATGTAAAGAAACTGAAGGTACATTTTTTCACCTTTGGTGGACGTGCCCAAAGATTAAGGCTTTCTGGGAGATGATATATAATGAATTAAAAAAGGTATTTAAATATACCTTCTTGAAGAAACCAGAGGCCTTTCTCCTGGGCATAGTTGGCCAATTGGTGTTAAAAAAGGATAGAACTTTCTTTATGTATGCAACAACAGCAGCAAGAATACTCATCGCAAAGTATTGGAAGACACAAGAGCTACCCACACTGGAGGAATGGCAGATGAAATTGATGGACTATATGGAATTGGCGGAAATGACTGGCAGAATCCGTGACCAGGGAGAAGAGTCGGTGGAAGAAGATTGGAAGAAATTCAAAGATTACTTACAGAAATATTGCAAAATTAAAGAATGTTAGAGTGATGATGGATTGAAATTAAGTGGCTTCTAGCTGTACAGGCTTTAAAGTTATATATAGATCAAGATTAAGGATTAGGATTAAAAAGGTTAAAAGAATGGAAAATTGGTTTTTAATAGGTAAAAATTTAATGTTATATTATATTAAGATTAAGGATTGGGATTAAAAAGGAGGGAAAGGAATTGCTGGACAAACAAACTGAATTGGAATACAAAAGAGGGAGGTATGAGGAGGTCCGGGAAATAAGTAAATGTAAAAGTAGTGATGAAAAGATGGAATTGTTTTTAACTGTTTTTTCTTTTTTCTTTTTGTGTTTTGTACTGTGTATTTTTCTTTTCATTTTTAATTTTTTTTTTTATTAATGTGTCTCTTTTCATGTGAAACTTTAATAAATATCATTTTTTTAAAAAAAGAGAGAGTTATTCTGTGTTTCTTCCATTTGCAAATTACTGCACCAACTGTTGTCACCTTCTCACCAAGCTGCTTGGCAATAGTCTTGTAGCCCAATCCAGCCTCGTGCAGGTCTACAATCTTGTCCCTGACATCCTTGGACAGCTCTTTGGTCTTGGTCATGGTGGCTACTTTGGAATCTGCTGGATTGATTGCTTCTGTCGACAGTGTCTTTTGTACAGGTACTGTAACGAGCTGGGATTACAGGCAAGACCTCTCTCTTACAGCAGGTGCTTCTAATCTCAGCTCGTCACACACAGTGAAGATACCAGGTAGCCTGACATCTGGCTGATTGATAGGGGATCAAATACTTATTTCACTCATTATAATGCACATCAATCTCTGACTTTTGTCTTCTGGGTTTCTGGGGATTTTCCTGTTGTTATTCTGTCTCTCACAGCTACAATAAAACTACCATTAAAATTATGGACTGGTCATTTCTTTGTCAGAGGGCAAACGGGCAAATTTAGCAGGGGATCAAATAATTTTTCCCTCACTGTACAAGAAAATACACAGATGTGTGCACTCAGGATACTTCACCCCTCTGTCCGGGCACAACTACTTCTTGCTCCAAAACAAAGCCTAAAATCCACTAATTTAGCCCAAAGTACCAACTGCTGGTCAGCTGCTACAAAATTAACACACATATATCAGCTTCATGCAAAGCATGAGCTACTCAAACCTGGTTGTTAGAAGAAACCATAAAGTTGTCCTGTAGCAGGTATGCTGTACTTGAAGGTCCTAATGAATTATTAGAAGAGATGGCTGGAAAAAGCGGCCTTTAGCTCCACTTTAGCTTCTGAATTCAACAGCCCTGTCCCTACTCGACCAGCGAGAAAAAACAAGAGTGTGTGCATTTTTTCAGAAAAGACTGTTTTAGGCCTATACTGAAAATGATGCTGGGTCTTCTTGGCACAGAGCTGTGGGAGATTACATTTCCCTGTGCCCAAAGAAATCAGTCACAAAGAAATCCGTATGAAGGGAGGATGGAAAGCCTGGATATTGCAGGGTCTGGTGCTGCTGTTTTAAACGCATTGCAGTCATCTGCAGATCTTAAAAGAAATAGACTGGGTTGCCTGATAGAAGCTAGGGAAGTCCTAAGTATCTGGCCCCATAGCCTTTAAAGCCCATTCGTGAGGAATTTGAAGTAATTTTCCACTACTAGCAGAAGATTTCCTGCTGAAATCTGATTTAAGTGTATTATTAAAATCACAGAGACTCACAGTGCAGTCCCCCACTTGCACTCTCTTCCGTCTAAACTTGTAAAGGTCCAAGATGGGTTCCTTCCCCTTATATTTACAGCTGCCCCCTGTCAACACCCCCAGTGAAAAGGCTGCTTAGTCACTTATACTTCATTCCTAGTCCAGAACCCACAGAACAACTTGCTTGTTCTGTACTTGCAATTGTTTGCCAAGTCTGTAGCAGCCATCCTATAGTATCTCTTTCCTACAGCACTTCCTGTTCCTGAAGCAGGAGAAAAATGCTGTTTTGAACACTTTGCAGCCTCAAGTGCAAGAACCCCACACACCTGCTTAGTCTAAGCCGGACAGATATTAAACTGGGCTTGTAAAACAGTAACTTGCCTGGCTGCTTGTGACCCGTAGAAATTGTCCTCAGGCAAGGAAGGATTTGTAAAAAGGAGTCTGTAGTGGTTGCTCGTTCATTTCCTTAATGGGATGTCAGTGTACAGTGGTGCCTCGGGTTAAGTACTTAATTCGTTCCAGAGGTCCATTCTTAACCTGAAACTGTTCATAACCTGAAGCACCACTTTAGCTAATGGGGCCTCCTGATGCTGCCGCGCCGCCGGAGCCCGATTTCTGTTCTCATCCTGAGGCAAAGTTATTAACCCGAGGTACTATTTCTGGGTTAGCAAAGTCTGTAACCTGAAGCGTATGTAACCCGAGGTACCACTGTACAATAAATGACTGTTTGGGGGCAGACGGCTATTAATAATTTGTGAGCGAGTAACTTTTGTGAAATTCATAGGGCTTTTGTTGGGGAAAAATAAGTTTCAACCAAATCAGAAGATCTCAAAATACTAGTTTCCTCTTAAATGCAAAGCTACTTCCTCTGGTAGGGTAGTCATGTAACCTGCAACTGACAACTGGAGAGAAGACCAGCTACAGAATGGCAACCTGACACACTTTCTCTCCTCTCATTTAGGGATAGTCACCAGCGTTTGGAGCCCAGATACATAAACTAGTCACCAAATGGCACCTTAAACCTAGGTTGCAGTTGCCACAACAGAATGTCTAGGAGCCATTTTTTTCCTGTTTTTGCAATGGAATTTGTTATTATTATTCATTTCATTTCATTTCAATACCACTTTAATTGGACCTGTGCCAGAGCATTTTGTGACTGGCGCAGATCCAGTTGCGACGCTGTGGAAATCTCTGGGCACCAGGTTGGTGACGGACATCTCCATCTGGGTGGTCTCTCCAGCTTTCTTAAGTAGGTCAGCAGAAGAGCTTACTTATTGCCTTTATCTCCCATCTTTTTCTCTAAGGAGTACATTGTTCACCTCCCTCCCCTCAGTTAATCCCCACAATGACCCTGTGAGGTAGTTGAAGAGCCTGTGGCTGGCCCAAGGTCACCCTGTGAGCTTCATGGCGGAGTGGGGATTTGAACCCTGATCTCCCAGGTCCTAGTCCAATAATGTCACCACTACACCATCCTGGCTTCCTAGAGCACTTCTGTTATGGGGCAGCTCTATAAATTAAGTAGGGGGGAAATGGGGAAAGCCAAATGTTTTTCTTGAAGCTTGAATTTATTTGATGGTTGTAAACCAATTTGAGATTTTTTCTTTAAAATATAAAGTGCTATAGAAATGAAATGAAAAAAACAATAAAGCACATTTGGGGGGAAATGGCACCTAGCCATTTCACTGTGGCGACTATAACCTAGGTTTAAGATGCTATTTGGCAATTAGCTTATATATCTGAGTTTCTAACACTGCTCAAGACCGTGACCTGACCAAGTCTTCCCCAGCTCGAGCCTTTCAACCTTTTTAGTGATGCATTGGCCATGAGCCACCTGAAGGAGAAAAGGTGCCAGAAGCCTGGAGTATCTGAACTAGGTTTGATTGCTAAGTAGAGTGGAAGTGTCACAACCAGGTATCCACTGTTAACAATAACATGCAAGACCCACAGATCTTCCCAGTGACCTCTCTTGATGGCTTCACATTTCTCATCAACCAGACAGACACCTCCTTTTGCAGAAAGTAAAATTTGAGCATGGCAAGAATAGGGGAGAATTATAGCGAAGGCCACCCAATTCCTGCCTTCTCTAACATGGTGCCCTCCAGATGTTTTGCCCATAACTGCCACCACCCCGTGACCTTTGGCCAAGCTGGTGGGGGCTGATGGGAGCTTTAGCCCAACAACATCTGGAGTACATTAGGCTGGGGAAAGCTTATAAACCATGAGAACCACGCTGTGACAATTGCATCCTGTAATGTTGGGATGAAATCAAAAGCCAGTCAGTCATACTGTGACACAGCCCACTAACGTAAGGCAGAAAACCATGTACTCTTTGCATGATTTAATGATGGTATTATAATGACTTTTATTATCAGCCACTGTCTTATTCCACTTGCTAGGAAATGGAGACATAGCCTTCGTTTTCCTGTGTTTGAGTCCTGCAATACCAACCACTAACATTTAATTGCATGCTCCATTCATACCAAGAAGCAAATAAACAAGAAGCAAAAGACCACCCTGAATGTATGCAGTCCTCAAATAACCTACACACATGCAACAACTTCATAGGAAGTCACTTGAGAACTGCAGACAAAGCATACTACTCTAGCTGCCACCTGCAGCAACTGGAAAAATGAATCCAAATGTTGAAGGCAGTTAATTCTATTTTAAAATTTTGAGTACAGGGTTCCTTGTGTTCACTGGGTCATTAGGTTACTTTCCACAAAGTCCCTCCACAAATGTAAAAGAGAAGATAAGGGGATAGGAAAAGTGGTGCTCAAACTAAAACACTTGCTATACGGAGTGTATAGACAACAGATCCATGCTACCTCACCCATTCCTACACCAACGTATTTAAGATAACCACCACCCAAAAAAAAAACCAAACAAACAAACAAGCAAACAGGAACAGTTTATTTATTTAGGGAAGTCTGAGGACACCCAGCTCTGCAAGTGCAAAAAAAGCTATCAAGAATAAGGTGAGAGTGAACAATGAAATAAAGGCCAAGAAAAGGCCTCACACCTGACCCACAAACCTCATAACACAATACTTTGCTTATCCGCCTGCTCACAGAAGCTATGAGTGCATGCTCCATGCAGCAAGTTTGGGGCTCTTTGTAAATCTATTCCCTTGAGGTAAAAGTGAAAGATCTGGAGAAGTTGTTAGGCACACAGGCAACAGCACCAACATTAAAAAATAGTTATGAGGTAGGTTGTTGTGTAGGAAGCTTAAGTCAAGCACTCTGAGGGGGCAATTTCAAAAATGATATTGTTTCACATAGAACTAGCTAGGCAGGAAGGATTGCAGGGTCTCAATGTGTGGATGAGGTCCCCAGAATCACAGAGTGCGGAAATATCAGGTTCATGTTCCCTGTACTGTAACTGTCCCCAACCCAAACTGAAGGTTGGGATGAAACTCAAAGCTGGCAAAAACTCAGGAAGGCAGCCCAAATGAGAAAGTGCTGGGTGGCTTCAATTAACCTCCCATTATCTGGGCACATATACATTCAGATTACAGCAAAGAGATGATATTTCTAGCTATGTTAGGGGAACTGTGCCTTAGACCAGTAAAGGACACAATGGAAGCTGCTGACGTTTAACTCAGTTATTAGCTGCACTCCTAGATCGCGGTTGCAGAATACAAAGGTTGCCACTATAAAATGCTCCATGTTGGTGTTTTCTGATCTGCTGGAATCCCCTTCTTGGGATCCCCACAAGCATTACTCATTGGGGAGTGATGCGGGGAAGGGCCTTCCTGATCATGGCAGGTTGTTTGTGGAATTCCTTCTCCCCAGAAACGCAGTTGTTCCACCCCATCTACTGAGTTTTAAAGGCAAGGTTTGAAGAAACACCTGTTTTAATCAGGACCTTTGGATTAAACAAACTGTTTCTGTTTTAACATAATTATGTTCTCAACTGTTGTCACTTGTGTTGTTGCATTTATCAATGTGGGGTTAATAATTTTAACTGTGAGCTTTGTATTTAGTGAGTTTTCCTGCTGAAAACTCTGTCTCTCTCATTTTAATTATATGTATGTAACTCGGTTGTCGAATGTGATCTGTTCTGGAAGAACGTTAGACTTCCTCAATGTTGGACAACCAAGGCACAAAGGGTAGATGGCAGGACTTCCAGGTTGGCGCCTCTGGCAATGGCGGATTTCCTCCGATCGGGAGGAATCCGCTCCGTGGAAAACAGGGTCTGAACCGCCACAGCGAGGCGGAGACCCATTAAAAACCACAGGCGGGAGAAGCCTGTGGACGTGGGATTCGGCTGGCACCTTTGCGCCTCCCCTACTCGCGGGGAAACCCTGTTTTGGGGATCTGGAGCGACGTGGGGTGAGTGACGCGGTGCTTTGAATCAACTGCTTCTTTCACGGAGTGAAGCCGCATTGCTGTTGCCGGAGAGCGCTGACTTTTTCCTGTGGACAATTGGACTTTAAATAACTACTCGTGAGTAAACGGAAAATTGGATTTTTAAATACTTTAATTCGGCACTGAAACGGGAAGGTTATAAACAGGAAGTCCGCCTCCCGTTCTTGTAAATAGACTGAAGCAAAGACGTTACAAGTTAAAGCCTTTGAAAGCTTTTGGCAAAGGATCAAATTTCCACCGGTTTAAAATACAAAACCCCCCTTGGAAGCAGGAGAAGAGGGGGAAATTTTGGATCTAGTGAGCCTGCAGGAGAGAGTGAAAAATCAAATTACCACTGCTCTGAACCTGGGAACGGGCTGCCAGATGACGTTTGGAGAGAGTGCTTTTGACAGAACGGATTTGACAGCTAGCTAAATAAGAGTAAGATACTGTTTCCATTGTCCTTTTCTGCGTTTAAAAAAGAGGAAAAGTAACTGAAAATTTATCTTTAATGCTTGAGTTGCGCTTGAAAGAACTGATACAAGTGGAGACTGTTTCCCTCTAGAGGGAGCTTTTGAAACTGTTACAGGAGTATAATTGGGGGATTTCCAGTTGTAGATAAGGAGTCTGAGAACCAGAGTGCGACCTTGGACTATTTAAAAATGTTGACAGGAGAGGCCATTGTGACTGTTTTATGCAAGATAAGCTGTTCGCTGGGACAGCTTCACAAGAAGATGGATGATATGACTTTCAAAGTTGATAATTTGGAACTGAAAGTGACCAACTTTAGTCAAAAAGCGAACACCAACACAGAAATAATTCAGGACTTGGTACAGGAACCCATTTTGGCAGGACAAATGGTGGAGGAGAAGGAGGAGAAGGAGAATGCGGCTGTTGTTGAACATAAAATAATAGAAGTGAGATCTGTGGTTTTACAGAAGCAAATTGAGGATTATAAATTGAGGCCTTCTATGATTGAATCTAGGAAAAGTCAGACTCCGAGGAATGGATCCCGGCTTGGATTAAAGAAGGAAAGTTGGAAAGAGCCCTTTATGCAGGGATTAACTGACTTTTGGGACATGGACTTGGGCCTGGAGGAGATTGAAGTTTTGGGGGCCTTTGGAATTGGAAGAATTTTGAAATATACCCGGAAATACTTTATGGACTGTAGCCTTAACTATGGAAATTTAGTTGATCTGTTCAGAAGGAAGAAAAGGATTGACAGGCTGGAGTTTCCCCGAGATTTGCTCTTTAGCATTAAAGAAAATGAAGAAGACCTGCAGAAGGGACTTGGAAAAGAGTTAAGAGCTCGGACATAAGATCACCAGGTTGATGGACTTTATGGAATTGACGGAAAGGACTGGCAGAACCCGAAACCTGGGAGAGGAGATGGTGGAAGAAGACTGGAAAATTTAAAGTTTATATATAGACTTATGGTAAAACTAATGAGTGATAGAAAAATGGTGGAATGATTTTTATTTTTATTTTTTATGGGCTTAACAGAATGTTATGCACATATAAGTATTTTAGTTTTAATGGAAAATAAGGTTAAAAAATATGTTATTTACAATATCACAGAAAATGGAGAAAGATGGAAAGGATTTGCTGAAACAATTTATAGAAGTGGAACACAAAAAGGGAGGTGTGAGGAGGTCGAGGAAACAAGGGAATGAAAAATAGAGTATGGAAAAGAGACGATGTATGTTTTTAAATTGTTTTTGTTTTGTTCTATTCAGGGTTAAGGTTAGGGAGTGGGGTTTGTTTAGCTTAGTTTAATGTGTTTAGTTTTGAGTTTAGGTTGTGTTTTGTATTGTTTATATATTGTATTGTTTTTCCTTTTTGTTTTTCTCCTTTGTTTTTTCTTCTGTTTTTTTTTCTTTTTTTCTTTTTTCTCTTTTTTTGTAATATATAAAAGTAATAAATATTATTTAAAAAAAAAAACAAAGGGTAGATGGCAAAGTCAATGGAGAAAAAAGAAAAAAATGCAGCAGAAGCTGTGCCACTTCAAAGACGTGTTTGAAAACAGAAGCAATTACTTCCGGGTTTTTGGCGTTCAGGTTCTGAAACATTCAGCTTCCAAGACGCTAGAAAACAGAGGTACCACTGTATTTGTTAGCTGTCCTGGGCTCTCATGTGATGGCAGGATAGATAGATAGATAGATAGATAGATAGATAGATATAAGTTGCTCTGAAAGTGCAACATGGCCACTTACTAAATACAGTATCAGATAAAATATACTCAGATTACGAAAGGGACAAACAAGTTCAAGCGGATGTCTGCGGTTGACAAGCAGTCGCAGAAGCAAATGCAAGGTTTCCTTTAAAAAGTGGAAGTCTAACCCGAATTAGGAGAAAAAAAAGAAGCATAAACCCTAACAAAATAAGTATGAACCGACAATAAGAAAAATGATGAAGAATTTAGAGCACAAGTCAGACCTGAAACAAAATGTTTATCTGTAAAAATCCCTGGCTCAGGGTTCTAGCCAGCTCCTTGCAAACTCACCCAGTGCTCCTCAGGACACTACTTTCCCAACTCACCCCAAAGTTTTCTGTTTATCTTTTCCAACTGACATTTTGAGCATGCCAAGTCTTCACGTGGCTTTTTCTCTGGGGTGCCACCTTTTAAATTTCTCTCTTAAGATATTGTGCAGCCTACAACCCCCTCACTTCATCCATGGTTTCCATTCATCATTCCCTCTCCACCATCTGGGTGGTGGGGTTTTTTTGGGGGGAAGGGGGGTAGCTTTCTCCCTCCATCTTCCATCTCCTACCTTTTCCTTCCTCCTCTGCCATCAGCCAACACAATCAACGTCCCTGTACAGTTTGAATCCGGCTCGTAAGTGTGGCTTAGTAGTGTCACACTTCTGGATCCAAGCTCTGCTTTTTCTTCCCTCCCCTTTCCTCAATGTAACTACATGCATGCGCAGTCTTGTCATATATTTTTTTTGCTTCAGGTTTTCTTTTGTATCATTTCCTGGAGGTTTTTTTTCTTCTATTTCTGCAAACCTTGGGGATCTCTCAAACATACTAATACTTCCCTCTTCTTCTTGGCTGGTTCACTTTGACTAAAAAATCCATGGCATGCACCCTCAACTATGGAATCAAATTGGTAAAAATATAGTCAACAATGTTAGTAATACTCAGCGCAGACCCACTGGGTGGAATTTACCCTTGCACAATGAAACATTCTTCCCTTGCATGCCCCTAAATCTGCTCTGGGGGTCTCAAGGCATGCATAGGGCCAGAAGGGAGAAGTCCCGTTGCACAAGCAGAAAATATTCCACTTCCACAATAATACCATCCATTGAAATTAGCAAACATGACTAACTTAGGCATATTAATTTCAATGGACCTACTGTAAAAAGGTCCTGTAAATATAGTACTGATGATGCCAAGGTTGCAGGTTAAATCCCCATATGGAACAGCTGCATATTCCTGCATTGCAGGGGGTTGGATTAGATTATGTTTAGGGGCCCTTCCAACTCTACAATTCTATTATTCTATGACCTATAACAATCCAATATCATTTATCAGAAGCAGAAAAGACAAGCAGGGAGATGGCTGAACAGCTAAACAACAGAAGAGTAAAAGGATTCCTAAAGGAGGAGGAGAGAAGCTGAATGTATTATTTGTATTCGTTCTCACTGTGGACCCTGCTGCAGATAACTGCCTTCACCACTTTTCCCCTGAGTAGACACCTGAAGAACTAAGTCAAATAGAAGTGGCAGGAGATGATGTTCTAGATCTGACAAATTAAGATGTTACCTGGTCAGTTAACACACACTCACTAATAGGAAACTTGTCACAACCATCAGCACACCTTTCTGAGGTAGCCAATACAACATCCATTTTTAGGATCCACCCTATTCTTCTGGTGCAAATTGCTTAATTGATTTTAATACTGTTTTATTATATTCTAAACTGCCTGAGACCTTATGGTGAAGGTCATGTAAGAAAATAAATAAATAAAGGGAGAAAGGAGAAGCAGAGGGGAGTCCATAACTAACAACCCTATTGGCCTAGCTTCTGTCCTATATAAACTGGTAGAAAACACAATTCAAAGTACAATTTAACATAGAACAAGCATCACTAAGAGGAATCAGCATGGCTTCTGCAGTGCAGTCCTGCCCCAACAACCTTTTAGAATTCTCTGAGTGTTGGTAATCATGTGCAGCCAGGGATAATCATACCTAGAGTTCCAAAATGCTTTTCAAAAAGTCTCTTAACAAAAACACCAGTGAAGAAACCCTTGGTAGTCACTGAGTAAAAGGGCAAGTGCCCTTACAGAACAAAAACTGGTAAAACAATGGGAAACAGAGGACAGGAACACGCCAATATTCATAATCGAAGGAAATAAGCAGTGAGGATCTGTATTGGAACAGATGCTTCTTGGAGGATCTGCATGACACAGAAACAGAGGTGAGCAAACTTTGCCAAGTTTGCAGACAGACTATTTAGGATGGCAAAGGCTTGAGCGAAATGGAGCGATCCTTTTGGAAGTCTTTACAAATGGGTGAATGGCAAGAAAACGGCAAATGAGGTTTAATGTCGTTTTAAAATGAAACAAACTGGAGCAATAGTAACAACAAAGCCATTTTCATGCATACAGCAATGTGACTATCCAGGAAAGATGTTGTTGCATCATGGTACATGGTTAAAAAATAATGAACTCTATGTGCAGCAGCAGTGGGAAAAGGGTGGCTTCCATGTTGGGATTAGGAAAGGAAGTGGACATAGAAAGCTGGCATCAAACCCTTAGAATTCATAGAAGGAATACTATCAGTGGCTACTATCCATGATAGCTATGTTTTACCTCCATTTTCAGAGGCAGTGTACCTCAGAATACCAGTTGTGGGAAATCACAAGTGAGGAGAGGGGCCACTGCCTTCAGGCTCTACTTGTAGGCTTCTCATATGCATCTAGTTGGCCACTGAACAAGTAAGATGTTGGACTAGGTGGGCCTTTGGACTTGTCTAACGGGGGCTCTTCTTATGTCCCTTCATATACCCCAATACTGAGGACATGTGCAATTTGGTATACCACATTTCCACAAACCTGGTGCCCTCCAAATACTTTGGAATTCAACTCAAATCAGCCCCAGCCAGCACATGTCTTCACTATTGGCTGGAGCTTATAAAATTCGTCGCTCAGCACATCAGATTGGGAGAATGCTGCTATATATTCACCTAATGAAGTTCTAATCCCCCACATCTCAAAAAATATATTGTAGAGTTGGAAAAGGTGTAGGAAAGACATTGAAGTGATTGGACTACTTTCTCTATATGTAAAGGCTACACCTGAGTGTTTAATTTTGTTTTTAATGTACTTTATTTATTTGGTGTTAGCCACCCTGAGCCCGGTCTCGGTTGGAGAGGGTGGGGTATAAATAAAAATTATTATTACAGTATTATTATTATTTTACTTTTAAAAACAAATTACTGGAGTGATAACAGGGCTAATATTAAGAGAACTTAAAAAGATATTGTGTTTCTCATAAGAATAGAATGTACAGTGACCCAGTTATACTGACTAGCTGGAAATTCAGGACAACAAAAGGAAGTATTTTGCACAATGCTTCACTTATGGGATGTTAATGGTCACTGACTCAGAATGGCTTTCCAAAGGCATTGGATAAACTCATGAAAGACAGCTGCTGATAAAACCAATGCTTAAATACAACCCAGATGCCCATACCCACGGGGGCGGGGGGGAGAGAGAGGTGGTGGTTAGGCAGCATTCTTGGATGACATAATTCTTCAGATCCATTCCAATCTGGGTTCAGGCCTGGCTATAGAACTGAGTCAGCCTTGGTCCCCCTGATGGTCACCTTTGCAGAGAGCGGTACAGGGGGAGTGTGATCTTGCTCCTGATTCTTGATCTCTCACTGGCATTTAATACCATTGACCATGGTACTCTCCTGGACTGGCTCCAGGGAACAGGAACTGGGGGCACTGTATTACAGTCCTTGGCCTTCAGGGTATGGTTTTTTTGTGAGGTGGGGAAAGAGAAGAAAAATAATTGGGGGGCAGGGATGTGGGAGTAGGAAGGAAGAAACCACCATACTTTTCCATGGGGCTGTGTTATTTATTATTATTATTATCAGAACAGTGTAAGTGGTCCTCAGGATATTTTTTTAGTGGATGGAAATGGGTGGAGAAATAAATTGGTGGAGAAATAAATGGGGGGAGGGAATAGGAGTAGGAAGGAAGAAGCCATGTTCCAATATCTGAAGGGCTGCCATGTGGAACATGGAGCAAGCTTGTTTTCTCCGGCTCTGGAGGGCAAGACTTGAACCCATGGCTTCAAGTTATAAGAAAGGAGATTCCAACAAAACATCAGAAAAAAGTTTCTGACGACAAGAGCTGTTTTACTTCAGGATGGAGGGTGGTGGACTCTCCTTCCTTGGAGGTTTTTAATCAGAGGTTGGCTGGCCATCTGTCATGGATGCTTCGGATGAGATTCCTGCATTGCGGGGGGGGGGGGCTAGATGATCCTGAGATCCCTTCCAACTCTACGATTCTATGAAAAGCAATGAGAAACCACGATTGTTCTCTATGAGCCAGCTCAGTCAGCAGAGCACGAGACCTTTAATGCCGGGGTCATGGGTTCAAGCCCCACGTTGGGGAAGATTCTTGCATTGCAGGGGGCTGGACTAGATGACCCTGGGGGTCACTTCCACCGCTATACTTCTATGGTTCTACGACTGCGTCGCTGTTGCTATTCTTATTCTTGTGTCCCACAAGCTCCTCCCCCCCCCGCAATCCCCAGCGGCCCCGTTATCCCCGCCCGCGCCCCCTCCCCGCAGCCCCTCTCCCGCCTCCCCTCCGGGGCGCGAAAGGGCCTCCGAGGCGACCGGCCCCGACCGCGAAGGGCGCCTCTCCGCCCTCCTTCTCCCCCGAGGCCCATCCACCCTCCTGCCGGGCCCTCGCCCTCCGCCCGCCCGCCGCCCCTTTCCCTCTTCCGCGGCGGTACCGGAGCTGCGGCTCATGCGCTTCTCCCAGCCCGCGGGGAGCTTCTCCTCCTCCGCCATCTTGCCTCGCCTCACAGAGCACAAGCGCAGAGCCGGCCACGCCCACCTTCGCCTAGCAACGGCGGCGGCGCACGCGCCGAACGCGCACGCGCGCTCGCCCTCGCAGTGAGTTGGGAGGGAGGAGAGAAAGCCTCGCCCACCAGAGAAAGAGGCGCCCAATCCGCCCGCGGCCCGTCGGAATGGTGGCCTAGAGGCTTCCTCAACCTCGGCCCGCCACATGGTTTGAGACTACAATTCCCAGCATCCCTGACCACTGGTCTGCTAGCTAGGGATCATGGGAGGTGTAGGCCAAAAGCATCTGGAGGGCTGAGGTTGAGGCCTAGAGACATAGCTGTCAACTTTTCCCTTTTCTTGCGAGGAATCCTATTCGGACTAAGGGAATTTCCCTTAAAAAAAGGGAAACGTTGGCAGCTATGCCTAGAGACCAAAAAAGGTGGAGAATATTTGGTTCCTTTTGCAAGGCGCCCGCTGCCTGCACACCCACTCTCAATTCACCCATCTTCCACTATCCCGGGTTAATTTCTAAATAACTCATGAGAGTCTGGATAGTCCAGACTCTTCAACTCAGGGTTGCAGGTTCGAACCCCACATTGGACAAAAAGATTACTGCACTGCAGGGGTGGACTATGGGACCCTTCCAACTCTCTCTCCACTCAGGCCTGCCCACCCATGCACTACGTATTATAGATATCATTTTCACATATACAGCACTTAAGGTTTCTGTGTTTTAAAGATACACTGCACACAGAGTCAGGTCACACATATTGGTTCACGTTTATTATAAAGATTTTTTAAAAACCAAAACAATAAAAGACAGTCTGAATAGTCTGGTATTCATTTCTGGTATATTGTGCTCAGGGATAAAATACTCTTAACTAAACCTCATGCAGCCAAATAATCAAGAGTTTGTCAAATGAAAAACAAAGAATGAAAAAAAACAGACAATAGAAAAGGCAGCATCTGCCACAACGAAACTACTGATAATATAGTTCTAGGTTCATGCCATCGTGAATTTCATCTGGAAGTGAGGAGTTAAGGTAAAATTCCACTGAAAAATATTTCTGTATTTTTATGAATTGAGCTTGATGTATATGATGGGAAAAATCTACCACAATGCCAGAATAATGACACTTTTGAAATTTATCATAGGTGCTCAAATTCATACTTAATTTATGAATTATCCAAGCACATATACATCCCAACAGATTCACTCTAAATGCTGCCGAACTGCACAGAGTAGTCATATCATTTTAAAACTGGTACTGTTTTTAATTGTTTTATCGTTGTCTTTACTGTGAATTCACTTCAATATTTTATGGAAAGCGTTCTTAAGTAGAAACCAATCTACACATCTTTAAAAGTTTCGGTCTATGTGCATGGTAGGAAAGTGATTATTATTATTTTATAGATGTAAAGTAGTAGAGAAATAGTTTACATAAATTTATTTATGTAAATTATTTATACTCCACCCAACTGGAGTAAAAAAGAAATAAATTAACCATGATCGAAATCTGCTCAGTTCAAGCTGAAGAGTATTACCCCCTTCTTTCATTTCCCTTCCCCCACCTCCTCTGGACCCACCTGGCCAGCCTATTAATTTACCGCAAATCACCAAGATTTTTTAAGGATACAGTCAGCCAATGAAACATGGTCCTTGAAAATTGTATACCTAAAACATTAACAAGAAAGGCAGTTAGTCAACCGTAATTTGTTACACAGCTCAATTAAATACGACAACTAACGTGATGGATGGATATATATATATATACACACACACACACACACACACACACACACCAGAGCCAATAGGCTTTTCTATGGAGCTGTCCTTAAAGTTGGCATAGAAACTTCAACTGGTACAGATATAGCTACCCATTTGCAACAAGAGTAAGATTCTGCAATCAGGTTATGCCCATTTTAAGAGATCTGTTTCTTACTGCAACTCAGATTGAAGGATTTGGCCTTGAAAGTCCTAAATGGAATGGGTCCTTAACAACAACAATTTTATTATGTATACCCCGCCCATCTGGCTAGGTTTCCCCAGCTTCTTTCTATATGAGGCACACCCACCCTAGACATTAAAAACTATTCATCAGGCCCACTCCACATTGCAACTATGGAGTTTAGCCTATCATCACTGAAGAGTAAGGCCTTTTCAGCGGCCTGCCCCTAAGCTATGAGATTCTCTCTTCCTCCGAGTATGGTTGGCACATTCTTTCTATTCCTCTCAGAGGGCAAGACTTATTTATTTTGTCATGGCTCTTCTGTTTGATTTTTACCTGGCAATTTTGGAACTTTGTGCCACTATCATATTTTCCTTGTTTTGGTATGGCTCATTATAGTTTAAAATTGCTTTTAATTGATATTATCAATTGCTGTTTTTGATGATGATAATTGCTTTGAAGAACCACTATGGTTGAAAGGAACTATACAAATACTGTAAGTGGTTTACGAAGATCAATACTAAGCAGTACAACATGCACGCAGGTCTGTAATCATGTGTGGAAACCTGGAGATCTGGGCTTCTTGTACTGAAAGCATGAACTGTGCTATTGCATTGTTAGTGCTAAGAACAAGCTGAGGGAACTGCCTGAGGGGCCCTGATGCTTTGCTCATTTCTACTCACCATTTCTTCAGCACAATCTTGTCCCACCGCGTGCCAGTCTGCGCAGCAATGAGCTTTTTCAAGTCCCTAATGGTGTCGTCAGAGCTGAGTGGTGGTACGAGTTAAGGAAAGGATGTCTTAAATCAAAAGCAGTAAGCAGACTATGTGTTCATTGTGCACCATCTACCAGTCCCAAGCAATTTAGTACCTGGATGCCCAATACAATTGGGGCTGTGCACACATGTATATCACACACAGCGGCCTCGAGTTATGCTTGCCAATACATGGGAGAAGAAACATATTTGGATGTTACAAGCTCAGGGTGGATACCACTTAAACAAAGGGTGACTAACCTCTGACCCTTCAAATGTTTTTGGACTCCAGCTCCCATCAGCCCCAGGCAGAATTGCCAATACATAGAGAGGAGGAAGATTTCAGTCCAGCACCGCCTGGAGGGCCACAGCTTTCTCACTCCTGAGTTAGACATGTACGATCCAAACACTTATGACAGAACCCTTTCCTCATCTCCAACCATAAAATGTGTGTCACAATTTACGAAAAGGCATGATTGTGCTGCTTCAGTCACCCAAAGGTTTCCTGCACCCTTAAACGACCCATTCCCTTAGACCAGGCACCCCCAAACTTGGCCCTTGAGATGCGTTGGGACTACAACTTCCATCATCCCTAGCTAACAGGACCAGTGGTCAGGGATGATGGGAACTGTAGTCCCAAAACGTCTGGAGGGCCATGTTTGGAGATGCCTGCCTTAGACCTGAAATCTTCTTCCTAAACAGTGCCAGTTCTCCCTTTCTCTTTACTCCCCAGCTCTTCTGTGAGATCTTAAATACTCAATCCCAACTGAGCTGAAGCCTGAGTACTTATAGCTGCACTTTTTCACCTCCATTTTCACATACCCATTGCCTCTCCTGTTGGCTACCTTAACCTGGTTTCCCCAGCCAGTCTAAGCTGTTTCCTGGGTTGTGGCTGATTCCACATGCTGACAGCTTCTAGGAGCCACAGGCGAGAGCTGAGAGCAGTGTGGGGACCAAAGGTGAATAAACTACCCCAGAAGGAGCAAAACGTGTTCCCCAACCAAAGGTACTACCCCTCCCATAAACCCTGCAATCACAGTAAGAGATATCTTATTATATCTTCTTGCTAGCCACACAATTCTGCAGCCAAAGATGGAGAAGCTCTATACAGTCAGCAAAAACAAGACCTGCAGCTGACTGTGGCTATAGCAGGGGAGAGAAGGCAAGCAAAATGCGAGGGAGGTAGTGAAAGATACAGGAAATTGACTGCAGATTTCCAAAAAATAGCAAGGAGAGACAAGAGGGCCTTCTTAAACGAGCAATGCAAAGAAATAGAGGAAAACAATAGAATGGGAAAAACCAGAGATCTGTTCAAGAAAATTGGAGATATGAAAGGAACATTTCATGCAAAAATTACCATAATAAAGGATAAAAGTGGTAAGGACCTAACAGAAGCAGAAGACATCAAGAAGAGGTGACAAGAATACACAGAGGAATTATACCAGAAAGATATGGATGTCTCGTATACCCCAGGCAGTGTGGTTGCTGACCTTGAGCCAAACATCCTGGAGAGTGAAGTCAAATGGGCCTTAGAAAGCACTGCTACTAACAAGGCCAGTGGAAGTGATGATATTTCAGCTGAACTATTTAAAATTTTAAAAGATGATGCTGTTAAGGTGCTACACTCAATATACCAGCAAGTTTGGAAAACTCAGCAGTGGCCAGAGGATTGGAGAAGATCAGTCTACATCCCAATCCCAAAGAAGGGCAGCGCCAAAGAATGCTCCAACTACTGCACAATTGCACTCATTTCACATGCTAGCAAGGCTATGCTTAAAATTCTACAAGGCAGGCTTAAGCAGTATGGGGACCGAGAACTCCCAGAAGTACAAGCTGGATTTCGAAGGGGCAGAGGAACCAGAGAACAAATTGCAAACGTGCGCTGGATTATGGACAAAGCTAGAGAGTTCCAGAAAAACATCTACTTCTCCTTCATTGACTACACAAAAGCCTTTGACTGTGTCGACCACAGCAAACTATGGCAAGTTCTTAAAGAAATGGTAGTGCCTGATCACCTCATCTGTCCCCTGAGAAATCTCTATGTGGGACAAGAAGCTACAGTTAGAACTGGATATGGAACAACTGTTTGGTTCAAACTTGGGAAAGGAGTACGACAAGGCTGTATATTGTCTCCCTGCTTATTTAACTTATATGCAGAATTTATCATGCGAAAGGCTGGGCTGGATGAATCCCAAGCTGGAATTAAGATCGCCGGAAGAAATATCAACAACCTCAGATAAGCAGATGACCACAACCTTGATGGCAGAAAGTGAGGAGGAATTAAATAACCTTTTAATGAGGATGAAAGAGGAGAGTGCAAAATATGGTCTGAAGCTCAACATCAAAAAAACTAAGATCATGGCCACTGGTCCCATCACCTCCTGGCAAACAGAAGAGGAAGAAAGGGGGCAGTGAGAGATTTTACTTTCTTGGGCTCCATGATCACTGCAGATGGTGACAGCAGTCACAAATTAAAAGACTCCTGCTTCTTGGGAGAAAAGCGATGACAAGCCTAGATAGCATCTTAAAAAGCAGAGACATCACCTTGCCAACAAAGGTCTGTATAGTTAAAGCCATGGTTTTCCCAGTAGTGATGTATGGAAGTGAGAGCTGGACCATAAAGAAGGCTGATCGCTGAAGAATTGATACTTTTGAATTATGGTGCTGGAGGAGACTCTTGAGAGTCCCATGGACTGCAAGAAGATCAAACCTATCCATTCTGAAGGAAATCAGCCCTGAATGCTCACTGGAAGGACTGATCCTGAAGCTGAGGCTCCAATACTTTGGCCACTTCATGAGAAGAGAAGACTCTCTGGAAAAGACCCTGATGTTGGGAAAGGAGAAGGGGACGACAGAGGACAAGATGGTTGGACAGTGCTCTTGAAGCTACCAGCATGAGTTTGACCAAACTGCAGGAGGCAGTGGAAGACAGGAGTGCCTGGCGTGCTCTGGTCCATGGGGTCACGAAGAGTCGGACACAACTAAACAACTAAACAACAGCTACACAATTAAAAAATGGAACCTCCATTCAAACCATGTTCACATCCCAAGTGATCACTACCTTGCCTCCTCTTCATACACCAGAGCCTCAAATAAAACACAATTGCTGCATATAGGGCAGGAAGATGCCATTCGAGCCTCCTGCAGAAGCTACTTCTTTTGAGCTTTGGATACTTGCACTTCACTCTCACTTTCTTGCCCAGCCGATCGTTGCAAACCACTTCAATCATCCCGATCTGGTACCAGAACAACCCCAAGAAACTGCTGAGCAAGGAGACCTTTGGCCTCCTGCTTTCTGAGGCTCTGTTGGGAAGAAAAGACAGGATGATTCATTTGTTTAAAAGTGTATGTCTTATGCCACTTGGTCCTAAAACAGGTGGGGTATACAGTTTTTAAAAGCAGAATCGAAAGAAAATGGGGGGATGCTTTCTCAACTGACAGGGAATACTGATGATTAAAGAAAATTAAGATAGAGAAGTGTTACCAGTACAACTTCTCCCGCCAGAACGTTAACATCATGGGAAATGTTGTCTTTATTCACAACTCTCAAAGGCACATAACTAGGATAAAACACAGGAATCCACTTCTAGTTGTCCCCCAGTATTTTACAGTTACACGATAACCACTCTTTCAACAATCCAACTGCAAAGGGATGGATTCACATTCTGTATATTTATCCTCAGATGGATTCCAAACAATTATTATTATTACTATTATTTATTAAATTTGCATACCGCCCTTCATCTGAAGATCTCAGGGTGGTTCACAGCAAAAAAAATGCAGAATAAAACCACAGAGAACATAATAAAAACAAGCACACTAACGAAGCGAACCAATAACCCCACCAGGCACAAGCACATTTAAAGCCACATAGCAAAGAGCTCGAAATGAACCGCACCGGAAGCATGCAAAATAAAGGCTCGTTTTTCAGGACATTGGCATTTGCACGCATGTCCGCCGGAGAAAGGAGGCCTCTGCCCCTCGACGCAGAGCAGCGCAGCGCAGCGCCTGGGCGGCCGCGCGGGTTGCCCTCCAGCCCCCGCCTGCCCCAGCCAGCAGGGCCAGAGGCCTGGGGCGAGGGCGACGGGAGGCCCGCCCCGTCTCCGGCCCCGGAGGATCCCCGCTTGCCGCCCCGGACCTACCTGAATTCAGCGGACTCTTGACAGCCGGAGACCAGGCGGAAACGGAAGCAACGCCCCGGAAGAGGAATCACGAGAGCTACTTCCGGGGGACTCCCCACCCCAGAGGAAGCGGAAGCGAGGCCGGAGCAGCCCGCGGAAGGAACCAACGGCGGCGGAATGGAGCGGCCAGGCCTCTGCGCCCTCCCGGACTCGCTCCTACTCCGGATTCTGGAGTGCCTGCCGCCGCGCGAGCGGCTGGGCGGGGCCCGGTGGGTGTTTCCTTCCCTTCTCCCGACTTCATGGTTTCCTCCCCCCCCCACTTCCACAGAGTGGTTCGGTCCATCCTGCGGCTGCCGCTCTCCCTCCCTCCTCTCGAGCCGCTTCCTGGCCAGGGCGGGGCTGCAATGCCCAGGCTCGCCTGCAGGGGCGTTGTGGTTGGACCGCTGGAGCTAGGAAGGGGCGGGGCCGCGAGGGCCATCTAGTCCAACGCCCTGCAAGGCAGGAATCGAACCCACGACCCGCAGATTAAGTCTCGTGCTCTGCCCGGTGAGCTGTTCACATTATGCCATCATTATCGAATGTGAAATTATCGGAGGCGGTTATTCATGTGTTTATTCCCCCCCCCCATTCCCATTTTACTTTAAAAGTTTATATACTTCATATTTTGCAAAAGAAACTCAAAATGGCTAACGGTTCCAAAAAACACACAACGTTAAGATCAATCCCATTTCTAGCCCCAGCCATACCCAAAATATCAGTGAAAAAAATCTCTATAAACTAAATTACTCTATTAACTTCAGTTTAATACACACTTTTTACCTTCTGCCTGCTCAGCTCCAAGCCTCCTCCTCAACCTGCTTCAGCCTTTCTCCCTTATCACACAGCTGTTCTCCTCTCAAGGCCACGTCAGAGCAAAGAGGAGTCCAAGCAGCAGTCATCTTCTGTACAGATTCCAGGAAAGTTAATTCCAGGCAATGTAATTATTCAAGCAGTATGGTTGCCCTCCTGCTTGGTTCTGTGCCATTTGGCTAGGCTTGCCATATGTCCGGAATTTCCTGGATATAGCTGGCAATCAGAAACAGCTGGAAACAGCATCCAGGTGGAAATCGTTGAAACATCTGGGACAATGTGTGTGTATGGCAACCCATGTCAGCAGTGTTGTTTTTGGTGATTTCCCTTAAAATTAGTTCAAAAACTTACAGTTTGTTCAATTGTTTGAGATTTGGGCAAAACCTAAAAAGCCCAACAACTTTTCTGTCCCAATTTTCACTTTTTGAAATATGGCAACTCTAGGTATGGCAGGATGCCAGATGATCAAACTGGCTGTTTCATCTCAGGCCCATGACAATGACTCAGCTATTCTCATCTTTCTGCAGAGTTTGCAGACGATGGCGTCGCTTGGTGCGGGACAAATTGCTGTGGAGATACTTGGACCTAACTCCTTACAAGGTAAAAATGCCTGCCCGCCGTCTTAAACTAGTTGCTGGGTAGTTGTGGCAACAGGCCTGGGTAGGTAGGCGCATAGGGAGCTGCCCTACACCAAGTCAGAGAAGAGGCCCACCTAGCCAAGTACTATGTACAGTCATACCTCATGTTATCTCCGCTTCATGTTATGTTCTTTCTGGATACGTCCCACGGCGACCCAGAAGTACCAGAAAGGGTTACTTCCGGGTTTCGCCGCTCGCGCATGCACAGACGCGCAAAATGATGTCACGTGCATGCGCAGAAGCGGTGAATCTCAACCCGCGCGTGCGCAGACGCGGGTTGCGTTCTTTTCATGTTGCAAACGGGCGTCCAGAACGGATCCTGTTTGCAACCAGAGGTACCACTGTACAATGATTGGCTGCAGCTTTCCAGGGTTTCCACCTGGAGATGCCAGGAATGGAAACTGGGACCTTCTGCAGGCAAAGCAAGTGTTCTGCCACTGACCTCTGGCCCTTCCCCCATGTGAGGAGCAGGCTATGCCAGATCAGAGTCAGTGCGAAAACGCTAGAGGATGACTTTAGCCAGATATCCAGTATCCTGGAGCAAAATGATCCAGCGGACAGCAGGCATGAGACTTTCTGGCAACCTGTATAAATTATGCAAATTAAAGTAATGTACTTAATGTACAAAATTCTGTAAATTTAATACACTATTTTGTACAATTTATTTTAGGTTTATTAGTCAGGGGAGGATGAGGGCAGGCTCTGTCCTTAGTCACTGGAATCTTAGGCTATAATCCTAAAATTTCTAAGAAGTCAGCCTCATTGAGCATAGTGAGATTTGCTTCTGAGGTCCCACCCCCTTCTCCCTGCATGCATCTAAATTAAAATGAAACATTTCCATCCCTTTCCTGAGTTCCCAAACAGCAAATGAAACAACATTTTGGAAACTTCAACATTTTGCCAGTACATTTGACATCCACACTATAAAGCACATGGCTTCCTCCTAAAGAACCATGGAAACTGTAGTTTACCCTGCACAGAACCATAATTCCAAACACCGTTAACAAACTCTAGTTCCTGGGATTTCGGGGGTACGGGAAACTTTAAATATGCAGTGTGGATGTGACATTAGGAAATTGGCTGCAAACTGTGCATGTTCCGCCATCTGTTGCCCTTTATGTTCCCCCAAGGTGCAAGTCCCACAGAGTTGCATGGGCCTGTCTCCAGCCTTGCAGCCTTGCGTTAGTTGGTCTGGCAGTGATTTGGCAGTTGTAGTGCTCTCTTCCTCGTGTGCCCATGTGGCTTTTGATGTGCATGCAAACTTCACTTCCCCGTACTTAGATGTCCTCCAAGGCCCTATGGCACTTGCTGCGGAACAATCTTCGAGGCAGCCTGCGGACGCTGAAGGCACGGGGATCCCTCCACTCCATTCGCAAGCAAGAAGTTTTTACCCCAGCACTAATGCAGGCCTTGGGCAGGCAATGCCCCAATCTCCACCGCCTGTGCCTGACAGAGACAGACCTTCGCTCACTCTCCTATGATTGCATCCCTTCCTCTGTCACGACCCTGGAACTGAGCTCCTGTGAGATCCCTTCTCTGTGGTTCAAAGTGTCTGAAGCCTCGAAGACCTGCCCTGCCTTTCCACAGATTCAGCACCTTGTAATCCAGAATGTCCCTGCCTTCTCCAGCCAGCACCTGCTGAACATCTCCATCCAGGGCAATCTCAAGACTCTGGTCCTGTCCGAGGCATACCGGATAACTGTTGAAGGTTTCCAGGCAGCAGCACCACACCTGGGAGGCCTAGAGCACCTCACCCTGCGCCGCTGTAGCATTGGCAATTTACTCACACATGTCATTGCGTTCCACATGAGGCACCTGCAAAGTTTGGACCTCGGGGACAATCCTTCTCTGGAAAACAGAGGTCTTCCTTGTTTAAGCAGCTTGCTAGACTTGGAGGACCTCTGCCTGGAGTCCTGCTGCAAGCTTTCCTCAGAAGCCATTGTGGCCGTTTGCCAGAAATTGCCCCGGCTCAGACATCTTGATATAAGGGGGTTAGAGTTCCAAGACCAGGTCATCCACAAAATCCAGGCGGATTTGCCAGGCTGTGTTGTGACAAGTGCTGTCTCCCTTGGAGATTCCAGTGTGGTGTCTACACCGTGAGCTTGTGCGCATTGTGGAGAAGCTCTGGGGAGCAAGAGGCAATGAGACCATCACATGCATAGTCTTGATCTCATTTAAGTTGATGGCAACCCAGAGAGAAATGGCAAGGAGCTGCACACTCATTGACAACATGACTTTCAAAGTGTGGCTGCATGTGCTCTGGAACATCGTCACAGCAGAAAAGCTGAGGGTTGTATCCAGTGCTAATTCTACTCAGAGTAGATCCAACTGGCAAGATGATTGCACCTCTGAAAGGAAACATGCCTAAACTTCAAGAGTGTTAGCATATCAGTTTATTTACCTAAAAAATTAAACATCTGTTGCACAGCATACTGAACTGAAGTCCATTGGCTTTACAGTTGATCATCCTTTTCAATGTAAGTCCCACTCAGAGCAAAGCGTAGCAGACTTGAGTCCATTCATTGCAGTGGGCCTGCTTTTAGTAAAATGTAGTCTAACTTGCTATCTGCCTTATACATCAAGAAAGTTCACAAGAAAGATCTCATGTTGTTTTAAGGAAAAGCCAGTGGTAATCCACTCAGAAGATGCCCTCACTTCCTGGTTAGGCCAGGAATCTGGTATTCATCAACTGGAAGGCATAATAGACATCATGATAAATGGTGGTTTGCCGTTATGGGAATAAGCCTCTCATGGATTCCTCTCCTATGGTGTGAATGAGGTGACTGAAAGCATTTGTTTCCATTTTTTATTAACTGCAGTTTAGGGTTATATCCACACCTCTGGTTAATCTTAACTATGCTTTGTTGAAACAAGCCAGCTTCACAACACAACAAGCTGTGTTTTATGAAAGATGGTAACAGAAGCTTCTAAATGTCTGGATGGAATAGATAGAGGAAGCATTCAAGCCTGAAAGAGGTTCTTAAAAAAAAACATTTTTATGCACAAGGAAAAAAATTAGGGAAATTAGCAGAGGAGCAAGGAAGTGCTGTATCCAAGCACCCCCCTATTAGCTCAACTTCGAATAATTCCTCCAGACTATGCTCTTGTGTAACATGCATTTTAACCTAAATTCCATGCCATAGATAAGATTCTACACTTCTGGAAAATCCTGTGTGCACACATACTGTATCATCCAGGAAACAGCTTCCTTAACTGTTCCCTGGGTTAGAAAGCATTATAATATTGGCAAGTAGCCTAAACCAACAGTAGCTATTGATTTAGACTGCTGTTGCTGTCTGCTAACTGCTGGAATGCCAAAAGAGAGATTTAGGGTCCTTCTTATTACTCATGTACAAAATAAAGGAAATAAAGGCAAGAAAAGCATCTTCTCCCCCAAGCTATTGAACATCAACCTCAGTTTGTTGGGAGAGGTGCAGGTGGTTCCCCCACAAAGAGCCTCAAGCTGAGGGGGTGCAAAATAATAATCATAATAATACCTACTGAGAAGATCCATAAAAAATAAGAAATATTTAGGGGGTGCCAAATTTTGTCCTCAGGGTGCCACATTACGCAGTTTGTGTTTACTTTTGAGGCACAGTGGAGACTGTGTTGTACAGTGGTACCTCGGATTACAGACGCTTCAGGTTATAGACTCCGCTAACCCAGAAATAGTACCTCGGGTTAAGAACTTTGCTTCAGGATGAGAACAGAACTCGTGCTCCAGCGGCGCGGCAGCGGGAGGCCCCATTAGCTAAAGTGGTACCTCAGGTTAAGAACAGTTTCAGGTTAAGAATGGACCTCCAGAACGATTTAAGTTCTTAAGCAGAGGTACCACTGTATTTATGATATATGGTTTATTTACACATATATACAACCTGAGCCTATGCTGGAGGGGTTCACAGCACCCCAAAAGTGCCTTGCTTCCCCCACAGCCACAGCCTTAGATTCAGACAGAAATCACTCATTGCTTTCTGCGTTGCTCTGATTCCAGCTCACTGCTTTGCTTCTAGGTCACATCACTGCTCCAAACTCTGACTTCATCTGTTGAGAGGGGCCCCCGCCCATTTGCTATCTTGCCCATTTACCCCTGAATCCCCCTTAATGGCTCATCACCCAGGCTGTCAACTCCCCAGAAAACTAGCCTGGCTGTTCCAAGAATGGAAGTCTTGATTAAATTCTAGCACTTGCCAGATCCAGGGATTGGCATCCAGGTCTGGCATCCTGCTGAACACCCCAAAATCATTAGAGTATCTTTTCATGACTACGCCAGTTATAGTTTTATTCCCAGACACAGTTCAAAGTACTGCTTTTAACATTCAAGTCTTCACAGCTTGAGCCCAGGAAAATGATAGGATTGTGTTCTCCCATATCAACCCGTGCAGCGAGTAAAATCACCTTCAGACGTGCGCCTTAGGGTGATCCCATTTCCCGAAATTACATAGCTGAGAACAGGGAACAATGACCCAGCTTCTGCTAGTCTGGTACAATTGCAAAATTCTGCTACGGATTCATCAAAAGACGAGTTGCCCATGAACCTTGCTGGATTTGTGTGCAATGGGCATGCTTTCAAGGGGGAGGTATGTTCTGGAAAGAGGTGGTCTGAGGATAGGAGAACAGGGGCTTCTCCTAAATTAATCATTAACCATCTATGCAGAGCAACCCCAGTAAAATGACGAAAGTCCCTATTTTCAAAAGTGTTTCAAAACAACACCAAAGGCAAACAACACCTTTCCCTCACACAGCTTTTTGAGATGGATGAAGAAAAGTATGCAGATAACTTTCGAACTTCTAAAGGTAAAGATGATCTCCCTGTTCCCCTTGTTTGGCATTTGCCAAAGGTTTTGTAGCTTTTTCCTGAAGGATCGGCCAATCAGTGAGATCCATCAGCTCTTGGGAAGGATCCTCTCCAGGTGACTAAATCCGCTTGAAGTGCAGCAAGTCTGGGGATGGTGGTGGAGCCCACGATCTCTGGAACATTCTCCCAAGTTATGCTTGTTTGGAGCTTTGTTCAGCCCCAAGCAAAGATCTTTGAATTTAACCTGTTTTTAAAGTCACCTTTAACTTGGAATGCTGCTGAGTTTGCTGCTTTTTTCTGGTGCTTTTAATGTTTTTTGGATTTTGTATTTTGAACTGAATAGTACTATATTGATTTGCTATTTCTTTTTTCATTTGAAGTGTGGGTGGCAGTCAGTTGCCTTAAAACACTTAAGTGGACCCTTGCAGTTAGGCTTGCTAATTATTCCTTGCCCTAAAGAATACATTCATTTTGGCAGCCCCAGTGAGTGAGTGTGAAAATCCTCACCCCAGCCTGAAGAGCCAAGGAGCAGACGCTGAAACCACAAGACTTTGCAGATTTGCACGCCTGGGTGAAGTGGTCGTCTTAGGCCCGCTGCTTTGGCAGGCAGCCTCAATGAGCACAAAAGAACTTCATTCCGTCCCCACTCACTGAGCTGCGACTTCTGTGCCACACGCAGAACATTTTTTGCCCATCAAAATTAGTGACTAACCATTTGTGGTTAATGAAGCAAATCTTTTTGATGGCCTAAAAAGTTTGAATGCCACATTTCTAAATCATTAACCACAAATGGTTAGTCTCTCTATTTACCCTCTCAATAAAATAAATTAGAAGAGCCGACCTCGGTCCAAATGAGGCGGGGGGAGCATATCTCCAGATGCCAGAGCGAGGGGTGGATTAGTCTACTTCCAGGCTCTGTCAGTTCTGCATTCATAAGTCCCTTCTATCCAGCTTCCACTTTCATCTTTTCCATACAAAAAATTGGATGGGTGACCTTGGGCCAATCACTGCCTCTCAGATAAACAGGGTTGTGGCGATGGAACAAGGAGGAGGGGAACAATGTATGTCACCTTAAGCTGGTTGGAAGAAAAAGATGGGGTATAAATACAATGCGTGCATCAATCAAATAAGAATTGTATTTAGATACTTACTTTGTCACAGAATAGTATTTAAATACACATATCTCAATGTACACATTTCTAAACATATAAAGGTAAAGGGACCCCTGACCATTGGCTCCAGTCATGGCCAACTCTGGGGTTGTGGCGCTCATCTCGCTTTATTGGCCGAGGGAGCCGGTGTACAGCTTCCGGGTCATGTGGCCAGCATGACTAAGCCGCTTTGGGAAACCAGAGCAGCTCTCGGAAACACCATTTACCTTCCCGCCAGAGCGGTACCTATTTATCTACTTGCACTTTGACGTGCTTTCAAACTGCTAGGTCGGCAGGAGCAGGGACCGAGCAACGGGAGCTCACCCCGTCGTGGGGATTTGAACCGCCGACCTTCCAATCGGCAAGTCCTAGGCTCTGTGGTTTAACCCACTGCACCTCCCTTTTGCGCATATATATATATATACTGTATATATATTCTGTCAAGAACTGTTATCACAAAATTCAGTGTAGGGCAGATTTATGTTCTGATTAGGAATGGTGGAGAAATTATGTTCAGTTCACAAAAAAATTTGTGAGGACTTTTTTTAAAAATTGCACACTGATGCAGTGTGAAATGTGGAAAATTGAATTTAAGAATGGAAAAATGAGAAACCAAGAGAAACTGAGCTTAGTGGATTTATCCATCTCTGGTTTGGATCCAGGTATTTGTCCCTTAGGTGCAGATTAGGTTGGTTAGCTTTAACATGCAGACCTAACAAAATTCTCCTCCATCTCTGTATGCATGTAAAAGTGATTAGAAGCTCCTATGAAGGGAAAATGCACCAGCCATAATCCTTTCTTGAAGGCCAATACTTTTTACCTTACTTTTTACCAAAGAGAAGTCTGCATAGGGTCAAGTTCCCATCTTCTCATTTTCCTCTTATGAAGGGAGAAATCTTATTCAGAGGCCATTTTTCCTGATCTATGCACTGTTGGGTGTCTCCTACCTGCTGATTGTCATTGGCTTTGTGGTGGCCCTCTCCAAAGGTACGTTTTCTCCTTTACTGCCTACATCATGTCATCTGTAAATCATAGAACTGTTTTGGGTGGAGTTTATGGGCTCAGGTAGCAGCAGAGCCTGTAGCAAACACTCTTGTCACGGACTGGTTGGACATAGAGGAACGGTGGGAAGAACCAGCTGGGAAGCCACCATAGAAAGAAGGCTCAGAGCCCAGGAAGTGGCAGTGGGACAATGTGTGGTTGCAGGGAGAAGATGGGGAAGACTGGGTAGAGGAGGTGTCAGGAACCGAAGGGGCTATAGGGCTTAGTGAACTGGAGAGCCTGTGGCAGTGAGAAGATCAGAAACTGAAGCAGGTGAGTGAGAGGAGGGAAGTCAAAAGGTAGAGATGAGTCCAGCTGGGGAAGAGTCACAGGTATCTCCCCCTCCTGTTGTGACAAGCTCCCTTCCCTCCTGTCTCCCAGAAGCAAGAAAGGCATGAAAAGGGCAGATGAGGGGTTGGCTGCATGTGGGTGCAATCTCTGACTGCTTGAGAAAAGCCCTTGAGAGGAGGGAATTTTAGACGGCTGTGAGGGGGTAGGGTCTCAGCAACTGGTTTTCATGGAGTAAGACCACCAGGAATGAGCTCCTGTGCTCGTTGTTGTTTAGTTGTGTCCAACTCTTTGTGACCCCATGGACCAGAGCATGGCAGGCCCTCCTGTCTTCCACTGCCTCCCGCAGTTTGGTCAAACTCATGCTGGTAGCTTCAAGAACACCGTCCAACCATCTCGTCCTCTGCTGTCCCCTTCTCCTTGTGCCCTCCATCTTTCCCAACATCAGGGTCTTTTCCAGAGAGTCTGCTCTTCTCATGAGGTGGCCAAAGTATTGGAGCCTCAGCTTCAGGATCTGTCCTTCCAGTGAGCACGCAGGGCTGATTTCCTTCAGAATGGATAGGTTTGATCTTCTTGCAGTCCATGGGACTCTCCAGCACCATAATTCAAAAACATCAATTCTTCGACAATCAGCCTTCTTTATGGTCCAGCTCTCACTTCCATACATCACGACTGGGAAAACCGTGGCTTTAACTATACGGACCTTTGTTGGCAAGGTGATGTCTCTGCTTTTTAAGATGCTGTCTAGGTTTGTCATTGCTTTTCTCCCAACAAGCAGGCGTCTTTTGTTTTTGTGACTGCTTTCACCATCTGCAGTGATAATGGAGCCCAAGAAAGTAAAATCTCTCACTGCCTCCATTTCTTCCCCTTCTAGTTGCCTGGAGGTGATGGGCCCAGTGGCCACGATCTTCGTTTTTTTGATGTTGAGCTTCCGACCATATTTTGCGCTCTCCTCTTTCACCCTCATTAAAAGGTTCTTTAATTGCTCCTCACTTTCTGCCATCAAGGTTGTGGTCATCTGCATATCTGAGGTTGTTGATATTTCTTCCGGCAATCTTAATTCCTGCTTGGGATTCATCCAGCCCAGCCTTTCGCATGATAAATTCTGCATATGAGTTAAATAAGCAGGGAGACAATATACAGCCTTGTCGTACTCCTTTCCCAATTTTGAACCAAACAGTTGTTCCATATCCAGTTCTAACTGTAGCTTCTTGTCCCACATAGAGATTTCTCAGGGGACAAATGAGGTGATCAGGCACTCCCATTTCTTTAAGAACTTGCCATAGTTTTCTGTGGTCGACACAGTCAAAGGCTTTTGTGTAGTCAATGAAGGAGAAGTAGATGTTTTTCTGGAACTCTCTAGCTTTGTCCATAATCCAGCGCATGTTTGCAATTTGGTCTCTGGTTCCTCTGCCTCTTCTAAATCCAGCTTGCACTTCTGGGAGTTCTCGGTCCCCATACTGCTTAAGCCTGTCTTGCATTCAATTTCCTGTATCTTTCAATATCTTCATTGCATTTTGCTTGCCTTCTCTCCCCCGCTATTTGTAAGGCCTCGTTGGTCAGCCACTTTCCTTTCTTGCATTTCCTTTTCATTGGCATGGTTTTCGTTGCTGCCTCCTGTAGCCTCCATCCATAGTCCTTCAGGCACTCTGTCCACCAAATCTAAATCCTTAAACCTGTTCCTCACTTCCACTGTGTATTCATAAGAGATTTGATTTAGATTGTATCTTACCGGCCCAGTGGTTTTTCCTACTTGCTTCAGTTTAAGCTTGAATTTTGCTATAAGAAGCTGATGATCTGAGCCACAGTCAGCTCCAGGTCTTGTTTTTGCTGACTGTATAGAGCTTCTCCATCTTTGGCTGCAGAGAATATAATCAATCTGATTTCGATGCTGCCCATCTGGTGATGTCCATGTGTAGAGTCGTCTCTTGTGTTGTTGGGAAAGCGTGTTTGTGATGACCAGCTTGTTCTCTTGGCAGAACTCTATTAGCCTTTGCCTTGCTTCGTTTTGGACTCCAAGGCCAAACTTGCCTGTTGTTCCTTTTGACTCCCTACTTTAGCATTCCAATCCCCTATAATGAGAAGAACATCCTTCTTTGGTGTCATTTCTAGAAGGTGTTGTAAGTCTTCATAGAATTGGTCAATTTTAGTTTCTTCAGCACCAGTGGTTGGTGCATAAACTTGGATTACTGTAATGTTAAAAGGTCTGCCTTAGATTCGTATCGAGATCTTTCTATCATTTTTGAGATTGCATCCCAGTACAGCTTTTGCCACTCTTTTGTTGACTATGAGGGCCACTCCATTTCTTTTACGGGATTCTTGCCCACAGTAGTAGATATGATGGTCATCCGAACTGAATTCGCCCATTCCCGTCCATTTTAGTTCACTGATGCCCAGGATGTCAATATTTATTCTTGCCATCTCATTTTTGACCACATCCAACTTACCAAGGTTCATGGTTCTTACATTCCAGGTTCCTATGCAATATTCTTCTTTACAGCCTTGGACTTTCCTTTCGCTTCCAGGCATATCTGCAACTGAGCGACCTTTCAGCTTTGGCCCAGCCACTTCATCAGCTCTGAATCTACTTGTACTTGTCCTCCACCCTTCCTCAGTAGCATGTTGGACGCCTTCCGACCTGAGGGGCTCATCTTCCAGCGTCATAACTTTTATATGTCTGTTGCCTTTGTCCATGGAGTTTTCTTGGCAGGGATACTGGAGTGGCTTGCCGGTTCCTGCTCCAGGGGGATCACGTTTGGTCAAAACTCTCCACTATGACCTGTCCATCTTGGGTGGCCCTGCACGGCATAGCTCATAGCTTCTCCGAGTTATTCAAGCCCCTTCGCCACGGCAAGGCAGTGATCCATGAAGGGGCCTGTGCTCATTAGGCCTGACATTTAGCTAAGTCTGTGGAGATTGTGGTTTTGCTAATAAAGACTTAACTCCAACTTTGAACTGTGTGATACTGACTGGCAGGCTCCTGTGACAACTCTCCCTACCCTCCTTTGGCTGGCAGAGGCTGTGCTTTGGTTCTGAGGCAGGGAAGAGCTGTACAGAATCTGGGGCATAAAAGCTGACCCAGCCAAACTGCTACAGTGAGGATGCCTTGGGAAAGCTCTGCAGCTCAATGTCAGAGCATCTCCTTGGTGCCCAGAAAGTCCCAGGTTCAGTCCCCAGCACCTCCAGATATGGCTGAGAATGTCCGTGGTCAGAAACCTTGGAGAGCTGCTGCAAGCCAGTGCAGCCCACACTCAGCAAGGTGGTCCATTATAAGGCAGATTCCTATGTTCCCAACCCTGAGAGTGCAGGAGAAGATGCCGCGATCAAGGAAACATACAGCACAGCCTTGCGTGCTCCGGTAGAGGTAAAAAAGATGGCACTTGAGTGTTTATGTGTGGGCTACAGGTTCAAACATACACACTCACTGAAAATGATACTGATGATTTTAACTTTTTTAATATATCAGTACATCCCCAAATTCTGACAGCCAGTCCAGCATTTTGGGTGGACTCCAATTGGTCCCCTTGCACTTCCCAAAGGCGCTTTTTTCCAGCACAGCCTTCCTCAGCCTGGTGCCCTCCAGACAGCACTGGCCCACCCATGAGGCAGGGTGAAAGAGCCACCTCAGGCGGCAGAAGCCAAACAAGCAGCATCCCCATGGACACCTCAGCCAGCAGAGCAGTCTTGCAAGATCTCTCTGGCGCTTCTGCTGGTGCCTCTGCTCTGCTGGGGTGGGTGGGCAGCGCACCCGTGGGGAGACCACCTCTCTGGCTTCCCAGGTGAGGGTGGAGGAGTGGCACAGGGTGGGGTGGCAGGGATGTGCTGCCCCTGCCTGCAGGATTTCCTGTAGGGCACAACCAGCATGGTCAGAGATGGCAGGAGGTGACTTATCCATACCATAAATTTCAAGCACATTTCTTTCCCCCAAAGAATCCTGGGAACTGTTGTTTGTTAATGGGGCTGGGAATTGTAGCTCTGTGAGAGGTGAGCTGCAGTTTCCAGGATTCTCTGCAGGAAGCCGCATGATTTGATTTCACATTCTGTGGATGCCTCTCCACTCATGCCAGAAGAGGAGAAACGGTGTCCCTGGAGCCCCACTCTGCCCTACAATGCCTTCCTCGCAATGGGCTCCAGATTTGGGGCCCCTTCAGAATTAGGAGGGAGGTGGTGTGATGGGGGAGGGGGAAAGTCCTCTTCCCTCCTCTTCGGCCACCAGAGGTGGACCCAAAGCCATTCTGTGAGCACAAGGTTGATTCTGCCCTTTGCCTGTTATACAAAAAAAGCTGCCAAAAGGTTCAAAGGTTAAAAAAAAACACCCGTAACAAGGATGACCTTTTCATGGTGGCTTGGCATTCCTACTCTTATGTAATTGGAAATGGGTAGCAGGATGAAGGAAGATTCTGACATATATTTTTCTCCCCCTCTTTATCACGCCAGTTGCATTAGCATCCTCAGAAATCAGCAAGCTCCACACAGCCCTTGTGAAGGATCCCTACGGACATGATTTTCACTGTAAGTTTCTGTTGCTACAAAGACCTCAGTCTCCAAGCGTTGAGAGACTTCAGGGGTGTCGGCGTTCACCTCAGGTTCAGTTTCCCTGAAATGAAGGTCACAGGAGAGAGTGGTGTGTTTTTGATATAGGGTTCTATTTACACATATATACATCCCGAGCATAAGATGGAAAGACTCACAGCATTAACAGATTTGCTCCCCCATTAAGCTTCCAGACCTTCCCCCACCTCTGGGTCAAGGGAGCTGACCAAGAGAACAGCTCCATCACAGATCAGAGGACAACAGGGAAACACCAGTCTCTCTGTTAAAGCTCTTCCCTTCCTCTGAGGTGTGCCCAGTTGTCCACCACCAGGATCTAGGATCCAAATCCTCTTCTGGGATTTCCAGGGGAGATCTTGGTCAGGTGATTCCACCACTCCTCCTCATCCAGCCAGTCCCTGACATCTCACCACACACAAAGCAATAGCTTTGGTTCAGCACAGAGAGCAAGATGAGACCAGCCTCTGGCCAACTGTTCTCCTACCCCCTAGGGATGACGTGGCTCCAGCCGGGTAAGGGAGGAAGGCCTCTCTTTGGTTAGCTAGTGTTCTTGACCCTTAACAAGCTTGGCCATTAACAAAGAAAATGGTTTCTTCTGCTACAGAATCTCATCTTACAGATGGAAAACCACAGGCTTGGAGGGGACCCCAAAACACCATCCAAACCAACCCCAAGCTTATAAGAGTATATTCCCCTTTGCAGGGAGGGGCTGCCTTCCCAGCCTCCACCCAAATTTTGCTTCAAGTCCTTTTAGGTGATCCCACAAGAAGCTCAAAGTAAGAGAATTGTTTCTAAAAACTACCTGTTTCTGCTTTTTATAAATGAACTGATTTCAGCCTCTCCTTGTGACGTGATCATAATCGTCAAGACAGTACTTCTGACCTATGCATCCTGTAACTTATTTACTTAATGACTTAAAATTAAAAAGTTTTCTTTTTTGAGATTAGTGTTACGTGTCCATACCTGGAGTCACATTAGTCATGTAAATACATTGCAGAATAAACTGTGCAAATTAAAATTTATGGATGGGAAGCCATGTGGAGAGGTGTCTGCAGTGTTGGACTTGAACCTGAGAAACCAGGCACGAAGCACTGAGCCCTGCAATGCCTCTCAGCCCAACCTACCTCACAGGTCTGTTGTGAGGATAAAACAGGGGAGCGGGGAACCACCTATGCTACCTTGAGATCCTTGGAAGAAAGGTGGAATAAAAATGTAATAATAAATAAGTCAGTTTAAAAAGGATAGATGTATTTCATTTAGGCTGCCTATGCACCACCATCAATCTAGAGCACATTGAACACAGCACATTCAAAGTACATGGCTTGCCCCCTCCCCAAGAATTACGGTTACAGTTCAACACTACATCTGCAGCATTGAACACACAACGCTGGGTCACTAGAGCAGTCCCTTCACCCAGCCGTTGTTCTCTGGTACTTTTTAGACCCTGCTAAATTGACAAGCTAGGCTAGTGCCAAGTTCTCTCTCTCTCTCTCTCTCGTCTTTTTCCTTTGCTCAGTGTTTCCGTGTGGTGCCGACACCAGACAATGGGAATATTTCAGTGGGAAATGCTACTACTTCTCCCTGAAGGCCGTGTCCTGGCACATGGCCAAAGCGCAGTGTGAACAGCAGCACTCTCAGCTGGTCATCATTAACAATTTGGCCAAACAGGTAACAAGATGTGAAACAAATTTTCCTTGATCACTCACTCACTTGCCTAAGGCAGGCAAAGTGCTCTTGCCCATTGACTGCAGCGGAGCAACTCTTCTCCTTCTCTGTAAAGTAGGCAGCCCAGAATCTTCATCTTCATGCAAACACAGAAGCAATGGTTGTAAGAAGAGAACTGGCCCCATCGACACAGGCACTTCTGCCTACACAATGGAATTCCTGTCCCTGTGCCCCCCACCCCCCCAAGTCTGCTCTGGACGTTGGAGAACCCCAGGGAAAAAATGGGAGGGAGGGTGAGGAAAAGGAGAGGAAGATGGAAGTCCTTGCGCTAATGGGATGCCTTTGTTTGACACAGCCCCATATTTCTGTATTTTGGATTTGCCTCTTGCAGAATTTCATACAGACACGGACCAGGAATGAGCGCTATTGGATTGGACTCCATGACCAACACACAGAAGGCGAGTGGAAATGGCTGGACGGCAGCAATTACAGAACAGGCTTCAAGTAAGCACTGGGCAACTCTCTGGGGTCATTGTGGGACTAGGCCAAAGGCCCACCTAGTCCTGCACTCCCCACTCCCGAGGCCACGGCCCCCTCACGGCTGCTTCTCAGTGACTGGAGGTCACAAGGGGTGACAGTGTCACTGCCAGTTTTTCGTATGGGAAGCAACTTGGTCACACCAGTCCTGTGTTTGGAAGGCTGCAACCCTATGGAACAATAATATAATAACCCTATAATAATACTATGAAAAAATAATAATATATTATAGGCTGCAATGCTATGCCCACTTGACCTATGAATAAGCCGCAACAGACACAGTGTGAAGCTCATCTCTGAGTAGACGTGTACAGGGAATAAATATTTTTAGTTGTAAAAGTAAATAGGCTTTCAATTTTAATTTAGGGAGGAAAATATTAATCTTTTAGAGGTTTGGGAAACAGTGGCCTGTCACCCTAGTGGGTGAACATAAATAGGTTTAGTGAATTGTTGGTGATGATGATTATGCTGATGATGCTCAGAGAGAGACAGAGACATCTTGCTTCCATCACAGGAACTGGAAGCAAGGAGAACCCAACAATTATCAAAATCAGGATGAGGACTGTGGCCAACTTTGGATCAATGGGGAATGGAATGACTACACCTGCAGTTCTGAATCCTTCTATGTCTGTGAGAAAGCCTTACCAGTGAAGCCGACATCTGCATCCAAGAGGACCTGAACACCTGCCTTAATCTTCATGCCTAATATGAGCCACTTCAAACCCTAACCTGGTGACAGCTCCAAAAAAAAGCAATGTCAGGAAAACATTATTATCATTATTATTTCTAAAATATCAAACAAACTTTCAAGATTTCATTTTAAAACCCAATTATTTGAGGAAAATGGCAGATTTACTGCTGACATAGAAATTCTTAAGCAATTGTTTCTTCCAAACTGTGGGAAATAATTCTGTCCTTCCTTACAGAGTTCCTGAGATGGTGTAAGAAAAGCACTTTCAACGCTATAAAGTATTATATAAATGCAGCTGCTACATGTGTTGTTTTGTTATTTTAGTGACTGACCCTTTTGAAAACACCCACATGAAATTTCCCATAAAAGATACCGCCCAATATTGATACGTATTTGCACAGCAGGCATGTGTCGTGAGCCTAGTGAAATCAGAGACACAGGGAGCTTCTTTCAGTTCTTTTATTTAAATCAACAGAAATACACAGAGAGGCCATGAATTATGCTCCCCCAATCTTGAGACTTTGCTCAGAATGCCTGCTCCACCCCCCTTGCGGTACTTCCTAGCTTCCCAACCCCTCCTGCTGCCTACGGTGCCCAGCAAAGGAATCTCTCTTTGGCTTTCCGCTCTAAGATACGCAGGGAACGCCTGGTTCAAGGAGGAGGAGGAGGGTCTACTAGGCTTTCAAGTGACATTGTGTCCACTGCCTGCTGTGCTGTTTCTCCCACTTCGGACTCCTGTCTCTGTGTAGGACTGGAGCATCTGCTAGCTTGCTCCTGTTCCTCCATTATTTCCCAGCGTGCCACCACCACGCATCTGGGTCCATGCTAATTGCACCTGCCTCCTGCCCAGAAGCCTCCTGGGGTGGTGGTTGGTCTCCACCCCTCCTCCTCATCTGACCAGTCCCTGACCATATGGTACCAACCTTTAGGGTAGGATAGAAGTGTTGTCTTGATGCTTCTCCCTTAACCACTAGGATTTAGCTCAGCCTGTCTCTGGACTCTGGAACTTCATTAGATGCTGCCCATTAGTGCTTGGCCTTCTCACACCTAAGCCTTTAAAAAAAAAACACAACTAACAGTCTTGAACTCTGTATATGGCTTAGCCCTAGCCTTGAGCTCTAGGCCTGCTGTACCACCAGCTGGGCAACTGGTCTTCCATGTTCCTGACACTAAGCCTTGGGGTTGGTGGCCAGGAACCTGCAGAACCTGAGGCTGATGGTCAGGAGCTCTCTGAGCCTGAGGCAGGACTTTCAAAGGATGCCTGGCCCTTGAGCCGATAGGTAGGAATACATATCATCCAGGAAACTATGTCTCTCAACAGAGGAGACATATGCTCATAGGACACTGGTTGGAAGGGAGAAATGCCACTGCTCTGCTGGCATAAGGCCAGAGGTCAGCAGTGGGAAATCTGTGGCCCTGCAGATCTTCTGGACTCCAACTGCCCTCTGCCCCATCAGCATGAGCAGAGAATCAAGGGGTGCAAATGCTCTGGAAGGCCTGTGGATGCCATCTTGCTAGTCAAGATAACTGGGGGGTTAATTGTTAGTTGTTGAAAGAATAAGTTCATGTTTGTTTATGCATTTGCTTTTGTATATGCTAATTGGCTGGCTTTGATACTATGTTCAGCTGTGGGCCTGGGACCACTGGCGCCAACTAAAGGGGGCCCTGAGGGCCTGAGCACCCACAAAAAAATGGTTTTGGGTGTTCAGCACCCACACCGTGCAGGGCCTCTGATGTGACTTCCGGTGCCTGAAGTCACGTGGAGGTGCTGTCCAAGGCCTCACAGGGCCTTGGATGTGACTTCCAGGGTCCCCAGGCACTGCTGCGGCGCATGGTGTAACAATCTGGGGTCCAAGTTGGCGCCCCTGCCTGGGGCACATAGCTAGTTGGGAAAAGGGAGTCTTTTCACGCTGACTTCCTGTCAGCTGCTTCCTTATCTGAGAGATGGATGAGAGTTGGGAAAGGGCCTCTAAGTCAGGGATGAGTTAACTGGGCTGTGGGTGCCAGTTTATGTCGCTTGCTTTGTGCATAAGTAATGTTTATCATATGAGCACCTCACAGACAAGTCATGACGACTGCTTGCTGCTTCGGCACCCGTTCCAAATCTATAGAGGCAGCAGGGCTATAGAGCAAGGCAGACCTGCTCACAACTCGTGTGCCTTGCAAGATCCCTGAGCATGAGTTGGGGAGGATGCAACTGTTCCCCCCCCCCCGTGGGAGTGCCATCGGGTGCTGGGTGACCAGGCTGTGCCCTCCCCTTCTGACTATCCCCATCCCCAAGGAGGAAAGAAGAGAGATGGGCATCCTGCTTCCCCAGCCTGGGGCATCCTGGGAAGGTAAAGTGCCACTGTTAAGTTGTGGGCAAACATATCAGACGACACAGCGATTCTTCCAAAGCAGCTCTTTATTTGTAAGCTGGAGCAGAACTGACTGAGGAGCTCAGTCAGCCTGCTTATATAGAGCTCCAGAACAATGTAACTGTTGCCATTTTCTAAAACTATCCAATCACTGAACGTCACTTTCGGTCCTTCATTTGCATACAAACTATCCAATCACTGAACGTCACTTTCGATCCTTCATTTGCATAACTATCTACAGTATCCCCCTGCTGGCCCAGGGTGAGAACTTCAGTACATAACAGCCATCTCCTCCAGTCTCTGGTCTCCAGTCTCAGCCTCCCCCCACCCCCTTATGTCATCCAGCTGCCATGCCACTCCTGAGCTTGGTGATGCCTCAAGACTCATAACATGTGGAGAGCACAAGAGTCAGAGGTGACTCATTTTGTCAAGTCACCAAAGAATAGAGCCAGGACAAAAATAAGCATGCAGAGCGTCCCCCTCCCTGCAATTTGGCCAGAGAGGCTTGCCCTGCTGGGTAGATCCCAGAAGGAGCCATTGGCCGTCATCTGTCCTCTCCCTCCTTGACTTCCACCTGCAACTGACTGCCTCACACACCGGTGCAGTCTGGGGGTGATCCTCCCCCGTCTCACTGGGCTTTTTCTGGCAATCCTTGTCACTCTGCTGCTGCGTATCCTGAGTTCCTCTGGCATACCAGGGCTTCGTAAGTATAGGATTGCACCTTTCATTTATTACGTGATTATTTTCAGGATTTATTACACCACCCCTTTCTATGAACTTTTCAGAGTGGACTTACTGACCCAAAAATGCAGTCAGTAGAAAGCTAAACATCTCTCTCTCTCTCTCTCTCTCTCTCACACACACACACACACACACACCCCTTGGCTTAAGAACAGTCCTGTTTAAGAACGATTTGGTTTATGAACTGCACAAAACCGGAAGTAGTGTCCCGGTTTTTTAACTTTACCTCGGTCTAAGAACGGAATCTGAACGGTGAAAGGGCACCGGCAGTGGGAGGCCTCATTAGGGAAACCGTGCCTCGGTTTAAAAACGGTTTCGGTTTAGGAATGGACTTCCAGAAGGGATTAAGTTCATAAACTGAGGTACGTGTGTGTGTGTGTGTGTGTGTGTGTGTGTGTGTGTAACAGTGATCTGTTCTCTGATTAGAAAGTGTAATAATATTTACACTTATTGCAGCCTAAACTAACAAGGACTATTGATTTCAACTGTGTTTGCCTCCTAACCTTGATTTCTGCCAATGGCCAGAAACCATTTTGCACAGGGGTTCTGTTCCTGACCCCTGCATGCATAAGCAGAGCATGATAAGACCACCCCGTCCCATTCCGCCCCCAGCTCCATTTGGGGGCCACTTCAGGGTCGCCAGAAGCAAGCATGTATGTGAAGTGCATCAAGTGGACACGTGTAAAATGGTCGCTTCCTGCACACCAGCTGAAAGGTGTGCAGAGGAGGGCGACCAAGATGATCAAGGATCTGGAAACCAGCCTTATGAGGAACGATTGAGGGAGTTGGGGATGTTTAGCCTGGAAAAGAGGAGACTGAGAACACATATGAGAGCCATCTTCAAGTATCTCAAGGGCTGTGACATGGAAGATGGATCATACTGGTTTTCTCCTGCTCTGGAGGGTAGAACTCGAACCCATGGCTTCAAGTGACAAGAAAGGAGATTCCAACTAAACATCACGAAGAACTTTCTGACAAAGCTGGAACAGTCCCCCACAGAGGGTGGTGGACTCTCCTTCCTTGGAGGTTTCTAATCAGAGCTTGGATGGCCATTTGCCATGGATGCTTGAGTTGAGTTTCCTGCATTGCAGGGGGTTGGACTAGATGACCCTTGGGATCCTTTCCAACTCTTTATTTATTTATTTATTTATTTATACATACTGTACATACATACATACATACACACACTGCCCATTCGGATCAAGGCTGATACTTCATGGAAGGAGACTATAGCACTGATTTCCACCCACAAAGATTTTGAACAGGCACTAAATTCATTACCATGTTGTCTAAGAACTCTCTGGACCACAGTTCAATGAAGGATGTTTCAGCTGCCGCTGCATTTTAAAAACTGGCAGGCAGGCTGAGGGCAGAGGGGCAGAGGTGTGGTCTCTGCCATCCCTGCAAGTTACAGATTAACTCTTCTCATGGAATAGCCAAGGTAAACTGTAAAGTCCTCATTTTGGAAAGTCAAGATCTGGAGGGGGGAAAGGACCTCTGCAAGATGGAGGAAGAAAAAATGCAAGATGACTTCCGGACATATAAAGGTAAATATTTTCTCCTCCTCCTTAGCACTGTTAACAGCAGCGCAACCTTAATTCTGTCGCAGTTAAGAAGATTGACTGTGGCAAGGAAGTCTCTGGCTCAGATCTCTATTTGACACTATTGTGCCTTGTCCAATAGTTCATTTATGTATTTATGTATTTGTTTGTTTGTTTGTTTGTTTGTTTGTTTGTTCTGTCTTGTGTTTTCCCCCCCTGTTTTCTGTGCTGCAATATATGTGCTTGTCTAATGCCACAAGGCAGATTTATTTTTCAGCCAACAGGCTTTCAAAGATGCTTATTAAGTCTATGTTGAAAATATGCAAGGCAGGGCGGGAGATGGGGTGTTAGACAAGATGGAGTTAACAGGCCAAGAAATAATTGCTTTCACTATTGTACTTTAGGGAGCTGAGCACTTCCTGGTTCCACATATATTACTGGAAATTGAGGTTTGCACAAATAATGTGAATTAAAGCACTCTAGTCAACTTACTGCAACAAATTCACTTTTTTTAAAAAAGATTTTTTTACGGTTAGGAAAGTGACAGGTGGAAATGCACTGAAAAATGTGCCGTGAGCAAATGGCTAATGGGAAGACCTGCAAGCAAATCCTTTGTCCCTCTTTTGTCACGGAACCTCCCTGCAAACAAAGGATGCCTGCTAAATAAAGACCTGTAGGCTTTGTAATAGCAAATCCGAATGAATGCTTAAGAAAAAGGCCATCCAGAGGTTCTTTTAATGTTCAGGCCAGGTTGCCGGGCACAGAAGCAGCTACGGAAATCAGAGGTGGAGGGGCGAAAGTGACTCCAGGGGCCCTTCCAAGACTGCTGCTTTATTGTGGGCATGTTTGTTTCTTAACCCCACCATAGTGCAAGATTTATTCTGCTTTATTAGTTCATAATAATAACCCCTCCCCCCACAAAACAACACAAGGCTGCAGCCGCACAGCAAGCAGCACAGCTGATACTTCAAGAAAGTTCCAAGACATCATGCAAGTGCAGTAAGATACTGTTGCACACCACCCCAGTCTCCAAGGGGTGCAAGATTCCAGGGATCCCAGGCACTTACCAGGGGCTTGTGTTTCCTTTTGGAAATGAGGCGCAGCGGAGACTCTGGTGTCTTTATGATATATTGTTTATTTACTCATATATACAACCTGAGCCTACGATGGAGGAGTTCACAGCAAGGGTCTTGTTTCTCCGGTAGCCACAACCTTGGATTCCAACAGAAATCAATCATTGCTCTGTCTCTCTCGCTCCCCATTTGCTGTTTTGCTTCTAGCTCACAACAGAGCAACTCTCAACTCTCAGTTCAGGCTTTGTCCTTCCAACTATCTCTGAGTTGAGTGAGGGGCCCCACCCATTTGCCATCTAGCACAGATTAGATTTAACACTTGCACCATCCAGGGATTACAGGGGCCTGGCACACTCATCACAACGCGCTCACAATGGGTGCATATCCTCAACTCAAAGCACTTGCTGGAAACTCTGTTGGAATAAAGATTCTTGCATGATTCCAGCAGTCATGGAACAATGGCTATATCTTTTTCTTCTTTTTCTTTTCTTTATTTAAAGAAAGAAGTTACCTTAATTTCACCCGGAGGCCGGTCTTCCACATCTGCATCCTGCTGATGGTCTCTATCCTGGGAGCTGCTGTTTTCTGCATCGTGGCTCTTTCCAAAGGTACTTTGACCATTTTCCTCTTTATCGTTCAAAACATTTCATCTATAAAGGACATTGTTTCTTGGCTTTGTCTCCATCAGAAACAAAGGGAGGTGTATGTGTTGGTTTATTATTCTTTAATAACTATGAATGAATTTATATATTTATTTTAAAGATTTCTATGCTGCCCCTCAATATAAATATTTCTAGCACAACTGGCACAACAATAATCAGCCCTGCTCATAATGGCATAGGGTGTGAATCAATCTGACTTAACTAGATAGAAAAATAACTATCAATACCCGCCTAAACAAAAATGAGCAAAATCACTAAATGAAGGGAAGTGAAAGCTGATTTGTGTTCAGTTGTAGTGCTGCCAACTTTTGGAAATCTGACCAAGAGTCCTTGCCTCAGGGTCTCCAGGGAAGGGTAAATGAAGTCTAAGGTAAAGGTAAGGTAAAGGTACCCCTGCCCGTACGGGCCAGTCGTGTCCAACTCTAGGGTTATGCGCCCATCTCACTTAAGAGGCCGGAGGCCAGCGCTGGCCAGAGTGACGAAGCTGCCCTGGCAAGCCAGCACCAGCGCAGCACACGGAACGCCGTTTACCTTCCCGCTATAAAGCGGCACCTATTTATCTACTTCCACTTGGGGGTGCTTTCGAACTGCTAGGTGGGCAGGAGCTGGGACCGAAAGACGGGCGCTCACCCCGCTGCGGAGATTCAAACCGCCGACCATGCGATCGGCAAGCCCTAGGCACTGAGGTTTTACTCACAGCGCCACCCGCGTCCCTGAAGTCTTTGTTGTTGTTGTTGTTTAGTCGTTTAGTCGTGTCCGACTCTTCATGACCCCATGGACCAGAGCACGCCAGGCACTTCTGTCCTCCACTGCCTCCCACAGTTTGATCAAACTCATGCTGGTAGCTTCAAGAACACCATCCAACCATCTCATTCTCCGTCGTCCCCTTCTCCTTGTGCCCTCCATCTTTCCCAACATCAGGGTCTTTTCCAGGGAGTCTTCTCTTCTCATGAGGTCTTCCAGCGTCATAACTTTTATATGCCTGTTGTCTTTGTCCATGGAGTTTTCTTGGCAGGGATACTGGAGTGGCTTGCCGGTTCCTCCTCCAGGTGGATCACGTTTGGTCAAAACTCTCCACTATGACCTGTTCATCTTGGGTGCCCTGCTCGGCATAGTTCGTAGCTTCTCTGAGTTATTCAAGCCCCTTCGCCACGGCAAGGCAGTGATCCATGAAGGGGCCCTGAAGTCTAGCAGGAGGCAAAAATCCACTGCCAACATTTACCACTCCATTCACAGGTGATGATTTGATGGGGGTCCTGTTTTGGCAATTGGGGGATTTTTAAGGGTTCATGGAGACAGACTTGCCACTCGTGGGGGTGAGGAAGCAGCAGTCTGCCATCATCTGTCACTTTTCTCCCCACAATGTCCCAGTACAACATCCTTATGAAGTGGGTAGCGTGTTGGCTGGCCCCCATCCACCAACTCAGGGTCCCCATAAGTTTCTGGACTACGTTTCCCATTACCCTAGTGGTGGTCTGAGGGCCTCTGCTTGAAGTTAGATTCTCCTGGTGAGAGAGCTGAATCCCACAGGCAGGTTCTTTCCTGCTTTCCCTGAGGGCTTTTACCCCCTGATGTAAGAGGGGCAGAGGTAGGGATGGAAAGCCAGCGAAGTTGCCCAGACCGAAAAAGGGGGCATATTGCATGCAGGTGGCACATTATTGAAGTTCTCTTACCTCCTGACAGTGGAATTTGCTGCCAAGGAGTGTGGTGGAGTCTCCTTCTTTGGAGGTCTTTAAGCAGAGGCTTGACAACCATATGTCAGGAGTGCTCTGATGGTGTTTCCTGCTTGGCAGGGGGTTGGACTCGATGGCCCTTGTGGTCTCTTCCAATTCTATGATTCTATGATTCTATGACTTCCCAGGCCAGGAGGAGCAAGATGGGTTTTCGTGCATGTCTCCTGGTTAGACTGGTCAGTGAGGAAGGCCACACTCTCTTCTCTGAAGCATCCACCCCATCTCACCAAGTTGCTAAGCAACGGCCTGGGAAAGTAACTGTCCATGTTCTGCTAGGCTGGAAAGGGATGGTGAGAACAAGGATGCTGTGGGGTGAACTTCTAGCTTGCGGTGCCAGAAATGGGGCAGCAGGGGAGAAATATCCAGGATCCTCAAGTGAAACTTTATTGGATGACCAGGAGCTGGATCCCTAAGGCCTGGCTGGAGCTGAGAGCAGTGTAAGAGGAACCCAGACAACTCTTGCGTGAGGGAACCTTGGCTGGAAGAGTGGAGAGGCCCCAAAGGACAGAGCCGGGAGAGTCCAGGACCCACAGAGCAGAAGCAGACATCTGGGAAGGAAAGGTGCCTCATCGCATGGTAGATCCTGGCGGTGAAGCGGCCGAAGCACAACCGGCAAGGGTTCTGGTCTGTGTAGAGGCCCATAAAAGGTCTAATATAATGTTCCCATTGTTACTCGTGTTACTGGTCTCCATCGCCCATCAACCCAAGCAAACATGGTCGATAGATTACTGCACATGCGCCACTCAACCACATTGATTGACAGAACTGGCACTACAACAGGCGTCACATAATGCCCGTTCCACATTTATTTATTTATTTATTTATTTATTTATTTATTTATTTTTATTTTTTGGAAAAAAATATATTTTATTGTTTAGGCAAAACTGTACAAGAGAGTGATGGGGGAACCTCCAGAGTATATTTCCCCCCACAATTGAAATTCGTCCTTCCTCGGAAGCCTCCAAAGGCCCTCTGTATTTGTGGATCCCTTTGCTTAGGCTTCCGCCCGCAAGGAAGTAACAGACTCCACCTCAGGGAAGCCAACTTTGGGGGTGGGGATGGGACCTCTGTGACTTTCGACAGCAAAAATCCAACAGATGCTTTCTTTCTGCATCACTGTCGTTACTACACTGGGGAAAAGGCAGTCACACCACCCCTCCAAATTAAACAATTGCATCCATGCCAAAAGGGCAGGGAGCCAGTTTTGGTCTAATGTTACTAAGACGGCTACTTAGCCCAGAAAAGAGCCCATTTTGATCTTTGGGTAGTTAAAAATGCAGGTGAGTGGGACATTCAGTGTTATAACAGACTCTGTGATGCTTAGGAATAAAAGGGACACCATAGCCCACTCCGGGAGATGAGTGTTCAAAAAGCATAAAGAAAAATAGGGGGAAACGGAACCACGATTTTACCACATTACTTATCCTTTTATGCATGTTAAGACATGAGAAATCTTGAATATGCACCTTGAAATATCCTGTGTGTATATTCTTGCCCAGACATCTTAATTAACTCTCCATTTAACTTCACCGCCACCAAAGTAGCCAAAGGTTAGTCTTCTGCACATATTTGGGAGCATAACCTATTAAACTCAGCAAGACTTGCTCCCAAGTAAACATTTAATGGGCATGGGCTGGGTGCGGATGCTTTAGTTCTGTCAGGGCGTAGTTTGGGGTTTACAACAGAATCCTCAGAAACATTACCCAATGACAATTCCCAGAATGCTTTGGGGAGGGAGCCATGACACTTCTGTTGGTAAAGCCTTGCTTCAGATTTGCAGTGGCAATTCCCTGAGACTTAGGGGATCATCGCAATGACAAATCTCAATCATGGCTGTACCAATGGAAGGATCCCCCACCCCAGCCAATGAACTGAAATTTGGGGTTCTCCATTCTTCCAGCATGCCTGGAAAATCTATGATCCTTCCAAACTCCCGTCAGCCATGATGGGGTCACAGCCTAACATCATGAGGGCTGTAGGATCTCGTGCCTCCTCACTCCCTTCTGCCATTCTTTCTCTGTTTACATGCCTCCGTGTGCCTCTTAAATGCTTTTGTTCTCCCCTCCAGCTCACCTATGCTTCCATGTGGGCCATGGGCTTTTTATTTCAACACCACCGTGGTAGGGCCGTGGGACAGAGCTGGGAGCAGGTTAGACCCTGCCATCTCATAGCCTCCAGCAGGAGAGACGCAAACAGCAAAAGCTTCCCGTTTGCTCCTGTGGCTGGGCATGTTGGGTGCGCACATGCACCGTATTCCAGTGTAGGGTGAAGAAAGCGCAGGGGCGCATAAACCACTCCACGAACAGCACTGGTGCACCTTTTTAAGAGTCTCACAAGGGGTGGAAATTGCCACAGTGGTGGTTTCCATTACAGGTACAGTACAGCATGTTGGGACCTTCTGAAATATTAAGCCTGCCGCAAAAGAGTCTCAAAACCTGCGTCTTAAATGGTGTATAAACTGGGCAGGGCTGCCAACCGGCTAGTCAGGTGAGCGGTATTATTTAGCACAGTTGTTCCCAAACTTCTGCACCTGTTTGTTAGATGTTAAGGTGCGCACCGGAAAAAAAACAAACCAAAAAAATTAAAAATGGGGAAGAGCCACCCCCCAATCATTGGTACCAAATAACAACCACCAGAAATGTGAATCTAGCTCGCTCATTTTATCATACTCATAAGTGTGCCATTCAGGGCCTTTCCTGGCACTGCTTTAGTTGTTGTTAAAAAAATTAAGAGGTGCCAGTACTCAAAAGAAATGCTGAGGGTGCCAGAACAAAATGGCTGCCACGGGCATCCAAAAATAAAATAAATGACATGACGGTGCTCTGTACTGATGAGCACTGTCACACACAAAAAGCACTGCTTCTAGCTAATCTGGATGGGACGGCAGGAGAACCAGGATCTGGAAATCTCCTTCCATTGCCATCTTGTTTTGTATAGGCACACCAGAAAAGCCAAATATTGGAATGGAGGAATGTTGTGTGAATCCTTCCCCAGTCACACAGACCGTTTTCCCAGTCACATACTAAACCACCCCCTCATCCCACTTGCCTCACCTGGTAAAATATAGAAGTTACAAAACATACAATCACACAGAAATAATTAAGCCCACCCCCACTATTATTGTTAAAAAGGAAAAAAAATACTGTGAGAGAAAAAAACCTACACATCTAGTTTGGCCTTAAGGCTGTAACTTATGTTGTCAATTCAAGTAGATCCAATTGGAATTTGTGTGCGGGAACTGTTTCAACATGGGTGTCCTAACCTCATTTATCTTTCCTCGTGTTGGCAGACAACCAGCCATTGTTTTAGGATTACCACTTAAAAGAGAAAATCAAAACCATAAGGAATAAGCTGCAGGGCCTGGTTTTGTTTTGTAAGGAAGAAACAGAACAGGTACATCAGTCAGAAATTGACCAAGTGGCAATCCTAACCCCTCGGCCTAAGAAACAAAATGGCTGCCATCAGCCACCAAGGACCAGAACAGAGATTAAATGTTGTGCTAGGCAAATTGCTCGAAACAACTTTGTAAGCAGCTTCATGTGGAAAGCTGTGTGAAATGGTTTCTCTTATGGTTCAGGTGCTTTCACCAGACAAAACTATTCCAACCCCCTCCACAGTGGACATTGGCATGGTGAAAAAAAACCCCAAATAAGAGCGGTTCACAAAAATGTATTGGTACGTAAGCCACATTGGTACTTCCGCCACATAACATTTTGAGCTTTCCCACACACACTGCAGTCTGGTCTGAATGATGCAAAGCGTGGTTTGGTCTGTGTGTGGGCTTGTATAGATACCCAGCAAACAGGTGTGTGTGTGTTTTGGGGTGAACCAGACTTTCCTCCCCACTCATTTCCTCCTCCTTTTACCCAAATGAATCCCAGGGCAGAAATTGTCTTCAATTTTATAGAAGAAAAATGATGATAATAAAAGCAAAGGCAATCTAGAGCAAGAAAACAAAACAAACCCAAAACAGAACAAGTCAAAACGGCCAGTCAGGGTGATGAACCCCAATATCCTCAGTCAAAGGGAATGGGGCAGGGAGGCTTTTTTTGAGGGGGTGTCTCACAGCACTGTTCTCCCCCCCAAAAAAACCCCACACGGCACACAGAGGTAGCAGGTTCAAAAGGTCTCTGTCCCAAGACTCTATTGGTTTCTTGCGCCATGAGGTAATAAAGCTATTGGACTGACTAGCATGGAGCCCTCCCTGCGAGCAAGGGGGAGAGCAACTTGAAAAGTCTTATGTGGGTTTCCATTGCTCCTAATGGGTCTCTCGTGCCATCAGGATTTGCGCCTGTCGCACCCAATGTCCACCCGTGGGTCTGAATCCCTTCGGCTTTGGCAACTTCCACAAGCAGGCCTTTCCTCCGTCCTTTGGACCATTCTTTGTCATCTTTTGCAATCCGATTGCCGTTATCCACATTCCGTCTTTCGAGTCTTATTTTGGTATCTTCTCATGTCCAAATCCTCTTTTCTGATCCAAGTCTTGTGAACAAGTGCCGCTGAATGCGTGATTTCTTCTCTCCCCCCCCCCCCCAATCTATTGGATCTTTTCTACTTTATAATCCTTTCCCACTAACTCTTCTAATTTCCCTCTTTCCAGCCTGCAATCTCTTTGTTAGTTCCCAACTCTTTCGAGTTTCAATATTCCTGCCCTTCAGATTTGTCTTCCTTAGTTCATATTCTCTTGCCGGGAGATTTTAGCTTATCTCCCTACCATTTCTGCTTTCGCACTGTGTTTCATTCCCACCTCTCACTACTTTTGATATCGCTCTCTCCTATTTCATATTTCTCACCCACTATCTGCTCTTGTGCACTTGGATCCATTCTGTGTGGTTTTTACTAGATTTACTTTACTAGATTTTCCTTGTCTCCCTCCTCAGCTTCTGCCTCTCATTCAGGCCATTCGCTTCCCAAACAAAACTATTTACACACTCATACCATTTCTTTCCATCACAGTGGGGGAAACGCCTTACTCAATTCTGGATAAAACGGTCCTTTGAAATATAAACTATACTAGCTTCCCAAGCATCACTAGCGACCCCTTTGGGCTGGAATTCATAGGAGCAAAGGGAGGGAAGGAAATCAATGAAGATGGGATACTGGAAAAATGCTTTTGGTTTGTTCAAATCCTCCATATTTGAATTGGACTAAAGGAAAAATGGAAGCATCGAGTGAGCTTTTCTGCACAAATCAGGATTCTGGAGCAGGTGGTAGTTGCACAACAATGATACTTCCTATTTTGTTCCCAAACCTCCCCTCGTATCTGTCCCTTCCTTTGAAAGACTATTGCGCTGCCAGAGCATTTAACCAGAATACGCTGTCCCTGGCAAAATGCAATTTCCCTGGCTGGTACTGTAGCACTTTCCTTGTTTTTCCACCTTCAGTTTATCCATCCCTTGCAGATCTGCCACAGAGATGCAGAGGATTCTGGGAGTGTTCCTGGGGCATCTGATCAACCCACACTCAATCAAGCCATCACCAGATGTGAATTGAGAGAACATACCTTCAACCAAGCATGCTGTCTTCTCCCAACACTCTTTTGACTGGTGGTGATGGTGGGCAGATTCCCTTTCAAGGACACCCATCCATCAGGACCTACTTTCCAGCCACAGGGGCTTCAAACCCCATTTTAAACCATACATTACATTAAGTCCCATCAATTAACCTGGTGGATTTTTAAAAAAACAAAAACTGCAAGAAGGACTCTTCCCAATAAAAAAGCCCCCTGAAGCAATTTCAGTAATGGAAGTTTTTCTTCCAAGGCAAGCAGACATTTTTGGGTGTGGCGGGGGATTTTTTGGAACTGCTCCACATGTCCGTTTTTAAAAGTGAAGAAATGAAATGGTGCATTTAACATAATTTATAGTTTGTCCCAGATACACAGCATATCTATTTAATGGGAAGGGATACTGCTATGCCCAACCTGTATCTCCACCATTCTGTAAACTCCCTTTAAAAAATATATTTAAAGGTCATTTTCTCCATTTTGAACGAGATTAGGGCCTGCACAAATATCACACAAAGAGGACTGTGACATTCACCCGTTCCACATTTATAAGAACTGGGTCTTCACCTCCACTTTGGAACTCCCTGCCTATTGAGATCAAGCAGGCTTCATTGTACTCTTTTTGGCATCTGCTAAAATATTCTTGTTTAGATAAGTCTACTCAATTATTTTAAACTAGGGTTGTGACTTTTTTCTTAATTTTATTGTTTTATCTTTTTGTAAAGCACTTTGAGGTTTACAATCAAGTGGTTTTATGAAATAAAATACCGTACTTTTCCGTGTATAAGACTAGATTTCCCCCTGAAAATAATGTCCAAAATTTGGGGGTGTCTTATACATGGGAGCCATCCCCCATTTTCTTAAATCAGAGTCCCCCAAAATAGGGGAAATCTTATACATGGGGGCATCTATAACAGGAGTTGCAGTCCACATCTGCAGGGCCACAGGTTTCCCACCCTTATATTAGGAGATAATTTGTTATACAATTAGCGTAATGCCAACTTCAAACCACTTTGTGATGTTTGGAGGAGTGTGGGAAAGGGAGGCATTGTTTCAAAGTTAATTGATTAATTAGCACAATACTGACATTCAAAGTTATTACTAAGCATTTCATCGCTAAACCTCTCCTGATTTGCTGTCTCTCAAGAATAATAAACCGTATCACACCTCCGTGCATCATAACGTCTGCCATTTAATATGTTTCATTTCAGCTCTAAATTTCTAACATTTCCCCCTTTTCCTCTTTTAAAATTTTAAGCAACAACACTTTCATCAGAACTGAGCGAATTGATTGATGAGAGTCCAAAGCCGCGAATGGGACATGATTATGAATGTAAGTCTTGTAACATATTGTTGCGTGCCACTCCAATCCCTGCACGGTGTGAGATCCAAGGTCTTCCAGATTCTCACCCAGGGTTCATGTTTCCTTTGGGAATGAGGCTTAGCGGAGACTGTGGTGTCTCTATGATTTATTTAGAAATACATATGCAACCCGATCCTACAATGGGGGGGGATCACAGCATTAAAAACCCAAGAGGATCTGGTTTCTCGCATATCCACAGCCTTGGATTCCAAACAGAAATAATCAAACAGTGTTCTCAATTGTTGCTCTGACTCTCTCTCCAGCTTGCTCCTTTTCCCTCTGGCTCACTCACTGAACTCTCAACTCTTGCCTTTGTCTTTTTCCTAAATACCCTCTCACAGATCCACTTTGTTTTCCTTAATGGCCCATCACCTGGACTATCACCTCAACACTGGAAACTAGCCAGACTTATATTTTAACACTTGCTGGATCCAGGGGTTAGAAAGGTCTCTGCTTACAGCCTACTTCCCCCCACCCCAAACTTATATTCTTCTCTAGGGTGATCAGTTCTCCTGAATCTCAGACCCTAAACATCAGGGAGCAGAGCTTGAAAGCTAGGGAGCGGTGCCTCACATAGCAGTGGTGGCCCTCAGTGATTTTCTCTTATGAGCTTTCAAGCCTCTCCTAATTGATCTCAAGTATAAAAGGAATATCAGAAGCGCCTTGCTGAACCTGTCCAAAGACCCTTTGAGTCCAGAACAGCACTCTCCACTTGCAATTCATGTTATATTTGAGCTTTCACATGATCTAAAAGCCACTTCCAGAGTTATAGTGGAATATGGTGCAAGTTTAGCATTTGTTTCCATATTTTTTGCAAACAGATTTTTTTCTGGAAGCAAATAAGACAGAAATGGGCACTAAACTTGCACTATACTCCTCTACAGTTCCAGAAGTGGCTTTTGTGAAAGCTCACATATAATACAGAACTTTACAGTTAGGGAACAGCATATCCCTCAACCGTCCCAGGAAATGAGAAATCCTGTTTTTTCTCATGAGCATGGCAAACATTTTGGGCACTGCAATATTGCTTGATTTCGCACTGCAATTTTCCCCTAAGAAAAGTTTCTATTTGGGGGGGAGGCAATCTCTTTGGGGCACTGTGCCCTAATAAAGTGTTTTTTCAGGACTGCAATCTTGCACAGGTCATGTAACTTGTGCAGAAGTGCAGCCCTGGAAGATGGTGTCCCAGTTTTTTGTCATGACATGTTGGAGGGTATGGAACAGCTGTTAAAACGGAATTAACTGCCATGTGAAAGCAGGCTGACTACCATCAGTCCCAGCCAGAATGTTCATTTTTGGAGGCAGCCAACTTCTGAACTTCCATTTTCTGGGAAATCACAAGTGCAGAGAGGACTGTTTGTGGGCTTCCCATAGGCATCTGCTTACCACTGTGAGACCAGGATGCTGAACTAGTTGGGCCTTTGGCCTGATCCAACAGAGCTCTTCTTATGAACGTAGGAGCTGCATTCAAACATCATCTGGAGGGCACCACTTTGCCAGCTCCTCCTCCTTTAAATAGATGGGCGACTGCATAGCTAGATACATGCCTACTGCACTTTCTGTGCTCTCAGACATCTCTAAGCTTTACTTTACTTTTCAAGCCATTGGCTAATGTTGTCTCTCTTTCCTTTGCTCAGTGTTCCCATGCAATCCTGACACTAGAGAGTGGGAATACCACAGTGGAAAATGCTACTACTTCTCCCTGCAGAAAACTAACTGGATGCAGGCCAGGGATGATTGCGCTGTCAGAAATTCAAAGCTGGTTGTCATTGATAGTATGCCTGAACAGGTAAAAAGAAAGGAAACGGCCAGGGCTGGTGTGCTGGAGTTGGAGGAATCAGGGAAAGTTGGGGGAAACCATTGCACCCAGAGGGATTGGGGGGCTTAGTTGCCTCAGTCCAACTTACTTGGCATGCATCTCCCGATCACAGCCAGGCTACAGTTTCCAAACTGGGCTCCAGAGAACCTGGGGTTTTCCTGAATGCTTATCAGGGGTTCCTCAAAAAGAAAATTGTGGACAAACGTCTCTGAAAGTCAGTTTGACCGCCACTACGGATGTTCCCCTGTATCAACATACTGTCCATGGTTGGCCCAGTGGATGTGTTTCTGTACACCTGTACCTGGCTCTGAATGCCTTCAAGATTTTCCAGTGAATTCAACTTGGGAGGATTTGCCTCTTCCTTGATAAACCCATCTAATGGCTACTCGTGCTCCATGCTGTACTGTGCTTTTCAACATAGAAACCTAGGAAGCAGCCTTAGATCACGTCAGACCAATAATCCATCTAGTTCAGGATTGTCTACATTGACTCTCAGCGGCTCTCCATGATTTCAGGCAGGAGTCTTTCAGCAGCTCGACCTGAAGCTGCCGGGTGATGGATCCCAGGACCTTCAGGAAGCAATGCAGATGCTCTGCCGCTGAGCTGCAACTCTTCCCGCCAGGTTCTGTGCTGGAGTGGCCTTGAGTGGCCAGCCATGCTCACCACAAAATGTTGCCACATGGCATGCTTTCAGAGGGCCAGCCAGCCAGGAAGCTGCACCCTCTGCCAGGAGCCTCCAGTCCAATACTCCCTGACACCCAGCTTTCATTTCCTGCACACAAACAGCCAGGCAGTGTTTCACTGAGCATTCTCAGATCTCATTGAGCTGTTTTGGTTTTCTCCCCCGCCCCCCGACAAAATGTACTTCTGCTAACCTTAGGGACCACCACCAGTCTGTTGATGCACATGGGTCATACTACTTTGGCTGCATAAAGCTCTATGCTGATGCAGTACCCGTGGCAGAACTGAACCCTGTGGAACCCAACACAGCAATGGCCGAGAAACTGATTCTGGATCCTCCTAAACGTCATCTTCCAACAGAAAGTCCATGTACTCTCATGGCCATATTTATCTGATTTTTCTTTCTCATGCAGAATTTCCTTATGACCCGGACCAGGAATGACCGTTATTGGATGGGCCTCACGGACAGAGATGCTGAAGGACTGTGGAGATGGATTGATGGCAGCAGTTACTACTCGGGCTTCACGTAAGCACTGAGCAGTTGTCATCCCTTTTGTTATGCAGCTGGCATCAAGTGCGGTCAAAACAAATTTGGAAATGGCATTCTCTTCTCAAATTCTGCCAGCGGGAATTCTCACATGACTGATGTTCTTTCAAGCATAACCTCACCAAAAGCTTCCTTCTACAGTGACTGTTCCCAGCCTTGGGACCCCAAATGTTGGACTACTGTCCCCATCATCCCCAGCCAGCATAGACAATGGTCCAGGCTGATGGGATTTGTAGTCCAACAACATATAGAGACTCAAGGTTGGGAAATGCTTTTCTAAAGGGTCAAACTCTACATCCCCTTAAGTATGTCCTTGGATCCTTTTTTTCATTTTTGAACTAAAATCCACCATAGATGCTCTGAAAAATAGTCCTCATGGACTGCCTACAGCAAGATATGGCAGTGAAGATGGTTTCAGTGAGAAAATGGCATAAGGGGGAAGCGTGGAGCACTGCAATCCTGTTCAAACACAGGGGCACAATGCAAGAACACCACCTCTCCAATATATTTGTGACTAATAGCCAGAGGACTTGGATCAGTTCTGTTGCATGATTAGACCTCTCAGGCACTATGACCCCAGTCCAAATCTCTCTTCCTGCACCCCACCCAAACTGCTTTTTGGCCATGAAAAAGACATCAAGAGGGAAGTCTATCAAATTCTGTATATCTTGGATTTTCGATATTTTTCAAAGTATTTAACATTCAATGCAGGTACTGGAAGCCAGGGGAACCGAATAACAGTGGGAACGAAGACTGTGCGCATCTCTGGGGTTCTGGGGAATGGAACGATGTCTACTGCAGCTACCTGTGCTACTACATCTGTGAGAAGCCCGTGCCGAGCGAGAAGCAGGGCAGGGGGACCTAAGCACTTTGGCGGAACCTCACCCAGGCAGGCATCCGAGGCTCAATGGCCAGGCGCTGTGGGATTTCCTCACACAGAAATGTCACTTCCCTAACGTAATCAAAGAGGTGCTCTAAAGATAACTTGAGTTTAAAAACCATTTGACTACTTTTTGGTTAACTCCTGGCTGACGCTGAAGATCCCTGCTGACTACTGTATTCAAGATTTCTGCTCTTTAATTATTTTGGCACCTCAGCAGCAGCTATGCCAAATGGATTTGATAGGCTTTCAGTCTGTATACCTTGAAGCTTGGCTTGACACTGAAATAAAACCCCAAGTGGGTGACGCTTGGTCCCTCACTCTGCCTGAGTTCTGGAACACTGAGGTCCACTGTGGGCATGTGGGAAGGTAATTGTTTAGCAGCCTTTAAATGTGTATGTTCACCAGTAGACCAGTCCAGTGGGTAAAAAACAACAATAGCAGCCCAAAGCACCACCATGTGTGTCACACAGGGCCCTGTCAGCAGTGTGTGGTGACAGATGGCACCCAGCAAAACATCACTACACATCTTTTTTTTTCTTTTTCCTTTTTTAAAAAGATCCACAGTTAGCTAATATTTGATTTTATATGGGATTTTCTTACCCTACTGCATTATCCACTGATCAAACACCTGAATTAAATATGGGAGGGGAGAATGCAGGCTGCCACTTGGATGAGTATAACATTGTGTGGGCAGTGTGAAAAACAAGTATACCTGGAATATATCAGATCCACTTTAAACTGTCTGTGTACACAATCCTGGCAACACTGGATCCTTTGCTTGGGACTCTGCACAGATTTTCCTTTATGAGAAGACACTGAGAGGGCTGATTTAGATCAAGATCTCAGTGGGGGAAGGGAGAGGCTCCCTCTCACACAAACACCCCCCATCCTGTCCTTCAGTGGTGTCTTTGGGAGGGTTTTAGGCAGGGGACATTCACTGCACTACCTGAAGATGCCGGGGATTGAACAGGTAATTTTCTGCATACAAAGCAAATCCCCTCTCACTGGACCCATCATCCCATTAGAGCAGTTTTAAGAAGGACAATCCTGATTGCCCCACCACTTGCTTTTAACAAGGACAACAGGATTTGAATCTCCTGTTCCTTCCCATTATGCCAAGGTAGTGTGTGATGAGAACAGGACTCCAGAGGAGTCCATTGTGTGTCCTGGAACTTGCTCTCTCTGTTCCAAAGCTCCACATGGTAGCCCATGAAGGTGATGTCTCTTCCTCATTTCAAATGCCTCAGACACAGTTTGTGGAGCCAAGCCATTCAAGTACCAAGGTACCACTGTTCTAGACTTAGAAAGTCATGATCAGTGCTTTTTTTTCCTTTAAAAAATGTTTAGGGGTACTCTCATTTTCCTACTCATATTGAAATACTGCCCCTCAATGAGGCCAAACTTAGATTCACAAAATGTTTAGGGGTATGCGTACCCTTGCATCCCCCCGGAAAGAAAAACCACTGGTCATGACAATATTTTTGGTTGGCACGCATATTTATGGTATGAAAAGGTGAAAGTTCATAAAGGATTTACAAATCATATAATTAGGAAAAAATTCTATAGAGTATGGGATAAATACAAGAATTTATTAGAGGTAAAAACACCACTTTGGCTCTCACCATTGGAAGCTATAGCAGTAAAGAAATAGAACATGATAGAAGGGTGGACAACTTATAGAAATTTATTAAAACGAGGGAGGAGAGTATAAATTTAAATAATTTAAGGAATTATCAGGGAAATTAACAACATGGATACAATATCATTTGAATGAAGTATTTAAGAAAGATAGGATATGAGGATTTGGGGAATAAATATCACAACTGGAGAGAGACCTGTTGGAATGGAATGTAAAAGTGCTGTTTAAAAGGTATAACATATTATTGGAATGGGAGACAAAGGATGAGCAGGTAAAATCCTAATGACACATTGAGTGGTCTTTCTTTTAAAGCAGGATTTTTATCCAAAGATTCAAAGGTCCTGATCTGAGACTAGCTGACTGCCGTGAGATTTAACTTGCTACCCAGAGAATAAATCCCCAAACCTCAGTACTAGAGCCAATTCCTGAGCCCTAACGATCCTAAAGAGGCAACAGACATCTCTGTGGGGAATAAGGGTCGTTTCACCCCCTGGCTCTGTGCCCACTTCATTCCATCTGAGTCACTGTGTTTTCTGAAAGAGCAATACACAAAATGGAGGCACCTCAAGTCATTCAGACTCCCATCGTTAGCAGGCAGGCAATACAGTTCTTTGTGGGGGCAGGGATTAATAGTGGTTTCAATGTTCAGTTAATCAAAGCTTTGTGATTTTGATAAACTGGGGCAGGGCCTTAAAAGACAAAGAGAACAAGCCATTTTATAAGGAAAGGATGAGTAAGACGTTCTTGGGTGTTTGCACTTTTGGAGTCAGCACTTTCCAAATAAATTTTCATGCTGCAGTTAAGGGGAAGTGAACATGTGATTCCAATGCAGGCATCGTAAGGGAAGAGTGGAGAAGATGCATGGTTGGGGGTACAGGTTGAAACTTTGGGGAGGGGGCTGCAGGGCTCAACACCCCCTCCCCTGCCCAAGCAGCAGCCATTGTTACAACAGCAGCTGTAGCACACGAGTGCCCCATCTCTTTGAGATACTCGCACGTGCATGCACACACACATGTGTCTAAGTCACCATAGAAAACATTAACAAAGTGTGGGGCTTAAACAATTATTTTATTTATGGCTACAGCTTTTGGTGGGATGATGATGATAAGTGGTCAGAGGGAGAAGAGGGAGCAGACTGGGAGGAGGAGGGGGCAGAAACTGATGTTCCTTCTTAAGGAAATTTATTCCCTGAAACGAGGGGACTGCACGTGTCTGAATTTCCCCTGATCTTCCTAAGAAATAGGGGGAGGAGAGGGAAGGAAATAGATCTTTATATTTCCTGATAAAGTTCCTCAATTTGCCGCTCATATTATAACCCAGCAAGAGGAGAAATTTGAAAACAAGAGCAAGATGGTTCTACTTGGTGTTTATGAGCAAGAGGAAGATGGAGACCGTGTATACCTGGCAGAGACGGAAGAAGCCAAGGCACCCAGAACAGCAGGTAAATATTTGGGGTGTGCCCTGGCCTCAAGATTTAGATCCAGATTTGGCAATTCAGGAGCACTCTCTCTCATCTGGAAGCACTTTGTGGTAACAGAGTCCAGATCTGAATTCACTATTGGATCTAAGTGGTCCACTTGCTTTGGACAGAAGCTTACCAAACTGGCAGGCCTAGTCTCCCTGCTAAAGTACAGGCATATATATCCATGGACTCAGAAATGTGCATAACTTAAATTTATGGGCAGAAGTTGATAAAATTTGCAGACATTGTCCTCCTTTCCAAGGGAGAGATGCCTGCCAAATAGCTGCAGTGGTTCTCCCGTAAGGGAAGACTGTATCATTATGGGGGGGGGGTGTCACTTTATCCCATAGTGTTTTATGGGCAAATGGTTAGAAAATAGATGATATTACTGAGCAAATGGTTGGAAAATAGTAGATATCACAGAGGAATCAAAATTCCTCAGGGTGAAAAACCTGCCAAATTTCAGATAAATATGTCCATTGGCTTTTATGACGGGAGTCTACGGCTGATTTGGGAAAGGGGAGAAGTAAAGGGGTTTCCTTTCCTTCCAGTGGCTTTAGAGTGGGCACCACTTCAATAAGCAGCCACGGTGAAACTGCACACTGAGCAGCAAAGTGCACACTGAGCAGCAAAGTGTTCACCTGGCTTCAGGTACCTGGTACAGGTAGTGCCAGGTAGAGGAGATGCTAGGGCAGGAGACTGGCAGTGGCAGGTATTTTAAGATACAGCTGGAAGGAAGATTTACATGCTCATGACTTTTGTCAAACTTTCTTTGACCAACCCGGTCTCTAACAGCAGTTTACTACTTTGCACTTCACTTGACCTGGAGATAGGAGGTCTAATTCATTTATATTCTCACTTTCCTGGGAGTAAGCTCTATTGAATGCAATTGGACTTATTCCAAGAAAACATACGGTGGATTGCACTGTTATGTTCTGGGACCTGTACCAGCAGACCCAGCTCCTGGGTCCCTGCTGCTCTGTTTAGTCAGGTTTAGTCACAGGTAGGGATGAGGAACTCAATTTTGTTCATGTTTAAAGGCAAATTTGCCTAATTCATTTCCACCTCATTCAGATTATCACATTTAAGTACTGCTTGAAAACTGTTTAACATAACCAACTTGGATTTGTAGAATAGCCTCCAACTAACTACTGGGTCAGGACCCAAGGCGGCTAGAAAATCCAGCTGGGACTGGAGACAACATATATGAGAATCAAAGCACAGCCATCCTACAAAATTTAAACGCCCCTGGATTTTGTGGTGCAGTTCTCCAACCAGTACTTACAAAAATGCATCTATTTGAGGAGAGTGTGCATAAAAATGAATATATTAGTGAAAACAACATACAAGATGCATTATTGAGGGAAATTGTTGTAAAATACATACATTAGTGACAACTGCATTTAAAAATATATTTAATAGGATAAATTCACAATATTATGCTCATGAATCTTCATGAGGGGTTTTTACATATAAATGTGAAATGTTGCAGAAATGTGGAGGTGTGACTTTAAGATTGGAACGAGAAAGTGGGAGACTGAAAGTGAGCTGTTCTTCCATTGCTGGTAGGGATGTCAATGCACCCAAAGCAACACTGCTGCTTCCCAGGTGCCAAAGCTGTTGTTTCCACACTCTGTTTCATAATTTCCTTTAGAAATGTCTGATTCATTTACATTTTTTAAATGATAGCTAAGAGTCTGGGGCCCTTGCTGGCTGGGGGCCTGGAACACATGTACCTCCCTCCTGCCAACAGCTCTCAAACACATCAATCCAGAACTGCTCTGCTTAATTCACCGTCCACCATAAACTGGGGGGGGGGGGGGGGAGAACCAACCTTTAAAGCAACAAAAACCAACATCCCTTACATTTCTCGTAATTTTAGACACCCAGAGTGACCCCACTGGATGTTACTTGATAGCCAACTTCATACAATTTTGCTTGAAATTTGTTGCTATCTTTCTTCTTGAAGACAGATTCTTCCTCCGGTGGAAATGGAGCTCCTCTTTCCTGGTTTATGGGCTCCTGGCGCTCGCTTACCTGCTGATCATTATCTTGCTGGGGCTTCTGCTCTCCAATGGTAATTGAGGGACTCCAAAGTCTGAAACGCTTCAGTAGCATTATGACAAAATGTGGGAGGGATCCCCCCCCCCCATTCAGACTCTCACATTTAAGCCCAGTGTGAAAACAGTTTAAAAGAGAGCCAGTGTGGTGTAGTGGTTAAGAGCAGTAGTCTCGTAATCTGGGGAACCAGTTCGCGTCTCTGCTCCTCCACATGCAGCTGCTGGGTGACCTTGGGCCAGTCACACTTCTTGAAGTCTCTCAGCCCCACTCACATCACAGAGTGTTTGTTGTGGGGGAGGAAGGGAAAGGAGATTGTTAGCCGCTTTGAGACTCCTGAAAGGGAGTGAAAGGCGGGATATCAAGTCCAAACTCTTCTTCTTCTTCTTCCAAAATAACCAGATTGGACTTGTAGCCACCGACTGACTACTGAGTCAGGGCCCAAGGCTGCCAGAACAGGCAGCTAGTCTGTGGACAACCTGTTCATTTCTCCCTTACCTTGATTCAGACTGTTGGGCCACCCACCCAGCCCAGTCCTGTTTCCTTCAGGGTCTCCCTTCTTGCTTTTGGCCTTCTTGGAGCAGTGCTGTGGGGAGGCCTGCTGGAGGGATGAGGACTTTATTGAGGCGGCAACGCCATAACTAGCCACAGATGTGGTTGAAGGCCCCTCTTGCTGCCTAGAAGCAAGGCCTCTGATGGCAGACAAGGATGCAGAATTCAACTGAAGAAGAAACGTGCATATCTGCAGATGTGCTTTGTGAAGGGCAGCCTTTGAAGGGCCACATGTTCTGTATCCCTGATCAAGAATCTAAATAAGTACTGGAAATCCCACTGAGAATATTTTAAGTGCTGCATGATGTTCAAGTCCTTATATATGGACAGTTCTGGGGACTAGCAGGAAGTCTCTTGGTGACATCATGGGCTGGGAAGCCTTTCAGTACGGCGTACAGCTGCAAAGTTGCAGAACTATATTTCACAGTATAGTCGGGCAAAGGAGAGTTAGGTTTTCACTTGATGAAGTGACTGCTCAAAATGGCTCTTCTAGTTGATTATACATGATGACTCTCGTATTTTTCCTGATGACCTAGGAAAAGGAGGGAATGAAAGGTAAACTTGAAACATGGAAAGTGGCCACTGTGTCTAAGTCTAAGCATGTACAGAGTGTTTTCCCCTCAAATTACTCAGCAGGGTTTATGTTCTAACAAATGTGGCTTCCAGGCTGCCAGAGTCTGGCTTATTCTGGGTTAGTTCAAATGGAATGAGAGAAGAGGTCTCTCCACCATATCTCTTTTTGCCTCATATGGGTAACATTGTATGTGTTTGTATCTCTTCTTACAATTTCAGAATCAAAGTTTTCCTCAGAAGCGAAAAAGTTACATAAACAGCTTGAAATGAGCAAGGAGCGTAAGTGTCTTGCCAAAACCACCTGGGGCTTGCGGCTGCAATAGCCTGGGGGAGGTGGCTCTCGCCTGGCATTACGCCAGAGAGCCTGTTTCCACTGCAGGAGGGGCATAATTTGTCACCCACAATCATTCCTCCAATGCCTGGCTTTAGAAGGCAGGTCTTCCCGATCAACGTGGCATCTTCCAGGGAAGCCTGAACTCCAAACACCTCATGGGCCAGGAACTCTGTGAGTCCCTTGAGCTGGAGGAGCTTAGAAACAGGTGTAACTCATGAGCTTGTGCCATTGATATGCTGCAAACCCTCACAACCCCAGCGCCCTCAGGATTACAGGGATGAAATGGGCTCGGCTGCTGCTGCTGCTGCTGCCTCGATGAGCATCGCTGCCCCCTAGAGGAGCAAATTCCACCTTAACTATCTACTCTGTGGAGAAGTATTTTCTTTTGTCTCTCCTGAATGCTCCAGCCTTCAGCTTCACGGGATGCCCCCATCCAGTGCTATGCTGAGAGAGGGAGAAAAGGCTTTCTCTATCCCCTAAAAAGCCCCACATTGTAACTGTTCTTCACAATTTAGAAAGCATGCCTATATGAAAACAGAAAGAGTCTCTCCTCCTGGTGGGGAAGGCTGTGGAAGGATGGCCGGAGCGTGCCCGCTCCACCTGCAGTCCATTGGGTGAAGCCACGGTCAGGGCTTTCATTCTGTGCCTTTTCTCTTTTGCCAGTGTTCCCATGTGGTTCCAGAAGCAGGGAATGGGAATACTTTGACGGTCGGTGTTATTACTTCTCCCTCCGGAAGGCTACTTGGCACACGGCTAAGTCACTTTGTGCAGAGCGCAATTCAAGCCTGGTGGTTATTCATGATGAGGCCAAGCAGGTAAAGGTGCTGGAGTCTTGGCTGGGGTGGGGATTTGTTGCCTCTTCAGTGAATTTTTGGAAAGCTATAATGCATTTTGTTATGCTATTTTTACGAATATGTGCATTTATGTGCAAATATTACCCTAATAGATGCTTTTTTTGTACTTGGTTGGAGAACTGCATTGCAAAATTCAGAGAAATTCAAATGTTGAATGATGGCTTTGCTTAGGTTCACATATTGTTTTGGAAGGTGCAAATTAGATAAGATCATCTTTAAATGCAAGCTGAACAGGCAGAGAAAACAGTACAAAACACTTCCTGCATGTGATGTTTCAGCTGCTGGTGATTGACAGCGATTTCAGTTTCACCCTGAGTGAAAGACCAGCCAGACAGTGATGGTGGCCACTTATGAATCACCTACAAAAATGAAACAAAGTATCAAAAAAGAGGAGAGTTACATAAGATTTACATATGAATATGTATAGATATATAGATAAACACAAATATAGATATAATGGCTTCAGTTTAAATAGGAATACAATACCCTCTCCCCTGGGTCTGCCTGCTCAGTCCTCTGTCCCAGGGCTGCTAAATGTAGACGGGCAGCTTGAAGATCTTTGCTCTCCCTTCTGCATCTTTAACCTGTATTTGAAATAGAGAACTCTTTCAAACAGAGAACTGTTATCTGTAAAGTAGGCCATGTGGACACTCTGTAGATATTTAGTGGCAAGTGTGGCTCTGGAAATCCAGGTTTGCTGATCAAGATGCTTCCTGACTAGGGAAGGCAAGCCCAGAGCAGGGACTCATGCAGAGATACAGGGAGCATCTTCCTCAGAGGCAGGGAGCTTTTCTGTTTTTCTTCATTGGGATTGATTTGACGAGATGTGGCCCCACCCCCAGTGAAAGCAGATTGGTTGGAAGTACATCTTAGTACTGAATCATGCACTCAGCAATCCTATACCCTCATCTTGGGGGTAAGCCCCACTCTGAACTCAGTAGGACTGACTTCTGAATAGACATGTCTAGGACTGCACTGGAAGAGGGGCAGTCATCCAGATGGATGCTGAGGTACAGAGGGATCCTTATTTTTTGCCTGGATTAACTGATCCCAGCTCACAGGAATCATTCTTGATTTTACATAACCTACTGCTGTACTGAGCCTACATTTTGTGAATGAAATTACTCTTCTAATTTGTGTTGGTGATTGTGAATATGGAACCAGAGCAGCTTCTCCAGCTTGATACCATCTTCTCCTTTTTGGTCTTGCAGAATTTCCTAGAGTCTCGAACCAAGAATGAGCGTTATTGGATTGGACTCACTGATATCAATGAAGAAGGGCAATGGAGGTGGATTGATGGCATCAGTTACTTAAACAACTACAAGTAAGACAGAGGACCATGAACGTCACCACTTCGCCCATCAAGCCAAGCCCTTGCTGTGTCCTGTGACCCAGCAAGTACTTGGCAAGGCTCCTGTTTTGGCCATCCTGGGAAGACAACAGAGACGGGAGCTTTGCTGAGCCCCTGGTCTACAGTGTTTTCTTTATCCCAGGAGTAGCTAAACAGTCCTTGGCCTGGTGACCCCCCTTGACCCCTTGACCCCCCCTTCTGCTGCACCCCACTCTCTCTCACACCACCTGCAAATTGCCTTGAGAGTTGGCAGACCTTTCTGAGAGGCTCACCCTTCCTGATTTATACCACCATCATAGCAAATTCCTCCAAGCAACCTCAAAGATTACTCAGTCCACATTTTTACTCTGGATCAGCATCTCCCTATCCCCATAACTTCTCTCATGTATTTGTTCATGTGTAGGAACCCAAATTCATAGAACTGGGCAGACTCAGGGAATTGTTTCCTATTTTTTTAAAGGGGGAATCATAGAATTGTAGAGTTGGAAGGGACCCCAAGGGCCATCTAGTCCAACCCCAGCTGATGGGAGCTGGTGGCCAATCACATCTGGAATGCACCACATTGGTTAGCCTGCTCCAGCTTGACAGAATAGGAGCAGCTGCCACCAGCCGTGGATGGGAAGAGAAACAACAATGGCTGAGGTGGGAGCAGGGAACCAGCAGCCTGTAGACAGTTTCAGGTGTGGGGCACATAAGGGGCAAACCTTGGCTGAAGGGGGCTTTGAAGGCACTAACCACTGGCCATGCCTGCAAAGTCCCTTGTGCAACACTTCCCAAGCATGCAGATCATCGGGTGTTTGGGGGGCTCTGGACAAAGTGCTTAGCAAGCCCAAGGTTCAGTGTTTCCCAAACACAGGGCCTGCAAAGCTCTTTGCATAGCACTTCAGGAAGCACCGCAAAAAGGGGCTTTGCAAGTTCCTTTGGAGAGGAGGGAAAAGCTCCATTTCTAAAAGGAGCATTTTTGTTATTTCCAAAGGAAGAGGTTTGTATTCCAGGTGCTCCTTGCAATGGTTTCAATACAAGCTGCTTTCCCTGCAGGGGGTGGGGGGTGCTGCTGCTTCGGAGCATTGTTTCCTCCACAGAGGCTCCTTCTAACCAACCACCAGCTGCTTGTCAGTTAAAGGGAGCCTCTTTGATTGGTTGTGCCTGGGTGGGATGCCTTGAATTGCATGGAAGAAGGGAGTGAGATAAGCAACACAAATAAGCTAGTGACTGTGTCCAAAGCCGCCCAAGTAAAGAACGGAAAATAGAGAAGGAATAGCTTGGCAGTTCTAGTATTGGGGGCAGAGGGGGAGCAGAGGATGGTGTGGCTAGAGAAGAACTCTTGCCAGGTTCTTCAGGGTATCTTAACTGCCTTCCTCGTTTAGGAAATGGAGACAAGGCGAGCCCAACGACCATGAAACCAAGGAAGACTGTGCCCAGATCCATGAGGCTGGGGAATGGAATGATGTGCCCTGTAACTTTCAAAGCTTCTATGCATGTGAGAAACCTTTGCCTTCCTGAGGAAGAACCATGAAAAAGGCACCAGCTAGCAGGAACAGGGCTGCAAGAGCAGGCCATTTCTCCGCTTCAAACTATCTGCTTTAGAGTGACAAAGACTCTGCACAACTTGAATGTAGCTAGAATTTTTATATAAAGATCTTTATGTTTCTAAGCAATTTAATAAGAACCATATTATACTCTAAGTAAAGTTTTGTAATCAGAATCATGTCCGGAGGCTGGAGTCAATGTCAATTCCTCTTTCCAGGTTGTTTCTGTATGCCACGAGACATGTCTCTCTGTGTGTTTGGTAGTCCCAATTGCCACACCTGGGGAGGGAAGGAGAGAAAGAATAAGGCCAGTAGTGGTTTAAATGGCTATGGCTGTATATGCACCATACATTTAAAGGCAGTTCTGGGAGCTGTAGTTTTTAAGAGTGCTGGGAATTATAGCTTTGTGAGGGGAAGACTACAGCTCCCAGGATTCTTGGGGTATGCTTTAAATGTATGGTGTGTATAGGGGTAGAATAGGAATGTGTGGGCGTTTATGAATGGGGTGTAACTGTATATGGATGAGCCTGAATGGAAAGTTGATGAATTTGGGGCATGGATGGTATGTGAAAATGGGGTGTGAGTGTGTTATCTCCCTCACCCCTGGAGTGCCAAATTTCACAAGTCACTGGGACCACCCACCTGACAAACACCTGAAATCGTAGGGAAATCATAGGGACATCAGCTCATGCTGCACTTTGATGCCCCAGGTGTTGGGACTTCAATGCAGTGAGAGGCTGTTTGAAAGCCCCTTTGCAGGCAGCACTACTCTTCTAGAGAAGTGGGCGCACAACTAAGACAAAATCAAACCCATCCTCTTGTCCATCAGAGTGACATCAGTTGGTTGGAAGGTGGGGGTCTGGGGTTTTTTTTAAGCCTCAAATGCCAGATTTGCTTCCCTGGCGCAATACCACTGACTCTGCACCTCACTGCTATTTTTTTTTAAGCCACATTCACATGACATTAGCCACAATGCATGTTGATCCTGTGGTTTCTTGACAAAGACTGCTGTTCAATTAGTCTCTTTTTTCAAACCAGCTTGAGTCTGATCAGAAAACTGGATGCAGAGTGGGCTGAGGTTTTGGGGCATGCCCCAAATTCATCAACTTTCCATTCAGGCTCATCCATATACAGTTACACCCCATTCATAAATGCCCACACATTCCTATTCTACCCCTGTGAAGGGACCCTAACAGCCATCTGAACACACATGGGCAGATAACAGCTTGGTGAATAGGAGTTGGGGGTGTAGTCCCCCATACCAAAGGTTATCTGCTTCAGGTGAGGTCATCTCCCTCCCACTCTCTGATGTGCAAATACAGCAGGGGCAGGGTAATTTGGACTGAATAAACTACCATATTCTTGGGCATAAAGGAGGGAGTCCCCTCATCATGGAGATTTCTTATATGGGATATCGCAAAGCTTATCGTGGGGTTCAGGGACATCTAGGATGGAATCCAGCATAGCACTTCTGCTTGCCCAGTGGAGCAATTTCCCTGTGCCACATGCTCTTCTGGGAGCCCAGCCACCAGGCGTCTTTGGAGGAGGCGCAGGAGAAGGGGAAGCCCCGTTGTGCTAGCAAAATAGAGTAGTTGAATACGGCCCATAAACTTTACTTTGGTTTTTAGGAACATAGGATATTTCCTTCCTTTCTTGGTATTTTGACCTAGTAAGCAATTTCAGCAGCATCTTATGCAATATACTATATTTATTTTTTCCAAAAAAATGATGAGTAGTTTTTCTTTATAAAAGGGTTTCATAATCATTTCTGCAAAACTGCTTTACCCAAAGATTCAAAGCTCCTAATTTGAGACCAGCTGACAGCCATGAGTCGAAACTTGCTTCCCAGAGAATGAACCCCAAAACATGGGCATAGCCAGGATTTATGTCGGGGGGGGGCAGAACCTCATTTAGTTGAGTACTGATTTACTTGATTTAATGGGGGCAGCTGCCCCCCTCCCTTGACTACACCCATGCCCCAAAACCTCAGCCAACAGACATCTCAACACAGTCCCATAGGTGAATTAGGGTCACTTCACACTTGAAGTTCTGCAGTTTAGGGATTTTGAACAGCATTTTTGTAGACCTTGCTTTGCAAGCCTCCACACCTGCATGCTATGCAGGCAGCGTAAGCAGTTGTTACATCACTGCCATCTGTACATGAAAAGGACAAATCTTGGGGTGTGCTACTTAAAGCATCTCCAATCTTTGATAGAGTCTAGCCCTGTGGGTTCTGGATTGGTCAGAAAATGAGAGACTTCAGCCAAGCAATGAAGGAGCAAATCAGTGACCAGGAGGCCTGATCATTTATTTGTTGCAACAGAGGTTTTGATGTGTAAAGCGAACAAAGAAGAAGAAGGCCAGAAGAAAGGTTACACGAGTTTTTAAAAGTTCTCACAGTTTCCCACAATACATTTCTTACAGTGTCATCAAAACATCATGGATATGTCACAGAAGAAGAGTGGTGTCGGCAGAAATCTGAGATCCAGACATGCCCTTGTCAATCACACATTGTCTCAACATCTGTCTCACACAGGCAAAAGAAAGTTTTTACATGTCCCTTTGTCATTAAAACATGGCTGGTAGAGTTTATTTGTACAGGCTAGGTTGCATTCCACTCTGGTTATGATCTTCCATCTGGGGTTTTGTTCAGGAAGCCAGGATCAGTGGGCTATATTGTACTCAGTCTATTAATTTCAATAGGTGTACTCTGAGTGTGATGAACATTGGATGCAGCCTTCTGTGCATGTGCAGAGGCTTCCTTCCCTTGTGCCATGCAGGCAACTCTATGACTACATCTCTCTTTTCTTTTGACACACTTTCACTGCAATGCTTACATGGGACTCTTTAAATTCACTTCTCCAGAACAGCAGCAGAGAACACCTCACAGCTTGATGCACTGTATGAGGAATGCAAAATTTTGGGTTTCTGAAAGATCTGATCCCTGTTATACCAGATAATTCCCCTGGAGTCAGAGTGCTTTCTTAAAGGGCAATGCCCCAAATGGAGGCACCTCAATTCAGTCGAGCTCCCCCAGGAGCTGCCCAATGATACTACGGTTCTTGGTGGGAAAAGTTTATAGTGGCTGCAACATTAAGTTGATCAAAGCTTTGGGATTTTGATAAACTGGGAGGAATAATTTAAAAATAAGGACAGAATGAGTAGTTCTATAAGGAATGCTAAGGAATGCTTTCTTGAACTGAGAACTGTTGCTTGTTTTAGACTGAGCAACTTTTGGAGTCAGCGTTTTCCAAAATAATTTTTCAGGGAAGTGAACACAAGAGTCCCATGAAGGTGTTGCAACAGAAGAGTGGAGAAGACACATAGTTGGAGGCATGTATAAACTTTGGGGTGCTGCTCCTGCAGGGGTCAAGCCCCCTCCCCGGTAACAGCCATTGCCAAGCATATGGACAGCTCACACAATGGACTCAGTTACAGCGATGTCGCTGCATGGGTCTCTGCTCTGGACTTATCTCCTGCCACTCCTAAGGCAGATTCTACAGGGCAGGTAATTCGCACAGAATGGGCTCCTCTCGGGGTGAGGAATTCTCACACATATTTTAACAGTAAACACTTTGGCTTGAAGTGATCCTTTAATTTTAATTCAGAATAACAAGATTATGTATCCGGTATGAGGAGTCTAGGAATTAATTATAGCATTTGAGTAATTAATGCTAAGAGAAGGGAGGAAACACAGAAAGAGGAGGTGATGGCTGTGTGCACAACATACATTTAAAGCACATCCCCACTGAATCCTGGGAACTATATTATACCCCTCACGGCTACATTTCCCAGGGCCCTTCAGTTCCCAGGATTCTTGGGCAGTGTATCTGGTATGGCAATACCTACAAGGGAGAGAAAGAGAAAAGTAGGGTAAAAGTAAACAGCCACACATGGTCTGTGGAAGTTCTCCTCCATTCACATAAACTCAGCTTTTGTTTCCACAGTGCTAGCATCCATAAAGGGTTAAAAAAGAAAGGTAAAGGACCCCTGGACAGTTAAGTCCAGTCAAAGGTGACTCTGGGGTTGCGGCGCTCATCTCGCTTTCAGGCTGAGGGAGCCAGTGTTTCTCCACAGACGGCTTTCCGGGTCATGTGGCCAGCAGGACTAAACCGCTTCTAGCACAATGGAACACCGTGACGGAAACCAGAGCACACAGAAACACCGTTTACCTTCCTGCCACAGCAGTACCTATTTATCTACTCGCACTATGGAGTTCCTTATTTCGCCAATGCGATTTCCCACTATGAAGTTTACAATGCGTTTTCCTGAAATGCTTTTTTGATGTCTCTAGATCCAGCCAAGATCAGATAAAATGGGTCATGGAGATATCATGCTGCAATGTCTGGTTTTCTCAGAGGAAGGGACCATTTCTTAAAGTGCCATTATATAAGTCTAGAAGTTCCTCTTAAAAGGAGCTTAATTCCTGAAACCAGTGGGTGGCACATGTTTTAACTTCCCCCATTCTTCCAAACAAACAGGAGGGGGGGGGGAAGGAAAGAAATAGATGCTTAGTTCCTCAATTTGTTGCTCCTATTATAAATGCATTGAGAAGAGAAATTTGAAGACAAAAGCAAGATGGGTATTGTTGGTGCCCATGAGCAAGTGGAAGACAGAGACCACGGATATCTGGCCAGGATGGGGAAAGCCATGGCTCCAAGAAAAACAGGTAAGTATTTGTGGCATGCAGTGGCCTCAAGGTTTGGATCCAGAGCCAACAAGTCAGGAAGCCCTTTGTGTAAACCTATTCCAATACTGGATCCACATCTGAAGTCACTATTAGGGGACTCAAAATTGCATCTAAGGGGTAAGCAACCTTCCAAATTCCAGATTAACAGGTCCTTTGTCTTTGTGCTAGGTGTCTTTCCAGTTGACTTGGGGTAGAGGAAAAATAGAAAGATTTGCTTTCCTTCCTGTGGCTTTGGAGTGGGCACCACAATAAGCACCCAAAGTGGAACTGCACAAAGCAGCTTCAGATCTGAGAATTAGGCCTACTTCCAGTACCTGGTGTCAGGAAGAGGAGATGTTTGGACAGGAAGTTGGCCCTGGCAGGCGTATGGAGATGCCAGCAATATACCGTTTGAAGGAAGGTTAGCAGGCTGGCAATGTTGGTCAAACTTTCTTTGACCAAGTCAGTTCCTACCAGCAATTCACTGGCAGTGTTGAAGCTGGAATTAATTAATTGACTTGTATGTTGAGGCCCCATGACCACCCCGTTCCCTGGGGATTAAATAAGTATGGGATCCAATAAGGCCACAACTTTATTGGTTACAGATGTGTAGGTTTTGGCCATAGGCATTGGGATAAGCCACACAAATATCACTCCAGCCCGTCTGCTGGAAGGGCCTCTAAGGTTGAAGCCAACCGACAGGGAATAATGCCCTATGACCTCCATCAAATCGGGGCACCCCAAAAGTGGTCCCTGATGGAGGAATGCAGTGGCCCTAGCCCCCCTCTAGGTGTTGGACAGAAGTCACTACTCCTGGATCCTTTTAACAGGATACCCTTACCTGGAGGGGCAGTCAGAGGCTACAACCTCCCCTCCATCCAAGATCTAAGCTTACCCAATGCCAATCCACTTTAGAAAGTTGTGGTGATTGCTACAAGGTAGGCAAAAACCCAAAGGCTGATGCCAATTTGCCAAATGGAAAAATTCCTTCCTGGCCCCAAATATGACAGCCGACATAGTCCATAACCAGGTTGTACCATCAGCAACATCCTGAAGTGAGGGAGGGTGGGAGAACCTGCAAAGAAAGAAGAGGCCAAATGGCCAGGCGTAACCATTGGGCAGTTGATCCCATGCCCCAGGGAACACACACTGTTGCCAAGGGTCGATTTGGTGGCAGGCAGACAATTCGGCCTGCCATTTGCCGGTTCACAAGAGCAGTTTGGGGCCTGCTCACAAAGAAGGGCGAATGGACCTAGAGGGTCTGGTTGCATCTGCTCTAGTGTTTAATTTATCTTTGTAAGATATTTATATACTACGTATTTATATACTACTGCACGTAAAAATTGTAAAAAATGACTTGAGTGTCTGAGAGAAGCAGGATCAGAAATTCTAATCAAGGGCCTTCCTGTTTCCGGTGCGCCAGCATTGGCGTCCCTCCCAACACTGCGGGAGAGAGACAGATGGAGGTAATCAGATAATGATGGGAGAATTTCATTATCTGCATTCCTCTTCGGTTGGAAGAGGAACCAGGCTCTCACCTGCAGTTTGCCTGGCAGTCTGGCACTCGCTTCCCCATGGAATGCGAGGGCAGGCAACGGCACTGGGTGCACGGGGCACTCCGGCTGCCGTGACCCCCCCACCCCGTTCCTGGAAGCAAAGGTTATCCTGTTAATTGGATTTTAATTGGACTAAACTACAGGTGTGTGCTAGAGATCATGAGATAAGAAACTGCGAAAACAACCCAGCTACAAGGAACTAAAAGGTTTGGAATGAGAGTGGATTTAATTTGGTGAAATAGAGGATGGGATGAGGGGAGCCCACAGTTTGCTTATTTAAAGTTTTTCTCTACATTTATGATACAGCAACCTTCCCCTGAATGCAAGCTTTATTAAAAATATCTGCACTAGTGAGAATGGAAGAAATTGCAATATACAGTGGTACCTCTGGTTACGAACTTAATTCATTCCAGAGGTCTGTTCTTAAGCTGAAACCATTTTTATCCTGAGGCGCACTTTCACTAATGGGCTTCCTGCTGTGTGCACCTCTGGCGCGCGATTTCCATTCGCATCCTGGGGCAAAGTTCACAGCCAGGAGCAGCTACTCCTGGGTTAGTGGAGCTCCTAACCTGAAACGTTCGTAACCAGAAGCATTCATAACCAGCGGCACCACTGTAATATGGAATTTAACAAAATTGGAACTGTGTGTGAGAGAGAAAGGAACTAGGGCGGGGCGGGGGGAAGAAACATTATGCTTTGAAAATATAGAGTAAAATCCTCTCTTACCTCCATCATCCACAAAGGAATGTGTTCAAGATAAGGACAAATGGCCATAAGATTCTACCTTCTTCTTTTTCTCTCTTTTGAAAGGCAGGTCATTCCCCCAGTGGAAATGGAGTTCCTCTTTCCTGGTTTATGGGCTCCTGGCTCTCGCTTACCTGCTGATGATCATCTTGCTGGGGCTACTGATCTCCAGTGGTAATTAAAGGACTCCAAAGTCTGAAATGCTCCAGCTTTATGACCAAATGTGGGGTTCCCACCCCAATTCAGTGAGAAACCTTTGAAAGCTGCTGGAAAACTGTTCAGAAAATCAAACTTGGGCTGGTGGGATGGCCAATGGCTGACTAGTGAGTCAAGACAGCCAAAATGGCCAAGGGGGGTGAGACAGCATATACATTTCTGCCGGATATTGAGCCAGACCAGTGGACCAACCAGCCCAGCACTGCCTCCTCCAGGGTCTCAGAGTTCTTTCCCTGGTCATGGGGATTCCCCCAGGCACCATGTAAATAAACAAAAAATATCCGGAGGTGCATGCAGGATATGTGCTCTTACTAATGTTCTCTGTCATTACTCTAACAAAAAATATTCTCCCCTCACCTCAATTCTGCTATTCATCCTAGGATGGAAGCTGTCCAAGAGGAATAGCAATTAGGTGTTGGGACTAATTTAATTTGGGATTTCCAGAATCTACCTGTCTGGTTTGTGACAAGTGATGCTGGAATGGGAGAAGAAGTCCCACCCTATCTCTTTTTCTCTCTTCTGAATTTCTAATATTCTGAGTTTACTTGTATTTCTTCTTACAATTTCAGGGTCAAAGTTTTTTTCAGAAATGAATGACATGCATAAACAGCTTGAAATGAGCAAGGAGTGTAAGTGTCTTGCCAAAACCACCTGGGGCTTGCGGCTGCAATAGCCTGGGGGAGGTGGCTCTCGCCTGGCATTACGCCAGAGAGCCTGTTTCCACTGCAGGAGGGGCATAATTTGTCACCCACAATCATTCCTCCAATGCCTGGCTTTAGAAGGCAGGTCTTCCTGATCAACGTGGCATCTTCCAGGGAAGCCTGAACTCCAAACACCTCATGGGCCAGGAACTCTGTGAGTCCCTTGAGCTGGAGGAGCTTAGAAACAGGTGTAACTCATGAGCTTGTGCCATTGATATGCTGCAAACCCTCACAACCCCAGCGCCCTCAGGATTACAGGGATGAAATGGGCTCGGCTGCTGCTGCTGCTGCTGCCTCGATGAGCATCGCTGCCCCCTAGAGGAGCAAATTCCACCTTAACTATCTACTCTGTGGAGAAGTATTTTCTTTGTCTCTCCTGAATGCTCCAGCCTTCAGCTTCACTGGATGCCCCCATCCAGTGCTATGCTGAGAGAGGGAGAAAAGGCTTCTCTATCCCCTAAAAAGCCCCACATTGTAACTGTTCTTCACAATTTAGAAAGCATGCCTATATGAAAACAGAAAGAGTCTCTCCTCCTGGTGGGGAAGGCTGTGGAAGGATGGCCGGAGCGTGCCCGCTCCACCTGCAGTCCATTGGGTGAAGCCACGGTCAGGGCTTTCATTCTGTGCCTTTTCTCTTTTGCCAGTGTTCCCATGTGGTTCCAGAAGCAGGGAATGGGAATACTTTGACGGTCGGTGTTATTACTTCTCCCTCCGGAAGGCTACTTGGCACACGGCTAAGTCACTTTGTGCAGAGCGCAATTCAAGCCTGGTGGTTATTCATGATGAGGCCAAGCAGGTAAAGGTGCTAGAATATTGGTCCTTGTATGTGTGTGGATATATTGCCTCTCAAATGAGTTCTTACTGACACCTCAAACTACGTTTCCCAGGGTCTTTTGGTGGGAAACTACATTTAACGTAGTAGAAATAAGACGCAAACGTCAAATTGAAACAAGGCCCCAACCACTCTGAGATGACAATGGTGAGGGATGCTGGGAAGCCTCTTACAATGACTTCAGGGCTCAGCTTCTCTTGTGGGCAGCTAGGGATGGGCAAACATGTCCATTTTGGTTTCTCTCAGTTCTTCATTATTGCCAGTCTTAAGTTCACTTCTCCACATTTCCATATCAAGTTTTAGAGATTTTTTAAAAAGATGTTCTCTTCCAGTGCAAATTTCCCCTAACATGCACATCTTTGGACTGCAATCTCCTCTAACATAACACATTTTTTATGTTATCTTCACTAATATGCATTTATATGCAAAGTCACCCTAGTGACACACATTACTCGGCTGGAAGACTGCATTGCAAAACTCAGAGAAATTCAAATCTTGAAGGATGGGGTGGATCATTCCAAACACAGGAAAGATATGCTATAAATAAGTCTGAGTATACAGAGTATAGCTGAGTATATTGTTTTGGAAGGTGCAAATTAGGTAAGATCACCTTTAAATGCAAGCTGAGCAGGCAAGGAGAAAAGCACAAAATACATCCTGCATGTGATGTTTCAGCTGCTGGTGATTGTCACAAATTTCAAGTTTTACCCAGAGAGAAAGCCCAGTCAGACATTGAGGACATTACAAAAATGAAATGTAGCACCAAAAAAGAGATGGTGTAAAATTTGCATATGCTCATTTCTGTGTGTGTGTGTGTGTGTGTGTGTGTGTGTGGACTTCAACTAGCCAGCTCTTAAAATAGAGAACTCTTTCAAACAGAGGACTGTTATCTGTAAAGTAGAAGATGTGGACACTCTGTAGATATTTAGTGGCAAGTGTGGCTCTGGAAATCCAGGTTTGCTGATCAAGATGCTTCCTGACTAGAGAAAGGCAAGACCAGAGCAGGGACTCATGCAGAGACACAGGGAACATCTTCCGCGCTGGCTTGCCCCATGACTGAGGGAGCCAGGGCTGCGCAATGTGCACACATCCCACAATGTGCTGACGTGTTGTGTCATTACGTGTTGCAAGGGACATGAGCATGTGAGTGAAATGAGCACATGGCGCAGTGTGCACACATAACAGCCACAGAATTTTGAGGGGACCTTCAGCCACCCACCCAACCCCTCAACCCTCCAGTCGCACCCCTGCAGGCAATGCTGCTTGAATAACGCCACTTCTATGAGTTGTGTGTGTTTGTATCCTTAAAACAAAGCCTGCCCTATCCTGTGGGGGGTTTCCTTGCAGAATTTCCTCGAGTCTCAAACCAGGAATGAACGCTATTGGATTGGACTCAATGACATCGATGAAGAAGGGGAATGGAGGTGGATTGATGGCACCAATTACTTAAGCAGCTACAGGTAAGACACAGGACTATGAATGCCGCAACCTCCCCAGCAAGCCAAACTTGGCAAGGCTCCTGCTTTGGCCATCCTGGGAAGGCAACGGAGACAGGAGCTTTGCTGAGCCCTGGTCTACAATGTTTTCTTTATTCCAGGAGTAGCTGATCAGGTCTTGGCCTGGTGAGCCCCCTTGCCCCCTTGCCCCCTTCTTCTGCCCCACTGTCTCTCACATACCCCCTCAGATGCTGCTGCCCCCCAAAGGAAGTGCTTCTCCCAGTGATTTCAATAGAAACTGCTTTCTCTGCAGAGGCGGCAATGCCCCAAAGAGTGGAGCATTTCCCCCTTCAAAGGGGCGCCTTCTAACCAACCACCAGCTGGTTTTTAGATAAAGGGAGCCTCCCTGGCACAGGGAGTACATATTCACAGGAGGCTGCGCTACACCAACCTTCTGTGAACTTTGATGGGTGTCAATAACCTGCTACCATTATGGCATAGGTCCCACCCACCTGTCAAAGCTGGCCTGCCGTGGGCCAGTGAGAAAAAGATCTGGCCTACTGGGCTAAAATGTTCCCCAGCTTATGCTAAGATGTGATATGAAGTCATACAGTGCAACTGGTTTGCTGAAAGTAAGCAGATCTAGGTCTTGTTACAGACCTTCCTCGGGTGGGATATGCCTTGAGCTCCCTGGAAGAAAGCTGGGTAGACAAGCCTACCCAGATAGCTAAAATGTTGATGTGCATTTTAATCTCTTTTGACTTTATTGCTGCTTTTATTTCTTTTTTGAATGTTGCAAAAAAGTTGTTTTTAACTATTTTCACCAATAATTTTATTGCTTTATTCTCTTAGTAATCTGTTTTGAAGTTATTTACAATCCAACAGTGTGTAAATTTTACAAAATAAATTAGCCAGTCACTGTGTCCCAGGGGCGCAGCGTCACTCCCTGGAGAGGCAGGTGGCTTGGGCAGGTGGAGCGCACCGCCTTCCTATGCCCCTGCTGTGTCAAAGCCACCAAAGTGCAGAATGGAAAATCTAGAGAGAATAGCTTGGATATACTTGGATTTGGGGAGCGAGTCGAGGATGGTGTGGCTGGAGAAGAACCATTTCCGCATTTTTCAATGTATCTTAAATCCCTTCCTCATTCAGGAATTGGAGACAGGGTCAGCCCAGTGACTATCAGAACAAGGAAGACTGTGCAGAGATCCATTTTTCTGGGGAATGGAATGATGAGAGCTGTTCCACTGCAAACTTATACATATGTGAGAAACCTTTGCCTTCCTGAAGAACCATCATGAGAAAACACACCAAGCAGCAAGAACGGGATTGCAAAGGCCTCTTCTTTCTGCAGAGCCTGCCTACTTCAAACCACTTGCTTTAGAGTGACAAGCACTGGCTCTACACTGATCAGTTTAATATTATTAGAACATTATTAGATATCTTGTTCTAAAACATCACAGGGCATACTTGCTAATTAAAGCATTTTTACCCTGGTCCCTCCCTCCCCCCCCCCACGTGAAAACGCTGCCTTCCTGTTGCTGGTTGCTCTGCGGTGCCCTCTGGTGTCCCATTTTAATAACGCATTATGGAATTTAAAAGTAGGACGTCATGTGTCCAAATACGTTATCAAAACCCTTCTCTAACATTAAAAACCATGTGTGTAGATCTGCCTCGGGACTCTACACAACGTGAATGAAGCTAAATTTAATTTTTTTAAAGGTTTGCAATCAAAATCGTAAGGCTGAAGTCAATGTAAATTCCTATTTTCAGGGTTTCTCTATATGTCACAGGACCTGTCTTTTGTAAAACTTCCCATCAGGGGAGGGAATGAAAGAAAAAGGAAGGAAAGAAAAATAAGGGGAGAGGAAGTTTACATGACCATACATTTAAAGCAAGGCCCCCCCCAAAAAATAATAATTCTGGGGGTTGGTGTTTGTGTAGGGTGCTGGGAATTGCAGTTCCCATGATTTCTTTGGCAGGGGAGAACTTTAAATGCATCGTGAGTATGCAGCCTGCATATGACCAAGGTGGGAGGATGGGGATGGGTGAGTGTGAAGGTGCATTATAGAAGTGTAGATTGGGGGCGGGGTATATGGACGTGTGTGAACAGGATGTCCATGGGGCATTGTTGTGTGCAGATGGGGTGTGAGGGTGTGGGTGACATCTGACCCCCTGGAAGGGAGTGAGTTGGACAAGCAGCAGCTCAGTGCAATTTTTAATCTATTCCTATTCAATGATGTTGAGTCTTGATTGGGGCAAAGAGAGATCTGAAATACTCTTGAGAATATTTCCGTGCCTGCCCAGATTTTCTAACTCACCATGAGTTGGTTTGGCTAAAAGCTTTCAGTGCAGTGTGAGTGACAGTCTAGACCAGTCTAGACCTTTTCAGCCGTGGGCCGGTCCATCGTCCCTCAGACCATGTGGTGGGCCAGACTATATTTTGGGGGGAAAATTAATGAATTCCTATGCCCCACAAATAATCCAGAGATGCATTTTAAATAAAAGGACACATTCTACTCATGTAAAAACACCAGGCAGGCCCCACAAATAACCCAGAGGTGCATTTTAAATAAAAGGACACATTCTACTCAAGTCAAAACAAGCTGATTCCCAGACCATCCGTGCGCTGGTTTGAGAAGGCGATTGGGCTGCATCCGGCCCCCGGGATTTAGGTTGCCTACCCCGGTCTAGACCCATAACCCTGCAGCAAAAAGTTTAAGTCACTACATGCAAATCTCAGCTTCAAATCAGCCTCAAACCTTTAAAAGTGTGCAAATTAGCACCAAACTAATTGCAGCTGGTTCACATGGCCATTGCAGATAGGGGTACAGCTGAAACAATTTGTGCAGAGAGCATTCTCAAGCAAATTCCTGCATATATACATAAACTGGAGTTGCAACCTGGATATGTGCTCTGCAATGGGCTACTCACATGCAGAATACACACAGCGTGCGTATTGTAATGCTAGAAGCCTCTGAGCCATTATGAGCAAGTCTGGGAGCCGGCAGCAGATTCAAGGTGGACCCTCTGGGTGCTATGGAGTGATCAGGTTGAAACTGCACATAGTTGCAGATCCCTCCAGAACAGCACATACATGGTGGGGAGGAGAAATTGTTCCATCTGGTAAGCAGAAATTCTTCTGCTGATGGAAAGATCAACTTAGCAAAACATTGAATTCTACTCGCTTTCTTGAGACTCGCATTGGATGTAAACCCATGGTAAACCCATCAGCCAATTTTTTCTCTTGCATCCCCTTGCTTGGTTTACTAACTAGCTGGATGAAGAGTTCTGGAGAACTAAAGAAAACCATGTGCTGTTTTATACTGCTGAACTATAGTCTGAGTAGGTATACGAAGGGTGCAAGGAAGCAGCAATTCCTGTCCTATCCTGGGTTTATGGCAATCATCACTGTTTCCATTCAGCTACAGTTTGGCTTCTACCAAAGCCTATGCTATCCATCTTGCTATCTGCTATGGCTGAAACTTACATTGTTACATTATGTAATTTATTTCAGTACAAGAGAATTGTCTAAAAGTTCTTTTTAAAAGGAATGTCACCTCTGAAGTCAGTGGTAGAAAAACAACTAGATTTCTCCTAGCTTTTCTAGAAAACAATCACAGCAAGAGACTAGAGATTTACTGCACATTTCATCTCCTGATAAAGTTTTCAATTTTCTGGGCATATTACAAGCCCATGCTATTTTCCCTAATATAATGTGTTTTTATATGCTTCTTTAAGTTCTTTTCATGAGTGTCTTCATTTTTATGCACACTTACACATTTGTAAACATAGTTTGGAGAACTGAATCACAAAATCCAGATAAATGCAAATTTTGAAAGATAGCAGTGTTTGGGTTCTCATATTACTTTGGGAAGTGTGGATTTGATAGATTTGTCTTGAAATGCCTGCCAAGTCACATTTCTCCTCCATCTCCTCCACATGACACACCACTGTGGGAACTCTGCATCTTTGGGTATGCCAATATTTCATGTATGTTACACAAAGAATGACTGTTATTAGGCAGCTGCCAAATACAGTAAATAAATGAGTCCTGGAGGGTAATGGGCACTGCCAAGGCATGACTCCACTGAGCCTCATACAAACTTGTAACATGGACTCCTCTTTCCCTCTGTATTCTTCTCCTTTTCCTCTTTTGAAAGATAGATTCCATTGGCCCCAGTGGAAATGGAGATCTGCTTTCCTGGGTATTCATGCTCTGAATGATCATTTAAACACTTGAATGCAGGAAAGCTATCCACCCTCGACAGAACGTTTTGCTCCACTAGGGGACAGCAGAAGCACAGCCAATGGCCAGAGACTGGTTCTAACCGAACTAGCGTCACGAGACAATGAGGTGCATCAAACCCAGGAATGCACTTATAGGGCTGCCACAGTTCAAAAAGTTTTAAGGGAAACCCGGAAGTTGTTGAGCCAAAAATGCCCCCCAAAATGTGATTTTTCAATTGACATGCCTAAGATCCAGGACAAAGCGCGCCACCTTTCGGAAATTCCCCCCAGGACGTCAATTCCTCTGAAATCTCGTTAATGTGTGGGAAGATCTGGACGTACGGCAACCCTAACTTCACATATCTGGTTTGGTTATCTGAATAGCAACTGCAGAGGGTTGCTATTCAGAGGGTTGCTGCTTTGGATTGGGACCATGACACAGGGGGAGGGAGGTGAATCCTTTCCCTTTGTACCTTGGCTCCGACATAGATCACCCCACTGCAAAGGAGGGCGGCATTCTTGAACATCTCTGTGGCCCTCTTGTCCCTTCTGAACCAGCAACACTGCACATTTCTCCATTACCACATTGGTATTGAAAGAAGACTCACAACTGAGCAAGTTGCAAGATGAGCTACACCTCAGTTGCCTTCCTGCTGCCACTTTGGTGCAGTACTATGTTGAGGCCTGCAGGGGGCAGAAGAACTTCGAGGCAGCACCATAACTGGCAGCAGATTGTGCTCCAAGACCAATCTTGATGCCTAACAGCAATGCCTCTCAAACTGGACAAAGCAGACAGGAGATTGTCAGGCTTTATTCCCACAATAAGCCAGATTTAAAGAGGTGCAGGCGGTTTCCCTGCACAGAGTGTCGCATGGAGAAGATCCATAACTGAGAAGATCCACTTGGGGGCCACCAAATTTTGGCCTCACACAGGGCACCATATTACAAAAGATTACCAACGTCTACCCCTGATGAAAGGGACGCGGGTGGCGCTGTGGGTTAAACCACAGAGCCTAGGACTTGCTGATCAGAAGGTCAGCGGTTCGAATCCCTGTGATGGGGTGAGCTCCCGTTGCTCGGTCCCAGCTCCTGCCAACCTAGCAGTTCGAAAGCAAGTCAAAGTGCAAGTAGATAAATAGGTACCGCTCCAGCGGGAAGGTAAACGGCGTTTCCGTGCGCTGCTCTGGTTCGCCAGAAGCGGCTTAGTCATGCTGGCCCGAGGAAGCTGTACGCCGGCTCCCTCGGCCAATAAAGCGAGATGAGCGCCGCAACCCCAGGGTCGGTCACGACTGGACCTAATGGTCAGGGGTCCCTTTACCTTTACCTTTACCCCTGATGAGCCAGATCTATATTGGGTAAGAAATGTGCAAAACAAAAAGTACACTCACTACTGGTGTTTAACCCAACAGAACCAGAGTAATCTATGAGAAGGTGAGCATGAAATAGTGGCATGATACAAGCAAAAGCCCGTTGGCTGCAGATCAGAGTGGTGCTCTGTTCATTTAGATGAGGGACTGGGAATGTGTGGCTATCCAGTTGTTAGACTCCAACTCCCATCAGCCCGAGGAAGCAAAACCAACAGTCAAGGATGATGGGAGTTCAACAACATCTGGAGAGCCATAGGTCTTCATCCCTAATCAAAAATCTGAAAGGTAACTCAAAAAAAAGAGAACACCTTAATTTAAGTACTGCATGAATGTACTCCAGATATTGGAGGGAGGTTTCTTGGTGCGAGGACTGAAAGTGTGAATAGAATTGTGCATTGCTGCCTAATTCTAAGATATAAGTTATAACCATCTTTTGTTGAGTAAAACTTCTGCATGCTAGGATTGTGCCCCAATAGGAAATGTGCCATTTTGCCACAAATTACCCTTTTAATATTAATTTTATAATAACACATAATACCAGGTGCTTGTTTATATCTCTTCTTACAATTTTAGGGTTGAAGCTTTCTTTGGAAGTGAGCAAGTTGCAGAAACAGTTTCAAATGAGCAAAGAAAGTAAATGTCTCTCCAAGATTCACTGGGAGCTTTTGGATCTAATTGTCTGGGGGACAGGAACAGAACTAAATTGGGGAGATCTCTTGAGTTTCCACTGCCAGAGGAGGGTGAGGAAAAGACTTAGCTCAGGGGCAGAATGCAGGCATTCTTTTTTAAAAAATATTTTTTATTACATCTCCAAAAATATTCCAAAACATTTATCATCATATACAAAAAAAAAAAACCCCAACAAAAATTTCTTCCCACCCCTCCTTTCCTGATATTTGTTTTTTTAACTTCTTTTTATTAGCTGTTTTACAATATATATGATTTTATTATCTAAACGTTTTAAAAATAATTACGTCGATACTTGAGAGAATGCCTTCTTTTGAAAGGCAAAAGCTCCTCAATGAGGAAATCAAGGTCAACCTTCCTGGTGATTCTGTCTTATCTGCCAATTCATAGTATTTGGGCTTGTGCTGCACAAATCAAATTCCTTTGAGAAGATTTCAGGGAGGATGTTTTTCTCTAAACAGATATTTGAATTTGCCTATGGAATGGTGAAAATCCAGAGGCTCTCCACCTCTGTGATTCCCAAACATCTTCCCCCACAGACCCCTTGAAAATTGCTGTGGGTCTTGGTGGACCACTTAAGGGTTTTTTTCTGCCTATTGTGGCAATTGTAAAGCACTCTGCTAGAAGCTATGTGATTTTACTTGCATATTTATTGCTCCTTTAATTTCTTATACTGTACTTAATTGTTTTACAATTTGAATAGAATTTGGGCTGTTTTTTGCTGGCCTGCCATGGGTCATCTATATGAAGCTCAGACCAGCGTTTGGGAACCCCTGGAAGAGACGGCCAACGGCTCGCTGCTGATGCCAACAACATCCAGCTGTTTCACTTACATTCAGGGAGGTGGAGACTATTTCACAGTAGGTATGTGGTCCATGAGCAAGTATTTTGCACAAAGATTGTGCCATATACAATCTCATTCCCCCCACCCTGCCCACTTTACAACATTTTCTTGATTAATTAACCAGCCGCTCACCCTGGTATCTTTTGTGTCTCAGGCAGAAGACTTACCTGCAGGTTTTGTCCACTAGTGCAAAAAGCACCTTTTGGGGGGAGCACCAATGGGAATGGCTTAAAGTTCCATCCCCAAGTGGTTTCCATCTGAATCAGCTCCCCCCTCACACACACACACCCAGGCAACTGAAAGAAACAGAGCCACAATCTTCTGTGCATTCAGAAGCCACTAGCAAGCTTGTGCAGGCAACATTTTAATTTGATCAATGGAGTGGCATTACCAATAGTGCAGGGCTGAAGATTTGTTATTGCTTTTTATCATTCTCCATAAACTGGGAAAAGAAATGGCAACAGAAAATTATCATAGGGGAGAGAAGATTTCAGTGAAATTTTCTATCCGTTGAGCACATGGTATTTGTTGCATTTATCTTATTTATTTATAATATTTATATATTTGTTGTTTAGTCGTTTAGTCATGTCCGACTCTTCGTGACCCCATGGACCAGAGCACGCCAGACCCTCCTGTCTTCCACTGCCTCCTGCAGTTTGGTCAAACTCATGCTGGTAGCTTTGAGAACACTGTCCAACCATCTCGTCCTCTGTCGTCCCCTTCTTCTTGTGCCCTCCATCTTTCCCAACATCAGGGTCTTTCCCAGGGAGTCTTCTCTTCTCATGAGGTGGCCAAAGTATTGGAGCCTCAGCTTCAGGATCCGTCCTTCCAGTGAGCACTCAGGGCTGATTTCCTTAAGAATGGAGAGGTTTGATCTTCTTGCAATCCATGGGACTCTCAAGAGTCTCCTCCAGCACCATAATTCAAAAGCATCAATTCTTTGGCGATCAGAATATTTATATATACTGCTATTCATAAAAAAAAACAGAGTGGTTTTACAACTATTATACATAAAACCATATAAAAAGTTAAATTCAGAAATTAGCTACTTATGGAAAGAGGTATACTGGACTTGGTCTCCTAGGGTAAACTAGCACTAAACTTTGGCATCAGTTTATGTGATGGGGGATCCAGAATTCCAGGGTCATACATTAAGGAAGCTGTCAACCCATTCCCCTTCCATTCACTGCAGTGTTTCTCTCTTGCAAATCACCCATAATGCCACTTTGCAGCTGTTCAGCCAAGAGGGAGGATCCAGGAGTCTGCGCATGCAACCCACCACTTAGGTCTGGCCTCTGCTACAAGAACATTCAATATATTTGATATGCATCTGTCATGGAAGCTTTAGTTGAGATCCGGCCTTGCAGGGGGTTGGGCTAGTGACCCTCAAGGTCCCTTCCAACGCTCCAGTTCGCTAGTTCTGTGAATAGAGGGACACAGTCTTCTTCTGGTTTGGGAGCTAGCTTTGCCTCAGTCTTGTGAGAAGAGGCCACATCTGAATCTATAATCTCCTATTGCCCATTTTAGGCAGTTTCCTACACCTTTGTGCTTTGTGTAGCTGAAAACATACTATAAACTTCATGAAATATTAGCACATATACATAGTACAGCAATAAAGCAGCAGCAGCATGTTCTTTATAGGGTTGTAAAACTCCTCATTGTATGTTACTGGTATTTTCAGTAGCATAAAAAGTGGTTTTTTGACATTACAGATGGAAATGCAAACCTTTGCCTTGACCTTGCCTCCCAGCCTCTCTGCTCTCTCTCTCACATGACTGGTCTCAGGTGCCCTGAGTAGTGAAGCATTGTGATGTCACCCTGTTTGCTATGTGGTGACCCATTATCTGAGACCATCCATGTGTCATGCTTCACTCCTGCTCATGCTAGGGTGGCCCTGTGTGTCCCACTTTACAGAGGACAGCCCTCTACCTTGAAAGGCTGTCAGACAACTGTCGGAAAGAGCTGTCTGCTCAAAGTCAGCTGGAAGGAAAAATAATCCTAGGAAGGGAGAGCAAGAATTTGCCCACCAAAGTTAGCAGCAACTGGACTGTAGACAGAACAGACCCACTAATCACCGGGTGGTGAGATACTTTGTATTTATATTTAAACGACAGTATTTCTTTTAAAAATTGCATTCCCTTTTACATCTGCTTACATTGAATGGCAGCTCTTTGAAATCCTGTTTTTGGTTTTCAACTACCTTGAACTACAGTGGTACCTCGGGTTAAGTACTTAATTCGTTCCGGAGGTCCGTTCTTAACCTGAAACTGTTCTTAACCTGAAGCATCACTTTCGCTAATGGGGCCTCCCGCTGCCGCGATTTCTGTTCTCATCCTGAAGCAAAGATCTTAACCCGAGGTACTATTTCCGGGTTAGCGGAGTCTGTAACCTGAAGCGTATGTAACCAGAGGTACCACTGAATTTGGGATCATCAGCAAACTTGGCTCCTTCATTGCTCACCCTTAACTCCAGGGGTTATGTCAGATCAATTGTGAGCTGGGGGGTATGCAAAGGGGCAGGCTGTGTGCACACTATACTTTTAAAGCACATTTGAAGCACATTATTTTACTCATATGGGCACTCTTAGTTTACCCCTCACAGAGTTACAGTTCCCATCAAGGCTTAACAAACTACAGTTCCCAGAATTCTTTAAGGGAAAGAATGTGCTTCAAATGTGCTTTACAATTATGGTGTGAAACATGCTTAACCCAATGTCATGTAAGAATAAATGTTTGGGGGTTTTTAAGTCTTATTTATTATTTAAAAAACCAGTCTTCATCATAGCTATCTCCTTCTAATCTAGAAAACTGCTGTTTTTCAGCTTGTGTTATTAGTCCTGAATAAAATATTTTTCTCTGGTTATCTGCTGACATCCTTTCAAGCAAGCACAGAGTTCCAGGTTCATTTCTCTCTTTTCTCCACCAACGTTCTCTCAAAGTAGCCCTGCCATTCATTCTACCCCGTCAATCAAGCACACATGTCAAATGCAGCCCTTTACAAAGGGGCTAATTGAACAGCTTCTATGTTTTTAGTTTTGTATTATGCATGTAATTACTATATTAGTATCAGGCTGCCTGATAATGTTCTCTGAGTGAGACACAAACAGTAAATAGTAAAATTCAACTTCATAAAATAACTTTTAACCTAAACTTTTCCAGCAGAGAGAATAAAACCAGGTAACTTTTTAAAAGGACACAGCACATAAACAGGAAAACTATCATATCGGATTGTCTTACATTAATTGCATTATTTTACAAAAACACAAATACGGGTTTTATTATACAGTCTCAGACCCAGTATCTTAGCTCTTGTAGTTTCATATACAAGTTAGGCGTCAACCCTGGGCACACTGGCCGCAGAGGAAGCGCCAGAAAGCACCGTGGAGCTTGCTTCTCTTTGGGAGGCGTATATAAGATTGCCACCCCCACCCCCTGCTTTCTAATGTACTCCCTTCTCTTAATGCCCTCCCAAATACAGTAATTACATAGCTAATGATTTTTAAAAGCAGGGCTTTTTTTCAGCTGGAGCTCACCAGAGCTCAGCTCCAGCACCTCTCAGGTGGGGGCGATTGCCATTCTAACAGAACAAGGGAGAAGTTCGTGGTGAGCTCCAGTACTTCTTTTTCTAGAAAAATAGCACTGGTTACAAGTATAAGAGTCTCCCAAATACTACTTTATAGAGTCCTCAGTTTCATTCAAAACTGATGCAATGGACATGTCTATTTCTAAGCTAAAGACAAAAAATATGTATGATTTCTTTGTTTACACCTTCTGGATACCATGCAGAAAGGCCTAATGGCCTGCTAGACTCATCTCCCGAGTAGCAATTGCCCACTCTCATTATTTAGCTTTTCTAATGCTCAAATAGTAAAGTCACAACATGTGCATGTCTGCTGAGATGTTAGTCCCACTGAGGTTGGACTAAACTCCCAGACAAGCATGTGTCAGATTGCAACTTCAGTACCTTATGGTGGTATTCCTCCCAAAAACTGCTTTTCTGATGTCTGGAGCTCCTGTCCATTATTGCTTCGAGAGGTCTCCTTATTTCCCCTACATACCAGGGGTCACATGAAATAAACACCACATGCTGAGTGGCAGGTGGAAAATGCCAGGCAGTGGAGGCCTGGGCAGGTTCACGTAAAACTAAGCTCTTGTATACTAAATGGAGCTTACTCACTTGCAGAAGTGTTTCGGATTGCAGCCTCAATTTTTATCCTGTGCTGGCTACAAGATTAGTAAATATGTCGCTTTACAGGTTAATTGACAGTAGTACACACAATTCCAACATGAGAATTCGCCCTGGGGAGGAATTACTCCAGTCAATACTTCCACTTGCTTTTATTTTCTCTGAAAGAAGGAGCATAATGGCCTAATGCAAACCCTTCAGGTTCTGAGTTTTCTTTTCTTTTTTTAATTTTTTAATTAAATTTTATTTAACATAATTATTACAAAATACAAGCAAAATACATACAAATACATACATACACATTTTTTCAGATAAGCAGGTTTCTGATAGGCTGCCATGGATGTCTAATCAGAGGGCGAATGCTTACAAAATATGTCATTTTCACAGCACTGTTAACATTATCAAAAGGACAGCTATGTGTTGATGTCCTGAGAACTTTTCATCTGGTCTCTCAGTGCCAATAAATCCTCCTTCCTCTGATCGTCCTTTGCACGGCCCTCACTATAGTTCTTAGGCAGCCACTGAAAGTAAAGTTAACTTTGTCTCAGAATTAAAATCTGAAACGGTGGTACTATCACTATCCCATCCATGGGCGTAGCCAGGGGGCAGGGGGGCTGCTGCCCCCATCAATAAAAATCAATAAAAATACATAGCAAACTGAGGTTCTTCCCCCCCTCCAACAAAAATCCTGGCTACACCCACGATCCCATCCTAGTATGTATCAACTGCCCATATGGTGAATTGTCTATAATTTATCAGTGGGTTTTCTTTAAGCAGATGTTGTAAATCTCTCGTCTGCACTTTCCTTTATTATATTTAAACAAGTATTCCTGGGGATGAATGGGATGCGCAAGCACATAGGTAGACATTTGAATAATTTTATAGCACTGCAGTTTGACTGATCAATCAGAAATCTTTTGAACAATTAGAAAGATGCCTCTAAACAGGCAGCAGCATTTTATAGTTATTTATTTGTAAAGGAAGTACATAAAAAGAAGAGAATCTGAATGAACAACTTGGGGTGGGGGGGACAGAACACTTTGCCATTTGATTCTAAGTTAAGACCTGAGAAAATGCTTTAAAAGTAGCACACCACTGGTATTATTTGCCCAGTCAGTTTAAACAAAAGTATTTATAATACTTCAATAATTTGTTGGTGGGAGTGTAATTTACCCGGGTCCATACTGCACATGTGGTGGCATGGCCCATATATTCTCTTTGGGGAATTTCCCCCCAAACTATCAAATCCTGATCCAAAATTGATCTCTTAGTCGTCTCCTGGGGGGGGGTAGAGTAGAGTTAGTCAGGTGTGGAGGAAGGGTGCTTTGCAAAGGGGCTGGCAGGTAGGCAAAGCTGGCAAGCAGAGTGGACCAAAGCTGCAGCCCCTAGTATAAATAAATAAGTAATATTCCCAACTTTGACCTGGGGCTGCTTATAATATATTATACAGTCGTGAAAACCAAACAGTTGCAATTCCAAAAAGTGCAAAACCTTCCAACTGGAACAGAACAGAATTGATTCAGTAGAAAGGTGTCTTCCACAAAACAAACACCTTAACTGTCAAGGGTAAAGAGCATATATGAAAAAAGATACAATAAATATGTTGGACGCCCCTCTAGGGGGAGGGAGTTCCTTCCTGCCACAGCCTAGAAGTTCCACAATTTTAAGCAGGAGGGAGAGCAATTGTGGTTGCTGTGCACATTGCAGGATTGTTGTGCATGCATATGGCTTCTTTCCCTACACAGAGATTATTTTAGGAGCAACACATTGTATCAGGAAGCATCGTCTGCCAAAGTAATGAGTATCTATCTATTTACTACATTCATGCGCCACCTTTCCTCCAAGGCACTCAAATCAGTGTACATGAATCTCTTCCTCCTCATTTTTATCCTCAGAACAACTTTGTGAGGTAGGTGAGGCTGAGAGGCAGCGACTAGTCCAAGGTCACCCAGCAAGTTCCATAGATGAACGCTGGCCTTCCAAGTGCTAGTCCAATGTTTTCACCACTGCACCACGAAGGAAAGGAAATAACTCTGTGTGCGATCAGGAGGCACAGCTCCAGGTACCAGAATTTTCCACCGTATTGTTTTCCTCCTAGTCATAAAAGCAATACCCCCATCTGTCAGAATATCAAAGCGAGAACAATACTAAACTAATGGGCATGTGCCTTGTAGGGGGCAAGGGGGCAACCACCCCCACTCAGCCAGGGGGCTCCCAGAGTGACCTTGGGCCAGGCACTGCATCTCAGCCTAACCTACTTTGCAGGGTTGTTGCGGGGGCTAAAGGAGGAGGCAGAGAACCACGTGTGCCACCTGGAGCTCCTTGGAGAAAAGGCTGGGATACAAATGCAATTAATACAATAAAATAATAGAACAGTCTTTACTTGTTTGAAACGGTCCCCGCTGAGGAGGATGGAAGCCTAGTCCTTAAACTGTGCCTGCTGATTCCAAACACACCGGGCAGCCGTAAAGGGAATATTTATCCCTGCTCTCCAAGGGACTTACTCCTAAGTAAGCGTCCACTGCTCTTCAGCCTGAAGCAGCAAGGGGCGGCTTTGAAGGACTGCCCTCCCTTCCTGATTCCTAGGAATGACAAGTAGCGCGGGGGGGGGGCAGGTTCAAGTGGGTGGAGGTCGCCCATACATCCCTCCTGGCGCGCCCCTGGATGTGTCTGGAGTATTCACTTTCATTTCCACCCCCCTTGCAAGCTTTAGACAATAGGGGGGACCCCCACCCCATCATCTTCCCCCTCCCCTCCTCCCCCTCCTCCCTCTCCTCCTCTCCTTCGCAGCCGAAGGCAGAGCGGACGAGCAGAGAGGGAAACCAGCGCCGGAACCGGGTAGGTCGCGCGTTTGGCCGAGATCGAGAGCTTCGCGTCCGGGTGGGGGCTCCGAAATACGGAAAGCCGGGGGGGGGGCAGAAAGAGAGAGGATCTCCCGCGGTTTCGCCTCCAGGCTGTTCCTCGCTTCCCTCCCCCCCCTCCCCCGCCACTGGAGCGGTTCCTTACGAGAGAGCCTTGGAAATCCTTCCCTAAGAACGGGGCGAGGGTTCGAGTCGCGTAGCCGGCCTGCTCATTTAGAAGAGCGGTGGGGGGGATTGATCTGGCTTCCACCCCTAAACTAAGTCCTCACCCACCCCAGAGTGTGCACAGCCTCTGGGTCTCTCCCCGCCACCTCCCAGGGGGGACCCCTTCAATCGACGGGAAGTTTTCTTAAGGCTGGGCAGGGAGCCCTTTAGATTGCACCTTTCGTTGAAAGGGGATCCCGTTGAACCGTGCGCGCCTCCTCTCCTAGCGCAGGATCTCGGGGTGATCCAAAGCGGCTGACTGGCAAGAGGCTCCAGGCAGAGGAGCGCGCGCCGGCAGAATTCGCTGTGGGACTCACCGCCACAAGGTCCGGCGACAGCCACGCACAAGCTCGGGTGGCTTTTAGAGGACTGATTCGTGGAGTATGAGGCGTCTCGTCGGCTGCTATTCAGCATGGCTTATAGGCTGTCGCCAGGGTCAGAGGCCGCGCTCACTGAGTTGCAGGCGGGGCAGGGGGAGGCAGCAGCAGGAAGAGGCTTTTGCGCTGGGCTCTTGCCCGCGGTGAGCTGCCCAGAGGCGCCTGGTTGGGCTCTGCGACGCTGCGCTAGACGGACCTTTGGGCCTCCTCTTCTGTGCGGCGGTTATGGAGTTTGGGGCGTCCTATTTGGCAGGGTGGGCGCGGGGAGGCAGGGGAGAGTTGCAGCACAATCCTAAGCACGCTTCCTCGGAAGGAAACCCTGCACTTTTCAGTGGGACTTTTTCTCGAGGAAGCGCGCCAAGGAACGCAGCCTTCCCGACCTGTCCATTTAGCGAATTAGGCTCGCTTAGGCTTGGTTGGGATTTCACATTAAGTTTGCCTTCCATCCAGGTGAGCATCAACTTCCAAGCAAGGGGCACCATCTACCCCATAGCTTGACGCGTCCCAAGTCCCGTCGGTTTCAAGGGGTCGGGGAGGCGAGCGCTTCAGCCTCTCGTCTGGCAAAGCACGAGGACGTGGGAAATGGGTTCCGTTCGGGTGGATCGTGCCCCTGGTTTGGGACGGAAAGGAGTCGGCTGGAGTGGACTCAGCCTGCTGAGCGTCTGCTAAGCGTCGAGGGTGATTTGTGTGAGAAGCTGCAGGGAAGGAGGACTGAGTACCATCCGCATGAGGTCGAGACTACTTGGGGAATGAAATCGAGAGGGAGAGAGAGAGAGAGAGAGAGAGAGAAAGATGGGACTTGCTTTTCACTGCTTAAAGAGTCCTAGCGAAGGGCACTCCTCCTCCTCACTTCCCAGACGCTTCTTGCCAGAGCAAAAACCGCGCTGTCTTGGGGTGGGGGGTCTATATACATACGATATATCATATATGTGACAAAGATCGGTATGTGACCGTCAGAGGAGCAACTGTGCATTGGCAGAAGTCTCTTTCAGTGAGTTTCTGTTTGCAACCGGGACAAATATTATTCCAGGGGCACGAATCGCAGACTTCTATTTATATCGCTGGATGCATTAATTTGTCCTAAAGTCATTCTCGCAAATAACGCAAGCATTTCGATATATAGTATACCGTTTGTTTGTGTGTGTGTGTGTGTGTGTGTGTGTGTGTGTGTGTGTGTGTGTTGTTGCGTGACTTGCTTGCGTGTCGCTACTGTTCTGACGGACCGGCTACTAAGCTGCCCGTGTCTTTAGGTAAGGAAGGTGAGACTTGGCGCTACGACCCTTCAGTCATCATCCAAAGAGTTCTGCTGGCGCAAGGGTGTGAGAGAGAAATCGGATATATTATAAACGATGAAAAATACCGTATAGCAGCGCGCGCACGTGTGTTTGCATACCTGTGCCCGATTTTCTATGGCAGGGCGCTTCTCCACGTTCCTTCGCTTCCTGGGTTGGTCGGTCCCTGGATGCGCATCGGGACAAACAGGGAAGTTGCAGCGCGCCAGGCTCCTTGTCGGACGGGCTCCTGCGATGTCGGTTATAGTTCTTTTAACTTAGATTTGAGGCGCATGTTGAGGACCAGTTGCGCATCCTCGTGTACTTAGTTCAGTTTATATCGCGCAGACAAACCCTGAACTCCTCGAGGTTGAGGACGCTGCGTGCGCTTCGACTTAGGACTTCGTCGCTGCGTCGCCAAATAGGACCCTAGTAAAGTTATGTATCATGCAAAATACATACTGCTATGCCTTTATGACGCACCTTCTAGAGTGCTGGTAAAAACAAAATCAGGGCACGATCCAGCCAAATTTATGCCTGCTCCTAAGCATACTTGCCTCGGAGTAAGTCCCAGGGAACTCGGCGGTGCTTTTTTCGGCTTATGCACAGCTAGCTGCACGACCCGGAGGCATTTTAAAAATCTAAAAAATCTCCTTGAAATAACTGAGAATGGCCTGGCTATTATGATTTCATATTTGAAGAAGCATAGGCGGGTTCACATATATCACCTATTGTTCACACAGCGTCCGCGTCAACGGGCTTTCATAGCGTCCCAACGTGCAAAAAGAAGGATTCTCCTGCAGCGAGAAGCCTACGCTCCGCGCGCGTAAAAATTGGGTAGCTTCAATATGTGGATAAAAGTTTGCCACGATTTCCTAGTATTCTATAGGGAATGTTATGTCTCAAGCCCCATCGATATTGTCTCTGGAAGATACAGTGATCGAAAAGGAATTTATTTTCAAGAGACATCACAATTCTAAACACATTGTTTTACTTGTAAGTAAACTCTAGTCAAGTGTGATTTTTTAAAAGCCACCCACTCTTTCCGGCCTCCACCCCTCCCTTGATAAACTTGTAGGCAGATTCCAGAACAATACATTGTGCGAGTCTGCTCTGGGGAGAACAATTCTGAAGACCTGCGCAGCGATCTGATACGTACTTACCTGCGAGTAAACCCCGAACCCAATGGGATTTACATCTGGTAAAACATGCAAATGCTTATCCTGTTAACCGTTTTGTTGTGTGATCTGAGTTCTGGAAGTCTTAAAGTCATCAGGCGGCTATTGAGATAAATGGAATTTACTTGCAACTAAATGTAAATGATCGGCTCGTTAGACTTATTAAAACTTAATAACCTCGGTGTTAGACGCAATTGAAATCCATCAGCCTTGTGCGAAATATATTTAGCATCCGGATGTGTAGCAGCTTAAAGCAGTGCCGCCACTGATGCACAGCTGTCAACTTTTCCCCTTTTTTAAGGGAAATTCCCTTATTCCGAATAGGATTCCTCGCAAAAAAAAGGGAAAAGTTGACAGCTATGCATTGATGCCTTTTGACTCCGCTGGGTGTAAAAATATACAATGGTTTTAGAGTGCATTGGTCAATTAATTTTGGCAAGCCCCTAGGAAAGTCGACAGGTCAAGGTTTTGAATGTGATCTTTGAATGAAAAGCGGTATATAAATTTAATAAGCTGTTATTATTGTTTTTCTTATTATTAATTTATTTGCTTGTTCCTGTATTTTGCATGAAGTTTTAATTTATTGTAATTATCTTTTGCTTGCTGTTGTGTTCTATATAAATGTTTGTAAAGTGAAATTTAGTTATTTGTATCTTACAAGAAACTCAAGGTTCTCCTCCTCCATTTTATCCTCACGCGATCACATCAATCCTGTGAGATAGTTTAGGCGGAGAGATTGAGACTGTCCCAAAGTCACCCGGTGAGCTCCATGGCGCAGTGGAGATTTGAACCCAGATCACACACCTCCGCACCCGCTTCAATGCACCACGCTAACCACTGCACTAAGCTATTTTATTTTTGCTTCCTCCCCCTCTGGAGCCTTTGCTGAAAGGCGATTTTATAAATGTGAAAAATATGTATATATACAAGGGGGGGGGGATCAGTATTTTCCTTTAGGTTCATTGTGGGCACGGACAGTTTGAAAACAACAACGTGCTTTATGTAGCGTAGACAGACCCACAAATGTATTAGTCTTTTAAGGTGCCACTTTAAGCATTATATTTTTCACAGCATGTCTTAAGTTAAGGTTGTCGAATCCGAACTGTTACTTTAAAAAAATAAACGAGAACCGTCAGCCCTTTCGAGGAAATACATAAAAATATTGAAATGCCGCATCTCAAAATAATAACCTACAAAGTGTAACCCGCGTCGAAGCACAGAAGTAACTTTTAAAACCCCCAAAAAACATCGGATTCAAAAAGTTGGTGCTTAACACAACGTATAAAGCGGGCTGGATAACTAATACAAAATGAAAAGGAACCTAGAGGCAATTTCCCCCTATTCATGACAGAAAATGCCCATCTAATTGAAATGTACGGCGCAACCTGTCTAGTGTCAACGTCTACTCAGAAGTAAGACCCACTGAGTTCAGGAGAAGTTACTTTTAAAGTAAGCGTGTATATATAAATATGACCTCAGCCTCAGAAAAACTGGAGAGGAGACGAGAGAGGAAACAGAGGAAAGCTTCTCGTTTTCCTAAAGACTCACAAACGCAACAATTAATGTTCAAGATCTCGCATCGCTTCCCTTTGGCCGAAGCGCCTGTTAGCGCAAAAGCCTTGGAACAGAATCCATTCTCTTCTCCAGCCGTCCTTTTGGGGGGCGAATAGAGCACAGAGTTGTTCCAATTATTGTTGGTTGGGTTTGCTGGGGAGGGTGGAATTTCCCAAGCCCCTTTCCAAATAATATACACTTTAAAAACAGGCGGACCAAAGAGAGAGGGGGAGATTAAATTGCGCCCCAAAGTCGAGCATTGATGAGACCCGGGTAGCAGCGCCTCGGCCGCCGCCAGTCTCGGAATTCGACTCCTCGCCGCCTCGGAGGAGAGACGCTCGTGGAAACGCGGCTCTTCTGCTTGGTCCGGGCAGGCGCCGGGCCATCGCGGCGAGTCGGCGGAATGCAAGAGCCTTCCTTGGCCGCCCCACTCCCCCCCCCCGCCCGCCTCCCCTTCTAGCTTCCTCCCTCTCGAAATGAAAAAAAGGAGTCAGGATCCGGACAGGTGGGCGGGGGCAGGCCGGGGTCCCACAGGTCGAAGCGGCAGGCGAGCGGCCCTAGATCACAGTTTCTTTCATCACGACCAAGGTACCTGCTTCGGACACCCGCCCCCACCAGCCCCGTTCTCTGTGTCCCAATCCGTTTTCCAACTCCTCCTCTGCCTGTTCCTGAGACACCTTGGTCCCCACAGCTCTTGCTTCTTCCTGTCCAAAGCAGAGGAGGAGCAAAGTAGGATACCCTACCAGGTACTGAATGACAGGTAGAAGTAGCTGGTCACCAGAATCTGATGATATAAGTTTATTTACTGAGAAGTAAACCTGCAGAGGATTATAGTCTAAGGGCACAATCCTAACCAAGCCTATTTGATAGAAAAAGGCGGGAAAGGGTTTTGTTTTGTTTTAACTTGGACTGCAAATGGAGAGAGACCTTTTGTTCTTGTCTCCATGCAGTAGACTTAAAGTCGGGATGGAGAAACAGTGGCTGGCCAGATGTTTCTGGACTCCAGCCCCCATCATCGCTGACCTTTGGTCCTGCTGGTGCAACAGCGTCTAAAGGGTCACAGGCTCCTGACCCCTCAGCTATAGGCTCCCATGTTGGCTGCTGCAATTAAGGCATTCCCTACTTCTAGCATCTCTCTAAATTGGGGTGTTAAGAGCTACTAGCTGCACTCCTGAACTTTTCTCCCATTGCCCTGCCAATGATATCTATGCACACTGCTTAATTGCGGAAGTGATTTCTAGGGACTAGGCAGCGAGCAGGAATGCCAATGGCAAAATCTGGAGCCCGTCACCCTGCCATGTTTCCCATGCCCTGCTCTTAGTCTTAGAGCAGGAATTTGCAGCTTGAGTGCTGGGATTAACTACTCCTGAGAGTAATGAGAATTAAGAACATCAGTGAGGAATAAGCTAATCAAATTAGGAGAAACTCCTGTAAGCAGCTCCACTCACAGAGAAGGCCGCCCCACGGTATCTCTGTGTGATTTACTGTTCAGGCCAGTCTCCTTCCAGTTAGGTTCTGTGGTCCTTTCCCTGCATCAGGTGTCACACAGGAACTTCCAATCATTCCCAGCACAGAGACCCAGGGGATGTCCCTCATTTCTCAGAAGCTAGAGAACCTGATCTAGGGAAAGGAAACCCCCCCACCCCCCTTTGGAAGGTTTGCCCTATGACCAGATCAGATGGTTGTGCTCTTATTTCCCCAGTCATCCATCCACATAGTCACAGCCTGGCACTCACAACATAGTGCATCTCCTGCTTCTAATGGAGACACCAGCAATCCTCACCTACAACTCCAGCCTGACTGGGCAACCTCTCCTATAGCCTGATGGCTCACCTTGGCTTACTTTCATTTGTCATAGATGGAAGCAGTTTTGTCTTAGAGGCTTTGGTGTGGCCATGGGTGTCCAGACCTTAACCCTCAGATAGAATCCACTTTGAATGCCTTAAAACACTGGGCATGTGCAGAGTGTCACCTTCCCCTTACTGCTGATGGCTGACTAAATTCAGCTCCTTCACACGTGGGGTTAGGGGACTGATTTTCAGGCAGGCTGAAATCCCAGCAGCATTCCACTTTTAGAATAGCTTCATATTGTTATGTGCCACCCCAATTAGCATTTATTAATTTCTAGGGTTTAGCGCGCCCCCCCCCACACACCTATAACAATATTTTCATTTTGGCAGCCCTTATTCCTGTGCCATTCGCTGTGGCTGACATTTTGAAGAGGCTGTAATGTTAGGAAGGGAAGAACCAGAGCATGGATAAAGAAGATATTGTGTAACGCTAAATTCATTTGTTAGGTCTGTTTTACTTCCTTGGTTTTACCTCAGAAAGCCTGATATCCAGATTGTCATTTGCTTTTGCATCCCACTCTCAGTAATTCCCAAGGCTGTAAAGTAGGCTATTATAATAATTAGGGTTCCCAACTTTTCAACTAGCTCCTGTAGCTATGTTTTTAATAGCAGCTCAGTCTGTGGAAATGAGCAGGTAATATGTTTCCTTTTGCTCTGAAAATCATCTCCAGCTAGTTCCTGCTGATCAAGCTGCTGTTGGCACACCTAAAAAGGTTGTCTGAAAAGTTGACAAATAATCTAATTATAACCTCATATTACCATTTATTGCACCAGACACACACCTTAGGCTAGGAGAAAGTAGCTTGCTTGGTAAAGGTAAAGGTAAAGGTAAAGGTAAAGGTAAAGGTAAAGGTAAAGGTAAAGGTAAAGGGACTATTAGGTCCAGTCATGGCCAACTCTGGAGTTGCGGCGCTCATCTCGCTTTATTGGCCGAGGGAGCTGGCGTACAGCTTCTGGATCATGTGGCCAGCATGACTGAGCTGCTTCTGGCGAACCAGAGCAGCGCACGGAAACGCCGTTTACCTTCCTAACAGAGGGGTACCTATTTATCTACTTGCACTTTGACATGCTTTCGAACTGCTAGGTTGGCAGGGGTGCGGACTGAGCAATGGGAGCTCACCCCATCTCGGGGATTCGAACCGCCGACCTTCTGATCGGCAAGTCCTAGGCTCTGTGGTTTAACCCACAGCGCCACCCGTGTCCCTAGCTTGCTTAAGGCCATCTATTAAAGAAGGAAATGCCTCTGAGTTTGTGCAGAATGCCTTTCTCTCCCTAATGAAGAATCACAGTTAGCATTCACACATCTGGCATGAGCAGGAACCATTTCTAGGTATGAACCCACAACACGTATCTGTTTTAAGAAGCTAAAGCCAGATCTCGGGTCCCAGAAGTCATGTAACTAGTCTTTCTGGCAAATGTTTGTGGAGATGCAGTGGGTAACTTCATGTGCTGAAGAACTAGAACAGTCTGGCAAGTGCATTGCTCAAATCTCCCCTTGGCCATAAACTCACAAACTTACATATTTATGTGCAAAGCTACTCAGAGGTAAGGCCCACTTTATTCTGTGGGACTTCCTCCCAAGTGGGTGGGTATACTCAATCTCCTTGAGTGGCCATTCACTATCTCTCAGCCACAATCAAAAATATGGGGGTAAGAATTCACAGGAAAGTTACAAGGACTATTGACGTATTTTTATTTGTTTGTATATTTCTGACCTTTCTATATTCCCCATCAACTAAGTCCTCTGGGTGGTTTACAAAATATTAAAAATAAGTTTTAAAAATACAGACTAAAAATAAAAAATAAACCAGTATCTCTATATTGCCAGCATAAAACTACCGCAAGCAGAATATAAACCAATACAGTGGTACCTCAGGTTACATACGCTTCAGGTTACATACGCTTCAGGTTACAGACTCCACTAACCCAGAAATAGTACCTCGGGTTAAGAACTTTACTTCAGGATGAGAACAGAAATCGTGCAGCGGCGGCAGCAGGAGGCCCCATTAGCTAAAGTGGTGCTTCAGGTTAAGAACAGTTTCAGTTTAGAACGGATCTCCAGAACGAATTAAGTTCTTAACCTGAAGTACCACTGTATAAAACTAGTCTAAAAACCAGCAAGGGAAAAAATACTAACTGGCATATTAAAAGGCATGAATGGGGGGCGGGGGAGGACCATAACGGAGGCACCAGGTGAGCCTTTCTGGGGAAGGCATTCTATAACTGGGGCACCGCTATGCAGTGGTACATCTGGAGCTGGACCTCTGGGCTGAAATCCAGAGCCCACAGTCCAGAGGGTGGCAAATGGCAGGGGGGGCAGCAGCAAACAGGCACGAAACCAGCATCCAAGCTGTCATGAGCATACCATGGCCCAGTGAGGCTGATTTTGGGGGCCATAGCATCTTTTTTTCTTTTCTTTTTTGTAAGCCAGAGATGGGGGGGGGGGCTGGCCAGGTATGTACATGGTTACATATATTTTTTAGTTTTCCCCCATTAAGGATATCATTTTCTATAATAAAATGAGGTATAAAGGTAAAGGTAAAGGTACCCCTGACCATTAGGTTCAGTTGCAGACGACTCTGGGGTTGCTGCGCTCATCTCGCTTTACTGGCCGAGGGAGCCGACATACAGCTTCTGGGTCATGTGGCTAGCATGACTAAGCCGCTTCTGGCGAACCAGAGCAGCACACAGAAACGCCATTTACCTTCCCGCCGGAGAAGTACCTATTTATCTACTTGCACTTGACGTGCTTTGAAACTCCTAGGTGGGCAGGAGCTGGGACCAAACAACAGGAGCTCACCCCGTCGTGGGGATTTGAACCGCCGACCTTCTGATCAGCAAGCCCTAGGCTCTGTGGTTTAGACCACAGCGCCACCCGTGTCCCTAAAATGAAGTATATTCCCAAGTAAATATGCACAACTCTAATTTATTCCTTTAGTCTAAAAGATGGTGCTGTTAAGTGAGTTTAAAATGGGAAACTGCATAAGTTCAGAGAGAATTCATTTTTCATCAGGGTTGGCAAACCATTGGGGGGGGGGACTAATCATACCAGGAATATAGGAGCAGTTACAAAGCATGGGGTAACTGGGGTAAGGGGAAAAAATAAATGTTAATTATGTACTGAAATAATACAAAGGAGGACCCCAGAAGTCCACGAAGCCTAGCATCTAAAACCATCAATTTGTGCATCAGTGCCACCACCCCAAAGGCCCTGTCCCCATGCCCACACACCACCAGGCAGGGGAACCTCAAGGAGGGCCTCTGGTGAAAGTCTTGAGTATGTATATGCAAGAGATAATCCTTCAGGTAACTTGCTTAGGGCTTCGTTTAAACATTGGAGGGCTCAGGGGGTTGGACTCGATGGCCCTTGTGGTCTCTTCCAACTCTATGATTCTATGATTCAGAAAAGAACTGGAAGACAATGTAGATGATGAAGCCCGGGTGTGATCATATCTACCAACAGATGGAGTGGGGGGGGCATAGCTGGTCTACTCTTGTGCTTTTAAGGTGCAGAAGTCAGCAGGTGATGCTTTTCAGAGCACAGTGATTAATACTACCTACGGTTAATATTGATGGCTGATAGCACAGAAGCAGCAGCCGCTGAAACAGTTGGCAACCCTATAGTGAGATGGCGTACATGGGGAGCTGTAAACACTCTTGTGTGCCATCAGAGGCACAGACGTCCCACTGCCAGAAAAAATTAAAAATAGCAGCCCCACTCCCAAAGCCAGAACAGTATCCAAGAAAATACACTGAGAGTACCTAGCCCTTTTTGGAGTTACTTTGTTGGCAAGCACTTGAGAAGGCAGAAGTTGGATCTATGCAGAGCAAGAATTCCCAGTTCTCCTTCATCCTGCTTGAGTCCAGCTGCTGCCTGCCAGCCTCCCTTGCCCTTATCTCTCTCTCTCTCTCTTTTATGACTAACTAAGTCTCTCCTCCTCCATGGCAGGTCCATCCTATGCTTGCCAGACCTGGAGGATGAAGACGGAAGAGGCTCCATCTTGTCTCCAGCAGGCCACGCCCGTCCTGGGCTATGGTGAGTTTCTGATCTAGGGAAGCGTGTGCAGCTCCACAGGTGGGGGGCAAATGCCCCACAATCCAGTGGTCTTGGCTGAATGTCTGCAGTGATACTCAGGCTCCAAGTAAGTGCTAGACGGGCCCCAGTATAACATCAGCTTCAGAAAATCTTTCTTGGTTCTCTAGACTCTGGTTAAGGGAACAACAACAACCCAGACTAGGATGCCCTTTGCTAATCCAGAAGCAAACCTGCTACTTAATGTGAATTAAAGCTCACTGATGCAAAATGCAGAAAGGTTATTTTTGAAAAGCAACGTCAGGACAGTGAACTTGAGTGTATGTAGCATTCTCCTTAGATGTACAGTATACAATGCCTATAACAAATTCAAAAAAAGGAATGTCAAGAAATGAAATGTGTAACCTTAATGACGCTTTTAGACCCATAAGGACAATAAAATACCAGTGGTGAATGTAATTATGTTTATAATGGATAACAACACAGGCTGTTTATCACTGACATCCTGCTCATTAACGTCTAAGTTTACACAAGCCAGGATTTTTTAAAGGCAATAGATGGGTTTTCTTATTTCAAATGGCGTAGTCCTACACAGTTTCCTAAGTTCCTGCTGGCACAACCAACACGTGTCAATGTTTTTCTCAATAATCATGATGGCTAAAAGTATTCTGAGGATGGGGAAACATCAGCATTCTGAAAACCATAGCATGACTTTTGGAGCACTTCTAATTCCTTTGGAAAACAAAAGTGGTGCATTGACATTGATTTGTTGTTGTTTAGTTGTTCAGTCGTGTCCGCCTCTTCGTGACCCCCTGGACCAGAGCACGCCAGGCACTCCTGTCTTCCACTGCCTCCCGCAGTTTGGTCAAACTCATGCTGGTAGCTTCGAGAACACTGTCCCACCATCTCGTCCTCCGTCGTCCCCTTCTCCTTGTGCCCTCCATCTTTCCCAGCATCAGGGTCTTTCCCAGGGAGTCTTCTCTTCTCATGAGGTGGCCAAAGTATTGGAGCCTCAGCTTCAGGATCTGTCCTTCCAGTGAGCACTCAGGGCTGATTTCCTTCATAATGGATAGGTTTGATCTTCTTGCAGTCCATGGGACTCTCAAGAGTCTCTTCCAGCACCATAATTCAAAAGCATCAATTATTCGGCCATCAGCCTTCTTTATGGTCCAGCTTTCACTTCCATACATCACTAATGGGAAAACCATAGCTTTAACTATACGGACCTTTGTCGGCAAGGTGATGTCTCTGCTTTTTAAGATGCTGTCTAGGTTTGTCATTGCTTTTCTCTCAAGAAGCAGGCTATCGCCATCTGCAGTGATCATGGAACCCAAAAAAGTAAAATATCTCACTGCCTCCATTTCTTCCCCTTCTATTTGCCAGGAGGTGATGGGACCAGTGGCCATGATCTTAGTTTTTTTTATGTTGAGCTGCAGAGCATATTTTGCGCTCTCCTCTTTCACCCTCATTAAGAGGTTCTTTAATTCCTCCTCATTTTCTGCCATCAAGGTTGTGTCATCTGCATATCTGAGGTTGTTGATATTTCTTCCTGCAATCTTAATGATGAATTCTGCATAAAAGTTACCTAAATAAGCAGGGAGACAATATACAGCCTTGTCGTACTCCTTCCCCAATTTACATTGATATCAATTTAGACTGATATCTTGTGCTAAATAAGAAGGATCTCCTAGCACCTCTCCTGCCAGATACTGCTTCTGTTCTATATTGGATAACAAGGTCTTTTATAATGTTGAGGAGTTGTGGGGAAAATGCAATTCATGCATCCTTTATTATCCCCCATTCTTAACAGTACAGGAACGCTGACCTTTCCACTCTCATGTGCAAAATATACAGCAGAGGGCAACTACCCCGATGCAGCCTATGCATCTTTACTCTGAAGTGGGGCTTACTCCTGAGTAAGTGTGCACAGGACTCCAGCTCATATTGCAAGCTTGGCTTGCCTATGCAAGCACTGATGAAGTCTGGGGGAAAATATATCCCTCTCAGTAACTTTCATACAAACAAACTGAAGCAAATAATGCACGGAAGGGAGTACAGAGACCTTTGGAATGGCGTCTCTGGGACAATTATGCCAGAGAGTTTCCACTAAAGCAGCAAACCTTGGCATTTTGCCGTTAAATAAACTGGAATAATGCTGCATAAGTGAGGGTTGTTTTCTTGAGCTCAAACCAGCTCCATTTCTTTATGACTTTTAATTTCAGTATGATTATAGGCATGTGCAGGCGGAAGATGTGGGTGTAAAGGCAATGAGAAGAATGAGAACAAAAGTCCTTGCTCCCAGATATTACATTGGCCCCCTACCTGCCCTGATTGTGTGTCTGTGTTCAGCATGCCAATCCAAGGAAGAGAGATCTGCTGCAAGTGCTGCCCAAGTGAGCCTGTAAAGGCCCTTTTAGTATAACTGGTGGTGATACTTGGGTTGTGCTGGAATCCCAAGCTCTTGATTCACTGCAACTTGAATTGTTTTATGAAATTGATGTGTGTGGAGAAATCAGAAGTCTAGAAATGGAGACGGGGACTGATATAATGCAAAGGAAAACAGTGCTCCCCACACTTTTAAGAGTTGCATAGAAGAGGGAATTTTGAAAGGTGCTCCCACTCGCCGCAAAAAGATTATCAAGAGACTGCAATCAAACCAGAAAAAAATTAAGCTGAACATTGCGATTCAGGACTTTGTCCTTTTGCTCCAAAAATTCATGGGATTACAACAGTCACCAATCTTTGGATAAATCTATCATATGTTCAGACCAACTTATTTGTCATATTTTATGTATTCTGGTGCTATGTTAACCCTTAAATATCTTTCAAAATTTCAGCAAATCACACTATACTGAGTGTGCCCTTCTTAGAAAACACGCATGTCTCAGTGTTTAAGCAGACCAAAATTGCAATCCTACAATCACTTACCTGAGAGTAAGTCCCATTCAGCTCAATGGAGCTAATGTCTGAGTAGACATGTGTAGAATTACATTGTTAAGTTTGCTTTTCTAGATAAAATAACCATGAAGTTTTCATCTGAATTTGAAATCCCCTCTTTTTAACCTGGTAAGGGTTTTTCCAAGGCTTAATTTTTATTTTTTTAAAAAGATACATTTAAATTATAGCCTGGAAAAGAGGAGACTGAGAGTAGATGTGATAGCCATCTTCAAATATCTTAAGGGGTGTGACATGGGAGACAGAATATGCTTGTTTTCTCCTGCTCTGGAGGGTAGGACTTGAACTAATGGCTTCAAGCTACAAGAAAGGAGATTAAACATTTGGAAAAACTTCCTGGCAGAAGGAGCTGTTTGACCGAGGAATGGTCTCCCCTGGGAGGTTGTGGTCTCTCCTTCCTTGGAGGTTTTTAAGCAGAGGTTGGATGGCTACCTGCCATGAATGCTTTGAGATTCCTGCATTGCAGGGGGTTGGACCAGATGACCCCCAGGGTCCCTTCCAACTCTGCAATTCTATGATTCTATGAAGGGAGGGAGCAGATCCTATGCTGTTGGTGTGTTCTGGTCCCTCCTCACTTCCTCCATAAACTACATCTTATCTCCACCCTAATAACCATCCAGCTGGATTATTGCAACCTTCTGCCCCTTGAAGACAGTCAGGATGCTGCAGCTAGTATCAAACGTGGCTCTGTGGGCCATGTGACACCAACCCTTAGGGAGTTGCCCTGGCTGTCTATATGCTATGGTTTTGATTTTGGTCTACAAAGCCTTATACAGCACAGGACCCAAACACTTGAAAGAGCATCTTTCCCAGTACATCCCGCCTTGGGCCTTGAAAATGAGCCAGGGAGGCTCTGCTAGTAGCGCTGGCAGCAGCATTGCCCAGCTGCTGATGACAAGGGGCACAGACCTTCCCCACTGTGGTATCCAATTGTGGAACAAGAGACTAGGAATGTAAGGAGGCAGCCATTTCCATCCCGTCCTATGTTCACCACAATCAGCACTGCTTCTGTTCCACTGCAGTTCAGATTCCACTGAAATCTGTTATATGTCTTGCTATCCACTATGGCCAAAACTATCATCATTAATTACTCAATCAGTTTCAATACATTTCAGTGGAAAGGAAACATCAAAGACATCAACATCTTGGAGGCTGTTTTCCACTGTCAGTTTATTTTATTTTAATGTTATTTTTTTGTAATGCTTTAAAGGTTTTTTTGTAATTTTACTGTATCATTTTATATTATGTCATATACTGTGGTCTTCAGATGAACTGCAATTTAGAAGGGAATTAATGATAACAGTAACAACTGCAACTGCAGGTTAGGCAGAGTCTCTCTGGGGTTCCAGGCAGGCTTCTCTCCCAGCAGGAGCCACCTGTGTGCAAAGGCTTACTACAGAGCCCTGGCTCCTCTCCAGCACCGAGATGGCAGCACACAGCATCAGTCGAGTGCGAACACATGCACTCACACATACAAGCAGGGAAGCCCAAAAGGAAAGGAAGTGCGCCAACAAGACCCAGCAACCTCCGCACTGAAGATGATGACATGCACTTGGCAGAAGCTTAGACTCCCTCACTGCCTCAGCCCCAAGCCACGTCCAACACACTGGAGAGGGTGTTTATGACCCACCTGCACTTACTTCCTTATCTGTTGCAGTCCATGCTAGGAAGTCTTTGAACGGCTGCCATAGATTGATGCACAGATAATCCTGATCAACTCAAGCAAGACATTTAAAAAGTTATCTCCTATTTGAAGTGAGGTATGTCCTGCTTAAGCCAAAGTATCCGGGGTGGTAGAGAGGGCTGGATATTGACTGAATGGATGAAGCAGGGTCAAAGATGCGCAGTAGTGACAAGAGCATTGTAAAGAATGGAGTGTGGGGAATCTGCAAGGAAATTCTCTGAGCTTCAAGAAGCAGAAGGACATTTTTATTTATATTCTTGGGATTGGTTTTTTTAAAAGTTTTCTAAACTATGAAGGGATGTATGTTTTCAGGATAAGGGGAAACTTCTTAAAAATGATATTTGGGATTCAAAAAAATAATCAGATTGATTACTAATATAAGTAAAATTTTATAAATAGTGGAATGAGCTATGAGGGCAATTGGTATTATACCCATTTTACAGAAAGAAGAACTGTAGATGAAAAACTTTCTTCATGTAGGACTATGGAATATTTCCCATTGTAGTGACAGCAGTATAAAACACATATTATATGGATAAAATATTTTAAATGCTCTGTTACCTGTTGAGTGCTTTTGGGATGAGGCAGGTTAAACAAATTAATCATTAACGTTCCAATATTGTTTGCTTGCTAAATTTATATTCCTTGCTTCCTCCCAGAGGTGGCAAACATGTAAATAACAGAATACAGTACAATTAAAATGTCTAAAAACAGTTTTAAACAATATTCTAAAAACAGATTAAACCTTTTAAAACAACACTTAAAAACTAAACAAAAACTGGGGTTTTTTTGTTTTTTAAAACCACCTACTCTCACAGCTAATAATTTAAGAGTTGCCAGGAACAGATCTTTCAGCCTCCAATTGCCTGGGTAAAAATGAATATTTCTAGATTTTTCCTAAGTTAATGATGAGGGAGTTGGACCACCGTCCCTATGAAGGTCACTCCACAGTTGGGTTACCACTATTGAGAAGTATTGAATGTTTGAAACAATGGAATGACTTCAAAGTCACAGAATCCAAGTATGAACCAAACTGCAACATATAAGCTCCAACTATAGTGGGGGCGGGGGGAGTACGATTATACAAGTTGCACCACTTGCGTGCAGATTGTGGGTTCTTTTCAGCAATGAGTTCCTGGGACATGAACCACCCGAGTGTTCTGTTGCAAAAGCATCCCCAGGCAGGGTATCCCAGCAGGTCACGCCATAGACCCGCAACACACCGGGCCTCCTGGTTTCTTTGTAAACTGTTCTCATTGATGAGGAGGACCTTTGAGTTTTGCAATTCATTGTTGTTGTTGTTCCCTGCCATCAAGGCTCAGAGTCCAAAATGCGGGAGGTTTGTGCTGGCTGCAACACCCCGATCTCCGACCGCTTCCTCCTGAGGGTGAATGAGCGTTCGTGGCACGAAGGCTGCTTGAAGTGCGCCGCTTGCCTGCAGGCTCTCTCCGGCACTTGCTACTGTCGCAACCGGCAGCTGTATTGCAAGCATGACTATGAAAAGTAAGTGCCTGGCACCTTTTGATTTCTACCCCTGTGGCTTGGCAGAGCAGGCTGAGGTGGGGAATGGTCAAGGGAAAGATGGGCCCAAATAACTTTGTTACCTGGGCGGTCATTTCTGTAGTCACCAGTTAGTTAAATATCCACCGTCATAGTGGAACTGGGCAGGCATTGTCGTCCTATTGGCTGCCATGAACATTGCTGTGATGTCACAGAAGGTCAGAATAGTCCAGAGCTGGGCATCTAAGGGGGACGTGAAAGACCTCAGCGCTGGAATTCTAGAGCCAAGTAATATGTTTCATTGAATTGTTGGTGCAAATCAGTTTATTTATTGTGGAGAGCTTTTGTCAGCTATTTTATGGTGTGGTTAAAGTTTGTATCACATGTAGGCTCAGAGACGTAATCTTTTCTTATCCAGTGGCATGATCTTATTGCCATGTGATAGGTGAATTGACTGTGAACAGGTTGCTAAAATCCATTATGAGATCAGGATTAAAGAACAACTGTGTATTCAGCTGCAAAATAAATCTAAATTCTGCAAACAGAAAATAAGTTATGCATGTTGAATATAATTGCTTTTTTAAAAACCTTATTTTTGGATAATTTATTCTGCTGCCTTGAACATGGTTTTTAAGGAACAGTTTGGCACACTGGGGAATAATGTGCCTGTGGATGGCAGGAGGGCAAAGAGACACCCCCAGGCTTCACTGCCTGCCCAGGAGAGCCAGAAACACCCCCTTTCATTAACAAAAATGAAAAGGATAAAGTAGCATGATTCCATGTCAGACACACAGAGTCTGTGTTTGCACAGCAAACCCTTGGATTCATTACATATATACAGGGTTGATGATAGCTAGCTAAGCGGTAGCACTGCATAGGTAGGGTGAATTATTATTGCCAGGACGCAATGCTGGAACATGAGTCAGCACCAGAGTGATGCTACTGCAACTCGGAGAAAGGCAGCAGCTGCGGTGCAACAGCTTAAGGTGCCCAGACTCCGGGTGGAGCAATCAGCAATATTCATAGCAGGAATTCTGGGGTTGTTTGTTTTTCCTTTATGGGAGGGAAGGAAGGCGGAGCACAGCGGAGCACAAGGAGTCTATTATTATTATTATTATTATTATTATTATTATTATTATTATTATTAAAAGCTTTGTATATCGACTCTTCCCCTATATATATATATATTTCTCTCTCTGTGTGTGTTTTCTTTTTGTAAATCTACCAAAGAATAAAATAAAATATAATCAGGATTAAGGGGTTGTCTCAGGACAGTGGAGGGTTATTGTATTTTTTATATTCTGTTGGGAGCCACCCAGAATGACTGGGGAAACCCAGCCAGATGGGTGGGGTATAAATAATAAATTATTATAATATGATGCTGCTGCTGCTGCTGTGTGTGCTGTGTCCTGCTGGTGCCGCAGTGGTGGCCCTTGCCCTTCTTCTGATAGGAAACGCTCTGCAGGAGAAGACCCAAAAAGGGGGGGGTACAGAAGGGCCAGTTGGCGGGGAGTGAGCAATGCCCCTATTTTCATCTGAGGAATGTTGGAGGCTGTACACCTTGTACATTTGAAAAAGAGTGTGAATTTGAGAACAAGCAATACTTGTGCTTCCCTATACAGTCATACCTCAGGTTGAAGTTGCTTCAGGTTGAGCGCTTTCGGGTTGTGCTCCGTGGAACGTGTTACTTCTGGGTTTCGTCGCTCGCACATGCGCAGACAGTCGAAAAGACATCACGCGCATGTGCAGAAGTGGCAAATCGCGACCCGCGCACGTGCAGACACGGGTTGCGTTCACTTCAGGATGCGAATGGGGCTCCGGAACAGATCCCATTTGTATCCAGAGGTACCACTGTATGACATTTCCTCTCAAGAATTACCAGGCCCATAATTCCTTGTGCACAGGCAGCAGGGCAGGAGCAACAAAACACTGTAATAAACAGGACCATTGATCTCAGGTACAGAGGAAGCTAGTGCTACTGGGAGGATGTACAGGCCCAACGTATATATGACTAAAACCCACCTCAAGGGGTCGTTGTGGGGACTGAATGAGGAAGGGGAGGACCCTTTGCCTTCCCTTCCTCTCCCTTTTTACATTGGCCTTCCCTTCTTCTTCCTTTTCTGGCCCCATTCTCACTATACATTTAACGCATATTCAATGCACATTTAAAGTACTTATTCCCCCCCCAAAGCATTGTAGGAATTGTAGTTCACCCCCCACAGGGCTATTGCACCCTTAACAAACTACAGTTGCCAGGACTCTTGGGGAGAAGCCATGTAGTTTAAATATGCATTGAATGTATGGTGTGGACATGATCTCTTCTCCCACCCTGAGTTTAGATTGAGTGCTGTTTGGAGAAAGGACCTCTCTGTTCTTCCCCCTTCACATTATCTGTAAAGTGCAATGAGCATTTACAATCATTAAAGATTATTGATATTTCTTTCCCCTATTCCCTGCAGGAAGACCTTTGCCAACCAGTTAATAAAACCAACCCGTTTTGCAAACGGCCTTGCAAAAACTCTGTTTTTATGGATTCCTAATGGAGGACTTTTAGATAGCAACTTCAAAAACTAACAGGAAGCAGGGAGCTCCCCCTGCCCCGTTGCTTTTCCTTCAACACTTTAGCAATAGCGATAAGCTGGGGGAAGCCTGTGCTGATTGCTCACGCTTAGCATGTTTTGGAATGATTAACCAGCCCTCCAGACCCATTACCTTCTGCTGCTGGACCAAGTGTCAGGCCTGAGCATACAAGGCTGGAGGATTAGAGGGGGAGGATTAGATCTCCCAACAACACCGAGCTTTGATCGCAGCTGCAGAAATCAGAAAGCAACCAAACCAAACAAAGCCTCTTGGTCCACCGAACTCCACACTCCTGTCCGTTACAGAGGAGTATCTCAGAGAGGGTACATACTTTGGGCTTTATGCTTCAAGAGCTTCTCCAAAGCTTGCTCAGCAAGACCTGCCATGAACTCTCCCACCAAAACCAGAATTTTAGAACACGGGAAGTTGCCTTATACCGAGTCAGACCATCGTTCCATCTCCCTAGTTTACTGGCAACAAATCTCCAGCTCCAGCCGGAAATGTCTAGGGTTGAATCTGGGACATTTTGTGCACAACCCCTGGTCTCTGCCAATGAGCTTAGGCCCTTCCCTTATTCAGTTACGTTGCTCTGCAGCTGCACCCATGAGAACTGAATGGAACAGGAGAGTAATATTAAGCGTCAGTGAGCTGAAATCATTTATAGACAGCTGCCCATCCAAGGATCCTAAACTCCTGTAGAAAATAAAGTTCCAACACTAAAGTGTTAAAAACAGACCAAATCAAGCAAATAGATACATAAAATCTAAATAAAATCAACAACAAACAATGATATTATCAGGGATGATAATAATAAATAAGGATACCACTAAGAGAAAGAATTCTCCAGACATCTTCTGCAGACTGTGGTGGGGGAAGAGAAAGCTGGACCTTAAGGCAGGAGTGGGGGATTGGATCTGGCCAAAGGGGCAGATTCAGAAGAAGGCAACTTTGGCAAGGGGGCAGAACATTCCACCTGACAGTCACATGACATCCTGCAATGTCAGGTGACTGAAATGTCAAAAGAAGAATCGGGAGTGCACTTAGCTCCTGAGTTGCCCCTTGCAGTCCTAGCTTGAATTGAAGCCAGGGCCACAAAGCAGCTAGTCAGGAAGAATTGCAAGATTGTCTTCCTGAGTCCTCCTTTTCAGTGGGTTGTCTTTCACTGAGACACAGCTTTCAGAAGTGGTCCAGTGCACTTGGGAGAGGTGGGAGCTGCCGGGTGTGAGCAGCCGTTGCCAAAAGCAGCACAACAGCAAAAGGCACCAAATTAAAACACTGCTTCACTCCAGCCAAAGTGTCAGTGCCTGTCCGTCAATGGAATGAATAAATGGATTTTCCAATCATAGCCGTCGGAGCCGTTAGGTTTAGGGGTGCCAGACTCATATGGGTTGAAAGGAACATATTAAATAAAAGCAATGCATCCCAATGGCCGTTCTCTGCCATTTATTTTAATACATCCCTGGGCTGGAGAACCAAACTCCCTACCCAGCCAATACTTGTTCCTTTCTTCTTCACAGTAAAAGGCCTCTCAGTTGACGGATGTCTCATGCCCGTCCCTGCCATACCCAACACATGATGGAGGGGGAGGGTGCATAGCCTGTGCACACAGCAACAGATCATTCCATCTTCAGCACAAACAAATCGCATGGAGAGTTTCTTGATTAACTGCACATTTACAGGCCATAGTGGGAGAGGAGGCTCATGCGGATAGAGATGCAAGCAGCCATTGGAGAGAGCTGACCTCTTTACCTCTCTATTAAGCACATTGGAAGAATGTTAAGTAGTAGCTTGCATCAAGTGTGACAGGGATGCCATGAAATGCACCGAGGACCCCTAGAAAGCCTGATAAACACTCACACATTGCTGTGCACCCCCTTTATGTTTGTTAGCTTTGTTTGAGGGTCTTTCCAGACTATTATTTTCATTATTTAACAGGAATATTTAACATTATTTAACAGGAAATTGGCAGCCCATCTTTGTCATTTCCCAGATGCAACCACGACCAGGGAGGGAGGGGGGAAACAATGGAGTATCATTGAAACAAATCTGGGAATCCAGTTCTGCCGGGGGTTGGCAGCCACAGCTTCTCCTGCTGATTTATGCCATCCGCACTTCTGTTGACGGCTCCTTTGGCTGCTGTGAGAAGGATGACTTCAGGGAAGCCTCACAATCAGGAGGCAGGGGAGACAGACTAAAAGGAGATGGGGGCAAGACTAATCCAGAGAAGCTGTGGCAGTTTGGTTTTTCTCTTCGATCCATTGATTATGTACAAACTAAAGAGCAAATATTCGAGCTCCAGCAGGTCAACCCTCATGAATCCTCTGCTCAAGGCTGGATGCCTCCTAGGTGTCCTTCCCCTTCTCTCTGCTATTATCCTATAAGGACTGGCTGGAGTATTCTGCAAACTACATGGTGTGGTTGGTATGTTGCTTAATGGGTCTGACGAGACCTCTTGAGCTGATAGGCAAAGTCTCTGGATTTCCATCTGGCAGCCCCAAACAGATAACTATCAGTCATAGAGAAAGGGCTACTCACCTGCTTCCGAGGAATGCCTCTTCCATCTTCTCCTGGTGTCCCAGGAACTCATCCAAAGCACAGCAAGTGTGGGAAATTCATCTCCTTTACAGCGTAGAGCAGGGGTGAGGAACCTCTGGCCCGTAAGCCAATGGGAGGCAGTTTCCAAGCCTAGTCACCCTCTCGGGGGGATGTTTTGGAGGGGTGGGGCAGTTGTAGAAGGTGCACACTCTAGCTGAGTGCTATATGCAGGCTAGCCAGGCAGATTGCCACCAGTAGACCTGAGAATGTCTCTGACCCTTTCAGCTGTGTTATGATGATGTCAGCACCTGTCCCCATGGCTACTGGTGATGCCACAAATGCGGCATGGCCACATGGGCCCACAATTCAAGTACAGTGGTACCTCGGGTTACATACGCTTCAGGTTACAGACTCCGCTAACCCAGAAATAGTGCTTCAGGTTAAGAACTTTGCTTCAGGAAGAGAACAGAAATCGTGCTCTGGCAGCGCAGCGGCAACAGGAGGCCCCATTAGCTAAAGTGGTGCTTCAGGTTAAGAACAGTTAAGAACAGTTTCAGGTTAAGAACGGACCTCTGGAATGAATTAAGTACTTAACCCGAGGTACCACTGTATTTAATTAAGCCAGCCCTTCAACATTCCTTAGATGAAAATAGAGACATTTCTCTCCCCCCCCCCAACTGACCCTCCTTGACCTCCCATTTTTTGTCAGTCCCCACCCCCACCCGCAAGCATTTCCACCACCACTTCACCAACAGGACACAGCCGACCTGAAAACCTCTTAATCCCAATTTTATTGGGATTGGACTCCAGCGCTCACCTCCTCAGCCAGCCTGGCCAATGGTCAGGGATGTGGGAGTTGGAGTCCAACATGCCCATCCTGGGAAAAAGAGACGAGTGGGGTGCCACAGGGCTCTGTCCTGGGCCTGTTGTTGTTCAACATGTTTAAAAATGGCTTGGATGAAGGAATTGAGGGGGTCCTCATTGCATTTGCAGATGACACCAAACTGGGAGTGGTAGCTATTGATTGATTGATTGATTGATTGATTGATTTAATGTGCTGTTTACAATATAAAAACAATATAAAAACACAATATAGGGCAGTTTACAATATAAAAACACAAAAATACATAACATAGTTACAAAGAAAGACCCTCACTCCCCCGCCCCCAGTTTAAAAGGCCATGATTGTTTTATTAGCCAAAGGCCTGAGAGAAGAGGAACGTCTTTGCCTGGCATCTAAAGATGTGTAGCAAAGGAGCCATTCCACAAGTGGGGAGCCACAGCACTAAGACCTGCTCTCATCTTGCTGCCTTCTGGACCTCTCACGGAAGAGGCATACAAAGAACAGTCTCATATGGTCAGTTCATATGGGGAGATTCAGTCCTTGAGGTACTGTGGTCCTGACCTGCTTAAGGCTGAAGAAACCAGGGGGTGTCCCCCTCCTGCTGTAACCAGCTCCCCTCCCCCCCAATCTCCCAGAACATGAAGAGGATGGAGCAAAGAGAGACAAGACAAAGGACCTGGGGGTGGGAGAGTTAGGGAACTGTGGGAAGGAGGAGACCCTCAGTCCTCACAACTGCATCACTGGGGCAAGACCTACTGTGGAGAGTCACTGGGCTCAATGGGCCTGAGCTCTTTTGTTTCTTTGAATCAGGAGTTAACTTCGCTGGCACCTTGTGAGTCATTACTTACCTGGCCCTGGCACCTGCCTCTGACAGAACCTCTCTATTCTGCCTTCGTCAGACCACACCTGGAATATTGAGAAGCTGGAATGTGTGCAGAGGATCGAGGTCTGGAAACCAAGCCTTACGAAGAATGGTTGAGGGCGCTGAGTATGTTTAGCCTGGATAAGAGGAGACAGAGAGGAGATATGAGAGCCATCTTCCAATATCTAAAGGGCTATCATGTGGAAGATGGAGCAAGCTTGTTTTCTGTAGGGTAGAACCCAAACCAATGGATTCAAGCTACAAGAAAGGAGATTCCAACTAAACATCAGGAATAATTTTCTGATCATAAGAGTGGTTCAACAGTGGAATGGATTCCCTTGGGATGTGGTGGACTCTCCTTCATTGGAGGTGTTTAAGCAGCAGTTGGATGGTCATCTGTCATGGATACTTTAGTTGAGGTTCCTGCATTGCAGGGGGTTAGACTAGATGACCCTTGGAGTACCTTCCAACTCCACAATATTATGAACTTCTGGAAGGCCACAGGCTCCCTGCCCCCTGCTCCACAGCCTGTGTTTTGTGCAGTAATGACCTTGGAGTGCCATGAATGGCCGTGGTTTCACATATGAACACTCCACTGCAGGGAAGTTCCAACAAGACCACGGATTCAACCCATAGCATGTGCTCACTGAAGCTGAAAGGTGCAGAAGAGCCTTCTGAAGGGGGCAATAGCAGTTGTTTTGAAAGGGGAAGAGCTGAGGTCCTCCTTGGCAGCAGGCCCTGCTGGGAACGGAAATGTAGACATAGTGCACACGAGACTTTGGGGAAGTTTTTGGGAAGACATCATGTAACATTATTCAGGACAGCTTTCCGAGTCTTGGCAGTCTCCTTGAAAAGTTTCCCCTTAACGGTCCAAATCTTATCTCTTTCTTCTGAAGAGAGAGAAAGAGAGAACAACCTCCTCCCCAGCCACTGACGCAAAGCTTTGTCAGCAGAGCTGGACGGGAGTAATAAAAATACCAGCATTTGCCCATTTCCTAGTGATGCATTGCCAGAGGTCGAGAGAGAGAGAGGTCGAGAGAGAGAGAGAGAGAGAGAGCTATAAGCAAGCAATGAACAGGGCTTGGGCTGCCTCCCTGTTTAAAGTAGCCTTTGCAGGAAAGGAGTTGGGAGTTGTAATGGGTCATAAATCGAACACAAGTCTGTGATGTTGATGAAAGAAAATGCAGGGGATGTTCTGGGGGTGTTTCATTCAAGCTCCAGACTGACTAGTGTCTTGGGCTGCACACTTTAAGAAAGATGTAGACAGATTGGGTGCAGAAGCAACAAAGGCGATAACAAGGTTTAGGCTGCTAAAGAGAGACTTTTGAAGGAACCTGGACCTGGATTTGCACATTAACTTTGTCTAGTATGGAATTGCCATTGCTGATTCCCCTAGGATTCATAGGTACCAGTAGTCTTTCCCAAGCTAATACGTGATTCTCTTGTCCCCTCCACTGATTCATACAACAACCTTAAAGAAATGTACTGCATTAAATTGAAGTTGGGTTTCTAGGAACGTTCAGATTATTGAACTGATATTTCTCAGTGGTACGGCAAGTGACTGTAATGTGGCTCATTGCATTCTTAACAAAAATTGTTAGGGAAAATGTCCAGTGAGGACATGGTTAAGGAAGCAAAGGCAGTGCTGTTTTCTGGGGGGACTCAAGGGTATGCTGTACCAGCACCTCCCCCCCCAAAAAAAATATTACAAATGTGGCACTTACGGTAACAACTTCATGGTGAGTACTGGCACCTTTTTCCCCTCCAAGAAAAGCAGTGGGCATAGGTTATGTTACCATATTCAACCAAGCAAATTTGATGTGCCAAAATCTACAGCAAAAGCCAATTTGCCTTGAGCCTTCTATGTTAGAAGGAGTTGTGTGAACTGGCCCTCAAACTGTGGGTTGTATCCTATACTTGTGCAACAGACTTCTGCTTGTGCAACAGAATTTTCCCTTCTTCTCCTCCACCTATGAATGCTGCTCTTTGTTCGTATTAAAGGTTGTGTTCTCTTTAGTGCATTTTGCTGTTAAAGGTAAAGGTACTCCTGACCGTTAGGTCCAGTCGCGAACGACTCTGGGGTTGCGGCGTTCATCTCACTTTACTGACTCACTCAGTGCTTCCCAGCCGTCTGTGCTTTGTCTTGCCACTGCCACCTTTCTGGTGTTGCCTGGGGACCCTTTGGGCTGCAGGGAACTGGGTGCCACCTTCATCGTCCAAGTCCTGCGCAAGCAGATTCCTCTGGGGAGCCCACAACAGGACAGGAGGGCAACAGCCCTCTTTCCAGAGGGCTCCAATCCTGGCGGGTGTGTGGCGTATCAGCACCATGACTAATAGCCCTCTCTCCTCAGTGAATTCGTCAAATTACCTTTGACACCATCTCTACCTAAACTGGTGGCTGTCAGTGGGGAGGCACTAGTGTGGTTCTGTTGCTGTCCCAGCTTCCCAATTTACCAAGAGGGAGGTTGGAGGTGCTGAGTGTGGTGGCAGAGGCCCTCCAGCTGCTACTGCTGTCATCATCACATCTTGAGGCAGTGCGTTCCATGGTTTAAATATGTCCCCTGTAAAGAAGTGTTTCCCTTTGTCTGTCCTGGGTTTTCTGCCAACCAGCTGCATTGTATGGCTGGTGTTATGAGGGGGAAGAAGTTGCTGTCTGCTTTCCCTACGCCATGCATAATTGTGCAGACCTCCGTCACGTCCTCCCATGACTTGCCATTTCCCTCAACTTATCATGCTGATCATCTGCTTGGGGGGGAACAAGAGGGATTTGGTGCACCTGCTCCCTCCTTCTGCCCCTGGAAGAGATTCCTAGTGCTCATGCCAATGACCAGAGCTGAGTATGCTATGGGACAAGGCATGTGCAGGATCAGGTACTGGGGCTCCAGTGTCTGTTTCCAGGAGAGAGCTTTTGTGTGCTATGCACTGCTAGATATGTCTCTCATAAAAACTTATTCTAGATATCATACCAATTGGGTGATGCCTATAGATTATTGGGGGGGTGGCCTTATGTTGCTTTTCTTGTGGATTGACTTGAATTTGGATACAAATTGTGAAGTGAAGAATATGTTGTGTGCGGTGCTGCTTTACTCCACAGGGGGAAACAATGATTCCATCATGTGGAAAATCCAGTCATTCTATAACTACTTTCTCCCTCTTGCTTGGTAAGTGGAATTGCAGAACTGTGTATGCTTGCATTTGCAAGCTGCTCTCTGGACTTTCAGGCCTAGAGATGTCTTTTTCCTCCATCTGCTCACTGGTCATTCTAACTAGAGATATGCCTGGGCTCTTCTGCACTCAGAGCATGTGCTCTACCTCTGAGCTATTATAGTCTCTCACAGCTCTTGGCTTGGATACCAGTTTTTGGTGTGGGGGGGGGGTGTGCGCGCACACACAAATATATTCATCCACAAGACGTTTCCCTGCGCTGCTCATGCGCTAGCCAGGATGAACCAGGTTCGAGCCAAGTTCACCCTGGATGAGCAAATCATCTCCACATGGGACAGGCGGGAAGGGAGGAGGCTCCTTGGCAGCAGAGGCCGCCATTCAGGTCCTTTCTGACAGCTCCTCAGCTTC